ACGAATTCTCAATCATGGTAGCAGGTATGGGTGAAGGACTTTGGAGGGGAAGTGCCCGGAATATTTCCAAGAGATATTGCTTCTCGGTGGCAGTCAGGTCCAGCAGCTGCTGGTCTGAGCCGCGGGTCATGTTGTCGAACTTGGCTATGCATTGATGTAAGTAGTACTCCATAGCAGAGACCCCAAGTTCTTTGGCCATCGCCTCAGCTTTTGATACCAACTGTTTCAATTGATCGTAGCAATAAGTCTTCTGACTATTCCACAATTTGGTCAATTGGCGAGAAACATCGAAACCACGCTTTTGTTGGTCCAACAATGCGATCACGTACGGATCTTTCGCAAGATCATACGTGCGGTATACATGCTGCAACGCAAGGAGCAGGTGAGAATGCTCTTGACCCGAGGCGTCCGAAGAGTAAGTGATTTGCAGTAGCTGAGGTCTATGCGCATACCGCATCAGCTCGGACCTGTGTAGCTTTGGTGTCTTTATGGCCGCATGCAGGTTCTGTTCAATTTGCCTACAGATATTAGGGGGAGAAAACCTGTTCTACCAAGTCGAACTTACTGAAGCCCTTCTGCGCTAGCCGCTGCTTTCATGACAGGGCTTGCGCTCAAGCCAAGAACTTTAGGTAGTGAGCTGTCTCCATTCTTCAATTGAGGCAAGTAGAAATCGGACATTATACTAGTACTGTTAGTTCCTTCTGCTCATTAGATTTTTGGTATAAAATGAAGGACCCTACAGGTGAGCTGGGTGTTTCAATGTGCAATGGTGTGCTACAGGACTTTAGTACTAAGATGTTGTTGTGTTAACGCGACGAACTAACCCTCGTCGAAAATTAGCAAAGCCAGCTTGCTCAACTTGACAAAACCATGCGTGAGGGCGTCAAGGAGTACCCTGAGCACGTATGAGTGGGTGCGCGTGGAGTCTGTTGCGCTCAACCTGGGGGCTTACGCGTGTGTTGAGATGACCACGCGAACATTGAAAAGTACTCGGTCCCACTCTGCCTGGGTCGTCCACAGCTCAACATCATCTCTCCCACAAAGTAGCTGGTGTCCAACCCCAGGTATATTAGATTGAAAGGCATCATATTGCTGCTCGCAGAGTGCAACTGTTGGCGCAAGAAACCAGACAACCTGAAGGAGGCGTGTGAGATCAAGTCTAGCGTGGGGATCTAGCGGCAGGTATAGGTATCCGTACCTGGCCGGGTTCGCACGTTTCCAACTCCGCTCGTGTTCGTTCGATGGCTCTGCGAACTTGTCAGTATGGTCCCGTCATGGCAGAACATGCAAACCTACATATGCGTCTTTCCCGAGCCTGTGTCCATGACGACAATGACGTTGTCTTTCATGCTCTCTGCAACCATCTCAGCCTGATAGCCTCGCAGCTGAAATGTCTCACTGGAAGCAGTCGGAATGACTCCACCATAGTTGTCATCTTGCATTGGCGAATCCATTCGTATTCTAAAAAAAAACGCGACGCAAGCAAAGAATGTGTAGAAGTGGTAACCTTTGGTGTTGGGACTTGAGGTCCAAGGGTGGCAGCGTGCTAGCCTACCCGAGTAGCTGTGTTGGCTGGCGGCGGATATGCAGAAGACCAGAACCATGCACAAAGTCCTGGCTGTTGTCTTTACTGCATGAATAACCCCATTAGATTTGACCGAAACGCGCAACACCCAATGACTGCAATATGAGTTCAAGCATTGGGCATCTCAAGACATCATTTTCGTAAATGCTACATAAGTCGCTTCATGCCTTTGGCGCCGAGTTCATTTATTTCGACCCAGTGCAGGACGGTGCTGCATCATAACCCTCTACAAGTTCGTAAGGTAGTCCTCAACCTCGGACGGGCTCAGCTTCCTGAACCGTGGTCCCACAGCGCCTTCAACACCCTCAACGCCAAGGAGCCTCTCCTCTGGCGGTCCGACGATACCAATCTCAACGGTCTCTCCATTCATCTCTCCTTCTATGGTCTCCTTGAGTGTGAGCAGAGCAATGTGGATAGCGTCCTCAAGCTCGAGACCGTCAGTGTATCGCTTCTCCAAGAAGGTCTTGGCGCTTGTCGCGCTCTTTCCGATCGCTGTCGCCTTCCATGGGAAATAACTGCCGCTGGGGTCGACCTGGTACAGACTGGGTCCGCCCTTGAGGATGCCACCAGTCTTGCCGCTGACCTTCTTCTTCTCCTCGCTCGTCTGCTCTTCGCTCTTGCCTTCAGCCTCAGGCTCGATACCGTCGTCCCATCCTGCGATCAGCAGACTAACACCATACGGTCGAACACCACCAGACTGTGTAGCCTCCTGCATCACTCGCGCCACGTCCTGGACTAATATCCTCGTGGGTGGGTATTCGTTGTAGACGCGCTTGTAGCCAGTATGTGAGACCTTGCGGGCCTTGTCGACAAGAACGCGGTAGTCAGGGCCCATGCCCGAGTAGACCATACCGATGTTGGGTGTTATGAGACTAATTTTTGATGACGATTGCGAGTCGATGAGCGGCGATGACGACTTCTTCTCGGTTGCGAGGACAATGCCGTTGGTTGCTGCAAATTCCAGTCAGCACTGATGGAAGCCAATGAGCGGAGTGACGTACCCTTGATTCCTAGTGAAGTAACACCCTGGTTGACGGCATTCAAGGCATACTCTATTCATGTGTTAGATGTTGTCTGCTCCAGTACGGCGGGACTCGTAAGATTTCCAGGGCGCATACCAATCTGTACCAGCTTTCCGCTATATGAACGTTAGCAAACATATCATGTGTAATCGAGACCGCAGTGTTTACCTGGGAGAGAAAGTGGTGAGGGAGAACGAGTATCTGTCCGCCATGGTGACTGCTTGACAGGATCGAGAGGTGGTATGTGAGGAAGGGTGTAGTCGGCGGCAGGGAGAGGTTCAGTGGGGTTGATAGACGACGCGGGTTACTGGAGGCGATCTGCTAGAGCTCCAGGCTACCCAGAGCTTCGTCGCCGACGGCGCCAAGACCGGCGCTCGGCCTAACTGTGCCTCCGGTCTGCTTCCAGGAAGCTGCAACTTTGATTTCTTCGACCTTCCAGAACTGCTCCTCTGAATCACCACCACGTCTACGACACCTGCATCCTGCCACCGTGTCCCTAGTGTCATACAGCAAAGGCGGCTGTGGCGGAACATGATCCGCACTACCGAGACACTTAAGTTGGCGAATGTCTTCCCCGCGACTTCCTGATTGATCGCCTTGTCATCTTATGCTTACCCACATACTTCTTTACTGGTAAGAGCTGCATTAACTTCTACCTTGTACCTTTACAGCATTTCGATCCGCCATGTCTTCGTCTTCTGGATTCCAGGCCATGCCGGGTTGGTACTGGCCTGATGACGCGCCGAAGACGGAGCCCTCCCAGCCATCACCTTCAGGCACCTCCAGTACCAGCGACAACGCTTCGTCGCAATCGCGCAGCTCTAGACGTACTCACTGGCCGCCGCGACAATGCAGGATATGTCTCGAGACGGTTCAGCCAACATTCAATGTTCCCTCACAAAGCCTTCCCGGCTTCTTACAGTCTTCCAATGTGGTTTACGAAGACGAAAGCGGTCGCCTGATCCGTCCATGTATGTGCAAAGGTTCATCCAAGTACGTTCATGAGGCTTGTCTACAGGCCTGGAGGCATGCAGACCCTAGCTATGGACGTAGGAACTACTGGCAATGCCCTACTTGTGGCTTCAAATACCGACTTGCGCGTCTTGGAGTTGGGCGCTTCATAGGTAGCATTGGTACGTTTTTGTCATTATATCTCCTCTTTTTACGATAACTAACACGTTGCAGGTGCTCAGGTTGGTTTGACTGCCATCATATTAATTTCCATCATCTTCGTCCTTGGTTTCGTTGCCGATCCTATCATAAACCTGTATCTGGATCCATGGAGCTTCTTGTCCCCTTTCTCAGGATCTGATTACTCGTACTACTATGAGGACGAAGAGTCAGCCACTTGGTATGAGCACTTTGCGAAAGGCTTTGCCAGCATGGGTGTGCTTGGTTTCTTGAAAGTTCTCATCGCTAGTCCGCTCTCCTATTTCAGAATTGGAGGAGGCCGAGGTCGAACGACTGGTCGAGACCGATATGAGCAGGTTAGCTGGATCATTATCCTGATAGGCGTGGGCACATTTCTAGCGGTATGTGAAGAAACCGCTTCCATCATAATCATTTACTGATAGTATTTAGGCAATCTACAAAGGAGTCCGTGTATGGAGTCGCCGTACGCTTGAAAAAGCTGGCGAACGTGTCATGGATGTTCAAGGCGATAATGACGACGATGATGAATAGCTTCGGCTGAAATGGAGACGGTTCATCGAGCAGTTGCTTCCAGTATCTCTTCACTCAACACTTGGTCAAGCACTTTCCAACGTCCGCACTTTCTTAAATTGCCACAAGTTATTCCTCAATACTGTGTCGATTAGTCTACGTGCGAAGATCAAACCAGCCCGCGACCTCCATATCGGCATTGCGCGTTTTGTGCTCGCCGGCTTTGTGGAACGTGGCGCTACCCACCTTTGGCACTCATTCTGTTCCATCTCGCCCGCTCTACCCTCGTGGGGTCCCTCTAGTTTCTTCCGTCAAAAGAAGAAGCAAACAGGGGCCTGGAGCACCCTTTGTGGCATGAACGACATCAGGCCTCTGGTACATCTTCATTCATCACTTGTGAACGTAGAGGACTAAACAATTGCATGACAGCTTGTAAAGAATTATTATCGTGAATCACAAACGAGATTAAACGCCACCATGGTCACTGCTAGTGACACTACCATAAAACCCAAATAACGCCGCAGGTGTATACCCCGCAAAAAGGTGCTGCAAAGCTTGTCCATCTAAAGTGATGATGCTTGCCTCGCAATACCGTATATGTCCAACCAGTCCCAACCGATCCCAAGAACAAACGAAAACCGTACAATACAATATATATAGGCCCAGGGTATCAATGTAGAATATTAAAAGCCACTTCTCCTTCTCTTCCTCAACTAGTGATCAGGCTTGCCACCCTTCATAAAGACCCTCTTGGTAGCACCAACCTTGCCGAGATCACCAAACTCGGTCTTTTTCCCAGCCACAGCACTACTTGGGCGACTGTCACTTGTGCTATCCGTCCGCTCGAAAGGCGGATGGTTTGAAGTGATGACGTTACTGCTCACGGTGCGAGCTTGCTTCATCATGCCTTCGATCCACTCCAGCTTCTCGCCACTAAGGTCCAATTTCTTCGCTTTCGGGCCAGCGAGCCCGACTTCTTTGCCTTGCCAAGAATTGCGAGACGAGGTCGAAGAAGGCATAGTCGGGTCTTCAGTAGCGCCTGGTGTTCCAGTGATGAAGCTAGGCATCGGTGGAGGCGCTTCGTCGCTTGTGAAGTAGCTCAGACCAGATGACTTGACGGGTGTCGTGTTTGGACTGGCCAAGGGAAAGCCGACGCTGATTCGTCTCTCCATTCTGCTCGCCCTGCTGTCTGGTCGGGTGGGAGAACCATCGGGGTTCTTCACCTCGAGACCTAGGACCTCAAATTTGCCTTCGCTTGCAGTCCTGCGACCGTGGTGCTCAGCGTATTGGCGCAGATACTCACCCAAATCAGACCAACCACCACCAACGCGGACCATGACACGCTCACCATTCTCGCCAACGCGGCGGATGAACAGCTTGATGGGCTGTTCTTTGCCAGGTTGCGTGAGATGATACAACTTGATGTCGTTATCGCCTCTTGCCGCCGCTGCAGACCTCCGTCCGGATGCAGTGTTGTTTAGATCGAACTCGCTCTTCGCAGGCGACAGAGTGAGCTCGGGAGACTTGAGGCCACTGACTGAGCGAGCTGCGCGCAGGTATCCACGACTTCCCTTGGCTAGAAGGCCACGAGCTGGCTTGACTTCGGGTGCATCGGGGCCCGGACCTGATCTGAGTCTAATGCGGCCGGGAATGGTTGTCAGGATATCAGAGATCTTGCGCTCGAGCTCTTCCGCGCTGCTGGTGGATTTCTGAGCGAAATGTGTTGGCGGCCATGGTGCGCTCACTGTATCATCTGCGGTGGTGGTAGTAGTAGTCTGTACAGGTCGACGCTTTGCCATGGCTGCATTGAGCTCGGGACGCGGTGCTCTCATAGAGCGGTTGGTTGCGTTTCGAACTGAAGGAGACTCCTCCACGGTACTAGGTGGGCTTGAGTCTGGTGAGATGTCTGTTGACAGCGAACTCAAACTACCTCTCCACGAGCGTGGTGTTTGAGGCGGCTCCATAACGGGACTGTCCTGGCCATCGTTTTTGGTGATAGTTGGGTTACCAAAAAGGGCCAGAGGTTTGGGTCGGCTTTGTGAAGATGCCTGGGATGGTTGATCTACTCCAGTCGGGGCCGATGAAAGTGATTCAGACTCTGACTGCGCGGCGACGTCTTCAGGACTCTCGTCGAGGTCGTATTGTACCACGGTATCGCCTTCCTCAAATTCCGAGTCTTCGTCAACAGATGGCGCGATGCCTTGTTGCAACTCGACTTCTGTAGCCTCAGTCTCTCCAGATACCTGACGTGTGTTGTTGGAGCCGATCGAGGTGTGGAGTGTTGGGTTGCTGCTGTTGGATGCGTCGAGGGCATAGTCACCAGAGAACATCTCCCGATGAGGTATATTACCAAAGTAGTCATGCGGAGCTACTCGATGGCTATTCTGCGAAGCAGCTTCCTCTGGCGATGCTTCGTTAGCAGACGCTACAGAATCGATTCGAGCATTGACAGCGGCTGGTCTAGGGGCAGAAGCGGACTGCACAGGGTTGTTGTCCGGGTGTAGCCCAGGCTCAGATGCAAGGTCAGGGGGTTGTAATGTCTCGTGTGTACCGCCCTTGCCAATGACATTAAACCCCTCGGCCCGCCTTCGGACTTCGAGGTCGATGACCCTCCTTCTCGATTCGTGTTTCCAGCGTCCGTAGTCAGCCTCTGTAGTCTCAAAGACGTCTATCCAGTTGTCTGGCAGGCAGTCTTCCTGACCTTCGAGCGTATCGAGCATCTTGTCCAGTTGCCTACCCAAATCGCTGACTTTTTGGTGAAGCACCCGAGAGATGGTGTCTACGGCACTCTTCCACTGCTCGAAGGCGGCATCGGACGTATCTGCTGGTGGCTCAATGGCCTCCCAGCCTAACCGCATAGCTTCTTGCGCTGTGTCGAGCTCGCCGGTGTAGCGGGGTGCTTCGCGGAGGATGGAGACGCGGGCAGTCCATGTGCTCAGGCGGGCTTTGAGCTGGGCGTGATGCGGTAGGGCGGATAGGAGGGTTTGGGTGATGAGAAAGGAGAAGTCGTCCATGAGCTTGTAATGTTGGCGGTTGGCCTCGTAACCAGCAGAGGACGGTCTCGACCTGCCTGCTGGGTGCATGTCCAGCACATGTTCCTTCAGCTCTTCGACATCTAGCTTCAGCATCTCGTCGGCGATGTCGTCTAGCCGCGCCTCGTGTTGCTCCACCTCGACTGACAGCATCGACCCCCAGTATTCCAATGGCGGCATGGCATCGGCGCCGTCGGATTCGGCCACGTGCTCCCTGATGTGCATCTCGATGCTTTTCCTCCTCTGTTCGCGGAACTGGGCGCTCGGCTGCTCGAAGCTGCCCGACCAGCCCCATTGCTCAATCTCGGCGCACCATATCTTCAGCCGCTGCGCTGCCTTTGCGACGCGCGATCCCAGGTCCCTCTCGGCGGCGGTGAGGGTCTCGATGCAGGAGAAGATCTTGTATTCGTCGCGTGTGGTGTCGTAGGGCATGGGCTTCTGCGTAAAGGCGCGGAGGGTGGTTTCGGGCGACAGATCGCGGAGGCGGCTCTCTTCTGAGCTGCCGTGCGCCCTGCCTCTTCTGGTTGCTGGTGACATGGCTGGCGATGCAACGCGACGGGGTGTCAGGGGCGGAATCATCCGCAGAGGTGAGGAAAAGACGTCCATGGCGATGTTTGCGGTCGGGATGAAAGAGCGACTGGTGACTGTTACGACAAGGAAGGTACAAAGGAGAGGCGACGAGTCTCAGACACAGCAAGTCGCGAGTGGCTGTGCGGCTGGGACTGCGATGGTCATGAATTAGTATCCTCTGTCTCCCTCCTGTTGCCGTGGTGGTTGCGCTGCCGGCAGCCCGAATGTTTATTGACTGACGCAGTCTTCGCCGAGCATCTTGCGCCGTGCACTCTTGCATCGTTCACCCGCATGTTACTAAGCCAAAAGCACATTAGCTGTAGATCCGTTTCGGATTCGACACCCAAGCTCTCGCGACAACTGTGCCTTGTCGCCTTGAGACGGCACCTTGATGGACGATAATGCTATATAGCTAGCAAAACTCCCCGTGTCTTCAGCTGCTGCTTCCATGCATCGGTCTTCGCAATTCCTACCTTGCCAAGCGCGTCGCGGAACAAGGCAATTCTCTCCGCACTCCCCCGCAATCAACTTCAACCGGCCATCTTGTGCTCTGTGCCGTCTACACCATCAGCTCACACTTTCCACTACGCTTGCTTTTCTTCGGACGGCTTTCGGGTCAGTCTCTGGCGACGTGCACGGGACAGCAGCGTCGGCATGCGCGACTTTCCGACCTGCTATCTGACCGTCAGATTTTGACCGCAGAAGATACGCACCTCTCTGCATACTCTCTTCCTCATTCCAGAAGCTACCCCACTACGTATATCGTCATCTTCCTCTGCCAAGCACCTTAATGTTCCGCCCCGCGTCTCTATCTCATCTACCTTCCCGAGTGCGTTAGCGAATTACCTGTATACCTCGTCGTTACGCAGTGCCTGCATCCAGCTACCGTTACCCCATGTCACAATACGATGGCACGTAGGAGCAGGGAATTCGGCAGGCTCAATTGCCCTCGGTAGGAGCAGCTATCCTCTAGGTGGAATGATTGACGTTATCGAACCGAACCTCGAGCGAGCTGCTTGCAAGTATAAAAGGTACCATGCATCGTACCATTCTGCGGTACCCTTCTGCCTCTGTGAAGTGTGCATTTGTCAGTCAATATGAAGGCAACTCTTTTGGCACTCGCTGCTATTGGCGCGCAAGCCTGCCAGCGTGAACGTGCATTTCTACATCACCCACATAAGCATGTCAAGCGGCAATCCGCTTTCCCTCCAGCCTTGACACCCGATGAAGAGATCTTGCTAAACTCCTTTGACTCCGTGTCAATATCTGAATGGTCATACTACTACAGTATGCTTCACCAAACTTGCCAAAACAAGTAAACTAACCAAACGTAGCTCATGGCCAACATTTGGCTGGTCAGAATGAGTCGATGGGTAACCAAAGGTCGTTCTCAAACGATACAGCAGAAGACTAATCATGAGTGCAGCCCAGTGGACTGCCGACAAATGGTCCGAATACGGATTCACCTCAAGGCTCGACGAGTACTGTACGTTACTACTATCTGCAACTTCATAAACATCTATTCCGAAAATGACGCAGATGAGTGCTGACATGACTCAGATGTCTTCCTTAACTACCCTGTATCGAACTCGCTGCAGCTCACATATTCCAATGGTAGCACTTACACTCCTACCCTTATGGAAGATGTACTGGCAGAGGACGAGACAACGAGCTATCCCAATAGCGTTCCAGTCTTCCACGGCTACAGTTTCACCGGCAACGCATCTGCAGAATACGTTTACGTCGGACGAGGCCAGCAAGTTGACTTTGACCGCCTCGCGGCGCTTGGTGTCGATCTTGAGGGCAAGATTGCACTGGCAAAGTACGGTGGCCCATTCCGTGGCCTCAAGGTTAAGAATGCTCAGGACCACGGTATGATCGGTGCTGTGATTTTCAGTGACCCGGGCGATGATGGGAACATGACAGAAGGTGAGCTCAGTAGATCTTCTACCAGACTTTCTCACTGACAGCTCTTAGCAAAGGGAGTGGCCCCCTACCCTTATGGTGGTGCGAGGAACCCTTCAACCGTTCAACGTGGATCCGTCCAGTTCTTGTCTACTTATCCAGGAGACCCGACTACTCCTGGTTACGTCTCCAAGCCAGACTCACCACGCGCAGATCGCACCGAAATTACTCCACAGATTCCATCATTACCTATTTCTTGGATTGAAGCCCAGCCTCTACTTCAGGCGCTCAACGGCTTTGGAACCAACGGCACTGCAGTCAACAGAACAAACTGGGTTGGGGCCATTCCCGGAGTTGGTTATTTCACAGGCGAGGGATCCGGCGCATCTCTATCGATGAGTAATGTGATGAACGACACGTATGGCACAATCTGGAACGCTGTTGGTATCATCAACGGTACGCTCGAGGATGAAGTCGTCATTGTGGGCAACCATCGTGATGCCTGGATTGTTGGCGGTGCTGCCGACCCTAACTCTGGATCTGCCGTGCTCATTGAGTTGGCCAAGGCATTTGGCGCCCTCGCTGAGACAGGTTGGAAGCCCTTGCGAACAATCGTCCTTTGCAGTTGGGACGCCGAGGAGTATGGCCTTGTTGGAAGCACTGAGTGGATGGAAGAGTACATCCCCTGGCTCAAGAACGCCGCAGTGTCCTACCTCAACATCGATGTCGCGGTCAGCGGGCCCATCCCAGACGTTTCCGCAACTCCAGACCTCCACGCTGTTGCCACGAATTTAATGAAGAAGATCGTTTACCCTTACCGAAACGACACTAGCCTTACCATGTACGACGTCTGGTCGCACGAAAGCGGCGAGGTCGGTGTTCTGGGTAGTGGAAGTGACTACACCGCTTTCCTCCACCGTGGTATTGCATCCATCGACATGGGAGCTGGCGGAGGTCCAAACGACCCGGTCTATCCCTACCACAGCAATTACGATTCGTACCACTGGATGGCTACCTTTGGTGACCCTGGCTTCATCACCCACAAGGCCATGGGACAATTTCTTACTCTGCTCTTGTACCACATGGTATCCGACCCTGTCGTGCCCCTTGAGCCAGCAGACTACGTCTCTGAATTCAACACGTACCTTGAAGATCTCGAGACGGAAATCAGCGGTAGCAACTTCACTGTTGACCTTACGAACCTTACTGCAGCAATCGCCCAGTTTGAAACCTCGGCCCAGGAGTTTGTTACGTTGAGAGATCAAGCTGTTGCTGCGAATGACACTGAGCTTATCACCGTGCAGAACCACAAGGCACGCGATTTCTCCAGAGGCTTTACCTCGCAGGGTGGCTTGCCCACAAGGGAGTTTTATCAGCATACGATCTTCGCTCCTGGACGTGATACTGGATATGCTCCAGTCACCTTTCCTGGTATTACTGAGAGTATCACATTCGATCAAGATGCAGACTTGGCGCAGGAGTGGGTGCAGAAGACTAGCTCTGCGATCTTGGTCGCTGCTAGTATCTTGAAGACGTAAAGACTCAAGGAAAAGAAAACATCGTTACAATCATTTGAGTAGTAGCAGAGGGTGGGGGAGACAGCCCACCGACGGACTTGGTGAAGAAGAGATATGTGGTCAGTAGTAGAAAGAATAATGATAATGTATGCTGCAGGATTCCTCGCGTTTCGTTCTTCCAAAGCTGAACAACATTCTCTCCGCTCATTTCACAACAGCAAACAAGAAGCCGTCATAAGATTTCTCGCCAACTGTCTGCAATACCACGCCGTCCAATCTCTCATCCTTGCCCACGTTCTCCACCACCCTCCTCGCACCCGCAACCCTTGGATCATCCGTCTCCTCCGCCAATTGACCCTTCCTCACCACATTATCCACGATGACACACGCACCTGAGTCACACATATGCAGCGCCAAGTCCACATAATTCCAGTTATTCTCCTTATCCGCATCGATGAAGACAAGATCGAACTGCGCCCTCTTCCCCTCCTTGACCTCCTGTACAAGTTGTGGTAGGACATCCATACCAGCCCCGAGTTTGACCTCGACCTTGTCTTCCAACCCGGCATTTTTTATATTCGCTCGCGCAACGTCAGCGTGGTGACTATCAATTTCTAGCGACGTTACTTGGACGCCCGGACTAGATGTCGCGAGCCAGATGGTACTGTACCCGCCCAACGTGCCTACTTCGAGGATGTTCTTTGCACGTGCGAGGCGGGCGGTGAGCTGGAGGTATTTGCCTTGGGAGGGTGAGACAGCGATGTCAGGTAAACCGGCTTTTTGAGAAGCATCGAGGGCTTGTTGAAGAGAGGATGGAGAGGGCGATGTTTCGGTAGACGGATGTAGGTGAGAGAACGAATAGGTATCTACTGCTGTCCATCGGGCGTCTTTTTCGTGGGATGAGCCTGGGGGCGCCATTGCGAATTACAGCTTGAAGTATGAAGAGTTGGAGAGGTTAGTTCTTGGTTAGCTATACGCCTTGAAAGCGCGTGTCAACGCGTCTTTATAGACACGACTACATGCGCGGAGTCATCCACATCGTATTGTATACGCGTCTTGCATACATCTGCCTGATAGTGTCATATTGCGTTATTGGAGAGCGCGTCGTGGAGGGGTGGATGAGTCTTCAGCCAGCTCGGGAATCTGGTTAGCATAAATCCGAGCCACGAGCTACGATTTCCGATATCGCCGAGGTCAAGAAAACGTAGTTCACCACAAGAAAGCAAGAACACGGAACGAGGAGCTTGACCGAAGAGCGATTCTATCAAGGTCAACATCCAATACTCCTATCGTTTCATCTATATACTCATTTATCGCTTTTCGGATGCAATCCCCTTCGATGCCTGGTGTGCGAGTCGCCGCGCTTCAGGTGGAAGAGGCGGAAGTCCTTTGTTCACATCTAACAGTGTGACTCGAGTGAAGTGCTTCAAAGGACTAGGTCTGTAGGGCCGGTGCACAGGGTGGATACCATGCGGGGTGACACCTCTGGTGAAGTGGGTGCTGATGGAACATCTTGATTTGCTAATGCAAGCAGGGCTGTTGTGGTTACCTCTTTGGGACTTGGTGGTGTTGCTCGTCATACTCTGGCTTGCGCGAGGGCTTTTGAGGGTTCTCATGGCGCTGAGCATGTGGGGCGAGGTAGAGACATCTGACTGGACAATTGGGGGAGTGGTCTGCTTTTTGTGTGTCTGAGGACAGTGGCTGCCACGGTGGGCAGAACCCTCTCTCATGCGAGAAGCCCGCATAGACGATTCTTCCATCTTGGACAATTTTGCTTGCAGCTTCCGGTCCGTCTCACCCTCTGTATTCTTATTAAGCATGCGGTCTGACGTCTTTTTGCTTATCCTTTTCCAGAGCCCTACTGGATACTCTTGGAAATCTGGAATGCTTGCAGCCCTGGTGGCTTCATGGATTCCGTGGTACTTCTTTCTGGGCTTCCACCAGGATAGTGCAGTTGGCTTTGTTCTGTTGGCTGTAACATCGACTCCTGGTTTTGAGAATTCGATGGAATCAACCGATGAATCGGAAGAGAAGCATGACTGGGCTGCACTCGGCTCGTCGCTGTAGCCGTCATGATGAGACTGACCCAAGTCCCCAGCGTTCTCCATGCTGACGGCTTGCCCTTCGACTTTGCCAGTCTTTCCTTGTCCCTCAGCATTCTGCGCCTGAGCTGGCTCATGATAACATGGCTCCCTGTCGTTCAAGTTCTGGTCTTCTTCTCCGCAGCTTGGGTCTCCAATTGTGCAACGACTGTTATCACTTCTCAATGTTGACGCCTGGCTGTCTACCTGATCAGAAGAACAATCCCACTCGACAACTCCCGGTTGACCTGTGGACGACTCCAAAGTACTATCACGTATGTTCGACTGGTGGTCAACCGAGAGGCTTTGTTGCGCAATATCGTTCAGAATGGGGTCGCTATTGTCAAGCGAATATCGTGATACGAGCTCCGCAATGTCGTCGAAGCTTAGCTTGTTGTTGCGCAGCAGATACAAGAAGCTGATGCAGTCTAGATCGCTGCGTGGTCCCAAAGTGAACGCTATTGGTGTGCGCGGAGCCTCGAGATAAACGCCTTGGAGGTATTCTTTTCTTCCTTCTGCTAGCCTTAGTGTATGCACGCCTTTGCTGCAACTCGGCTCTGCATTCTGACGGACTTCGGAAGCACTGTCCTTTCGCTGACGATGAATTCCTTCGGCACAGGGTGAGCAGTCCGCTATGCCGTAACCGCCACTGGCGTCGTCGTCGCCTCCTCGAAGAGACCATGGGTCGTTGGAATCGTGAGAAAATGGTGAAGGTGAAGACGCTGGCGAGTCTACCTTGAGGCGCCCATCTAGAAAATTCACCACCCGGATAGAATCGTCGTCGCCACCAACCACCTCCCTCGTCAATGGCCATTCTTCTTCTTGCCCTTCTCCTCCACAACAGCTGACGCGGTCTAGTTGCTTCAGCGCCGCCTCAAAGCCTGACCTGGCTTCCCTGAGGAACGCCCAATCGAGACGTATTCCCTCTCCCTGATAAGCAGCTACCGGCCTCATACCTCCCCCCTTCCCGTTCTCTTGCATGCTTTCGTGGTGTTCGCGCAACCTGATTGCACACGCCCAGCACCGCCCTAACCTAAACTTCAACCACCTGAGGACTTCACCCTCCTTCTCGACCTGCTCTGGTCTTAAGATCGTTTGTACTACTCCTTGCTGATTAGCCAATTTTGAAACCTTGATGAGTTCAGGAGCGTGGCCACATGTGTAGGAGCGACGATAAATGTATGTATATACTGGTAACCCGGATTTAAGGGTTGTTGAAGGCTCAGTCTGCAATGCTGCTACTAGTGGGGTCTTATCAGCCATGACTGTTCTCCGTAAGTGGCAAGGGCGGCCCGATTGTGGCATTAAGCGGGGATTAATCAGAGTCTAGAATGGCACATACAGTTGGATGTTCTTGTTGTAGTTTGTTGGCCGCCCAGTCTCTACAATGGGGGCCGATACGACACGGTTGGTGCCACCTCAGCAACGACTGCGAACCTCGTATCGCTGTGACGTGCCATTTCTTTTGAAGGATGCCTTCTGAAAGCTCAGAAAAGATTGCGACGTAGACGATCTTTGTGAGGCGCTGACGTTGCGCTGCTGATCTTGTTCCGTCGATCTGATGTTGTGAATAAACGTAGTGACTAGGGTTAAGCAAGGGTTGAAAGGATCTCATTGAAGATGCGGACTTGGCCGCTCAATATTCCATTATTACTGTAACAGATAACGCCATATGGTCATACCCGTCTTTGTCCCGTGTCCGCCTTCGGATATTGTGCGGGTAAGGCAAGTGCCGTCTTGCCAAACAATAACGCCACGCTTGCTAAAATGATAAAGTATTGCGAAAGTTCCAGACCATACCACACTCCTCGACCAGTTATGCGCCGTAGTTCTGTCCTGTGCTCACAGGAGCATATCCAGCTGGAGTATGACCCACATATCCCTGGTTGGCTAGCGGATCGTGTCCAGACACTGGGGGACTCTCAAGTGGTGGGCTCGTCAAAGGCTCCATAACATAGCTTTGATGCGGCGATTTGTATTCGGTGCTTTGAGCTGTAAGTGGCATCAGATCTTCGGGGTGCGAGCTCCACCGTGCCGTGTTGCGCATCTCTTCCAACCCCGCTTCGTGTGGCACATGCCCGTATAGCGCACCTGTCTCCTGCACAGATCCGTGTGGACTATGTCCGTGGCCGTGGTGTCCATGCTCTTCGAATTCCAACGCGTATGGCTTTCCGCTCTTCTGAACTTGCCAGTTGCAATATATCGAGCTTAGCTTATCGATGACCAGGATAACGAACAGGATGATGACGCAGATGGGTAGTAGCCATGGTGATTCGACCATCCTGTGCAACCGGTTGGTGTCGGCCATCAGAGCCAACATTGCACCACCAACGCCAAGGGCAAGAAAGCGCGATATGACGGAAGTGAAGTCGAATAGATCAGCCTTGTGGCGGCGGATCAAGAAAAGGAATATGATCAGGCAGATAAGAAGCAGGCAGAAGGATGACCAGTAGTAGAGGTAGACAAGCTCGAATCCTTTGAGGCCAATTTTGAGGGGACTAAAGTCCTCGAGTTTATCGACTGGAATCTTCATGCCGAGTCCAGTGTACATACCATTGGTAAGAAGGTGAGACACGTTCTTGAGCGCCTCAGGCCAGGTACCATCTTCGTCGTCTTCACCCATATTATACTGAGTAGTATTCTGCGGCGAGCAGATGCCTGTGGCGTTCCCGACAAGCCAGATGGCCGACTCAGCCTGGTTATAATAGCTTTTGGTTTCAAACTTGCCGTCTAGCTCGAAATACTCCAAGAGGTACTGCAGCTTGTCTTGTAGCTTCAGGCCGTCAAGGTGGTCGTCTTGGCAATATTGAAGGATGGAGGTGGTGACTTTTCCGGTATTCCTGGCGACGTACCGAGCCAGAGCAATTTGCTGAGAGCCTTCGACAACACCAACAATCGCAAGTTGGAGAGGAAAGTGTAGCAAAGACCATATTTGTTGCCGGATGGTTCCGTAATGTCCGTGGGGAAAGTTGTCGAAGTAACTGGGGTATCGTTAGTTATGGAAACCCAGACTTTTTTCACCTGTGTATACTCACAGAGCCCATATTAGCACAAGAACGACGATGATACACATGATCAAAAAGCATCCTTCAACTTCTAGTCCATGCTTCCCCATCATCCTGCTTACTGTCTTGGTGACGCCAATTGCGCCCTCGCCAATAACAATAATGGTCAGCAAGCTCATGCGCTCCATCAGATGGGTCTTTTTGAAGCTCATCATGCGCCAAATACACGATATAAGAATGACTCCAACGCCTTCAAGCACCATGACGATATACCAGACGATGTAAACGAGCCGCCTGCTGTGGTCGGCCTCGTTCTTGAATGCGGGTGTCATAGCGGCGAATGCACCCATACTGACTGCATATATGGCGAACATGAGCATAAGTGGGAGGTAGATCTTCCCATACTTTGCTCTCCAAGTGAAGTAAAGGACAACAAGATATTGAATGGCAAGAAGACCACGGCTGATGACTAGTGTATAGCACAGGATACGGAAATTCTGCATAATTCAGTATACATGATTCAAGATGTGGGCATCAAACTTACTGTGTTGTTCCCTTTGCCCTTCTCGTTTGCTGGGTTGAACTGACTTCCAACCAGCGCCAGGCCAACAAAAACTATGAATTGGATCGTCTTGCACACGCGCTCATAGAGCGAGTCGCGCGCAAATCGAACATCGTGGAGTGTGATTTGAAACCAACACGACCATAATATGCCAAAGAAACCGATGTATGCCAGTAAATAGTCTATGTCGGTGATAGAGTGATAGGCCGTAAAGGTTGCCAGATTAGCAACGAAGAACAAGTCGAAGAAAAGTTCCACGCTATTCGCTTCATGTCGTTGAGAGAAGACCAGATTTTCGTGATCGGCACCAACTAGCGGGGATTCGATAAACGGTGTTGTCTTGTGCAGCCGTTTGAGATGCTTTTCCGCATCGACATCTCGCTTGTGGCCGTGGAAACTCCAGCCCATATTGCCAATCTCCTGTGTAGTCAATAACGATGAAACGACTACAACGGGCGAGAAAAGGAGTTAAGAAGTTTAAACAATGATAGACAGGAGCATACCAAGACCAACAACACGAACTCGATTCGGCCCTGCCGAGATTCTTATGCAAATCCCATTTCGCATGCTACACGCGACACGAGATAGCCCCGCGAGCTATGGCGCATATTCTATCTTAGGCCTGTGAGCCCAGGCCAGCACCCACGGAATCTCCACCAGACCGCTAGCAACAGTGCCAATAGCACTGCATCGTGGCTTGTTACACGGTCTTGCTAGCTGGTCACCCAGAAGGGCTAGAGGATGCTAAGCTGGAGGAAGCTTTGAGAACCAAGCTGCTGCGGATCAGGCTCAGTAGTACGCCAACACAGCAATGCTGACAGCGCTATTGTGTATCGGGAAAGCACAGAGGATGAGATTCACGACGGCAGCATGCCTAAACCCAATCATCCCATGCACGTGAGGCTTGGCAGGCTTCCGTGTCGAATTACACGGCGTGGAGGTTGGAGTCAGCTCAGCCCTGAGATCCGTAGACGGGCCGCTAGCGGAACAAGCGTCTTGTTTGTTTGTGGCGTAGGGCCATCGCCAGCTAGCCTCATCCTAGCACGAAGACATTGTCGCAGCATTGAATTGGAACGTCCTGGCGTGCATGGTAGACGTGCTGCAGTAACATTCACAGCTCAGCATTGCCCGCCGGCAGGCGGTCAGCTCGGCGTTCAGCATCGCCTATTGAGGCACCAACCTGGATCACAATCACTTCTCCATGACTATGGACCCTCACCCGGTCGGCGTTGCGTAGATATCACTCCCTTCTCGCTGCCGATCTTGCTCTCTCATCACCAAATGTGCTCGCAATTTCGAGTCATGTCATACATGATATTACCCGGTGGTCTGGAAGCGCATGCTCATGCTCCTCGCATCTCTTCTCTGACAGCGCGCCTAAGGTGATTACATGAAGGCCAGCTATTTGTGGACGGGAGGAGCCGCGAGCAAGATTACCGCAGCTGTTTCGTGAGTATCACAATGCCAAGTTCCCATCAGGGTCAGACAATCTCTCGGGTCATCATTTTCCCTTGCTGCGGGAGGGCTTCTCATTTGTCTGCTGTGGAAACCGAGACTGTCAGGAGGAGCCTTTTCCCCCTGTATTGTATCCTAGCCATAACAGACCTTGAAAGACATCTACAATGATAAGATTTAAACATCTTCCAACGAAGCAATAGTGTATACCATGAAGGTGGGTTTCGGTGTTTAGGGTGGAGCTAAGGAAACAAGCTCCTTGGTAGTAAGCGATCAGAGAACGTTTCATATCGAAGTGATGATTGGCTGACACCTCAGCCAGATGAATATATTCTAGACCCACCACATGAACGCCGCGCTGATAGTCAAGATCTAGGAGTCTAAGTCGTGCAAATATGCTGCAATATATTCCGAGTTTCGCGCACCTCCTACTTCCGTATCAGCCCTGTACGCTCGTTCACGCCCTCACCAATCTCCTCTTCTTCATCTTCCTCTTCCTCTTCGTCGTCGCTGAATCCTTCAGCTTCCAGTCCCTCGCCGCGGATTCCAAAGCTCAAAAGGAATCCAATAAGTGCGATACCAGCGAAGATACCAAAAGGCAAAGCTTCGCCTTTGGGTTTCAACTTAGTAGCAGCCGTGAAAAGCGAGCCTGATAGGAATGGACCAGCCGCACGACCAGCGGCAGAGAGCGTCTGAGCGAGGCCATTGAGCGTACCAAGCACATTGTGATTGGGTGCAGAGTTGGTGATCTGTACAAAGTCAGCATCTGTAGGTCACTACATAATCGACACGATAACTTACCATAAGGAGCGCAGCTGTCAGACCACCGACACCTGCAATCGTCTTGATTACCAACACAACGCCAAGCTCAAACCACAACCAACCAGCACCCGAGCCGATACCCTTGTAACCCTTGCTCTCTTTATAGCCTACCCATGGCATGAGACCGAAGGCTGCTATGAACAATCCTAAGCTGATTCTGTATGCCATCTTGTTGCCGAGCTTGCCTCTGAGCCTGCCAAATACACCTATCTGGAATAGTATTGTTATAGCACCAGCAAATGACAAGGATAGTCCGACGGCTTCAGGCTTCAGGCCTCGTCCAGTAGGCGGCTGCTCTTCCGCAAAGATTGGATATAGAGAGTTGTACGAGATGTTTGCGAGCTGGAATATGAAATATGTTATGAGAAGCAGGACGGTATCCCGGTTCAGAATCTCTTTCCGCGTGAGTTCGTCGCCGCTGCTGTGTGGGAAGAGCGTAGGTGCAGACTCTCCAGAGGCATCAGAAGCATCGTCTTCATCTACATCATCTTGTGTATCGTCTTGTGAATTGTGGTTTTTGTGGTTGCCCAACAGGCGTCGTACGTAGGTCGGTCGTGTCGAGCTTGTGAACTGCCACATCCATGAGAACAAATTACCCAATCTCTTTCCGAGAGGGGGTAAGTTCTTCGCTTCTTCCAAACTCTCTTCTAGAAAGAGCATGCACACTACCAGATCTATGGCGAGGACGAGGGCTGAGAAGAGGTTCGGAAGAAGGTACGGGTATGGGTTCGACGGGCTCTTGTTGAAGGGGTTTTGGTACAGGACCAAGAGTCCTCCCACGATGGGCCCTGTTATGCCACCAATACCGTAGATTACGGGCAGGTAGGTAAAGGCGCGCGACTGGTTGCTTCGATCCGTAATCTCACCCAAGCATGTCGACACAACGCCATTGTTTCCGTTGACAAAGCCCATCAAGGCCTGGACGAGTATAGCCTGCCAGAGCTCTCTGCAGAAACCAAAAGCCAGGAAACAACACATGGTCAAGAAAGTACCCATGATGATGACTGGCTTCCGTCCGATCTTATCAGATAGCCAACCCCAAAAGAAATTTGTTGTGAACTGCGCCAAGGCAAACGAGGATGCGATGAGTCCGACGTATAGCCCTGTCTGTCCATCCTTGACTTCGGGGAACGACTTTGTCATCTCTGGTAGATATGGGCTTATCGAGTTGAGGGCTGTTTGCTCGGCGAGAGCTATGACAGCTAGTACGATCAGCTGCTTGGTCGGCAGGGGCGACTCGTGGTGGTTGTGGCTGCCATCTTCAGAACGGTTGCCATCTTGGCCGGACGGGGAGTCAGATGGTGGTCGACCGCGGGATTTGGGGGGGATGGTTGGGAAGGTAGTATAATCTACGTATCGATATACACAGTTAGCATGTCTCCAGTGCACCTCGCATACCGAAGCTACATACGGAGCGTTGACCGGCGCGCATCGAGGGCTGGCCGACTGGAAGGCATTGTCGCCGAATGTGCTACCTCTGTGAGGCCGAGTTGTCACAGCAGGCTTTCACGTGCATCGATGCGCAGGTGATGGAATTCTTGGATGCAGGAGGCTGAAGGACGCGCTTTGCTGTGAAGATTTCAGGCTGGGATCACGCGCGGCTCAAGCTACGTACGTCATTATCGCAGGAACCCGCTTCGCTTGGCGCGGCATCTCGATGATGTCTCACCATCGCGCACTCGACTAACAACTGCCTCATTCACGTACTCGAAAGACGTCCATTGCTCAATCCTCCCTGAGCATGTGTGGTCCCTGAACGTTGTGCTGTTTGCGACCATCCAATGGCCTACCCCATGGCTTTACAAACACAGATGTCATGGTCCTTTTCCATCTCGATGAACATCAAACTATGTTCGCATAATGCGAACAGGCTAGACAAAGCTTGGAAAACGCGAGCGCGACACGGATGCATCGCATTGCCGACTATCTAGGTCCCAGTGGAGGCTGGTCAAGCCTGACGCGGAGGGCCGAAGGCAGTCAAAGCTCGATTGTCAAAAGAAAGCATTAGCGCAACAACCACTGACGGCTTCTGGTGCAGACCCATATCATCCATATCTAAAATAAGAATGCATGCTACAGTACGATAGCCGCTCCATAATCTGTTCACGCGCAAAACGACAAAACACAAGACATGACTACCCGGATCAGCAACCTGGGCTTACTGCAATATGCCTTAAGCATGCTTCCCCACAATTTTATTTAATTGCCCCAAGGATTACCCCCTCAACCTCAATCTATTACGCCCCGTCCCGTCGCCAATGCTACACGAGAACACCAAAAACTGTCTGAGGACACAGGACTTATCGGTAGAGGCAAGCTCTCTCGGGATCATCATCAGTCGCTTAACCCCGGTGAATTTAAGCACTTAAAGTTTCCAGAAGTCGCTCAAACCTTCTCATACGTCAGACCTGCGCTGATGTCTTGTTCGTTCTCGACATCAGACGTGCAGGATTTCGGACAACCGACTGATCCACCCGTGCCTCCATCGCTTCAGCTTCCGTTTGTTTCGAGTCACTTGACGGGTCTCCTGCGTCTCTGTCACTGCTATGCAAGGCTAATGAGCACATTAGGACCAATACAATCAAACGACTTAGATTACCGTGATGCCAAAATGCTGACTCTGGATTCCGTTGCGGAGATTTCAGGCATACAGTATTCACCACTGTATAAAGTCGATAAGATCCTACACAGGAAGGGCACACAGTCAGTAGGTCCGCACGGAGACGTAGATACACAGTGACCTTTGTTTGAAGGCCCCTTGCGTCAGCTTCTAATTCGACTACCCCTCAACAACTGGTTATTTTAAGTTTCTCCCATCCTATCTTCTTTCTTTCACACTCTGAGTGTATATCGTTTCAAGCATGCGATACTCTATCCTGCTTCCAGCTCTGGCGGCCTTCGGCTCGACTTTTGCGAGACCGAAACAACCGGAATTCACCAATACCACCACCTTACCTACCCACTTCGGACTGGTCGTATTTCCGCACTATCAAGCTCTCGACATATTTGGTCCTATGGACCTCCTCAACACACTCTTTATGTACTACCAAAACTCCACTATCGTGCCGAAATTCTCAGTTCTCAGCAAAACTATGGATCCCGTCACGTCGGCCATGATGACTGGAGGCTTTGGTCAGGAGATTATGCCTACCACAACATTCTCGGATTACCTGGCGAGCCGCGAACAAAGTGCAGACAACCACATGGCCGTTGTGAAGAGCAAGCGTCAGAGCCATGATGGTATGCATTTGCCTCCTGCGACAGACAAGGGTGACATAGATGTTCTCATCGTCCCTGGCGGTGGTGGCACCCGCAGGAATATGACTGAAGAGATCAATTTCGTCAAGCAAACTTATCCAAAGGTATCTACTATTTCCGTCCCCTTTCCATTCTCTCCAACTAACAATGCTACAGCTCAAATATATAGTCTCCGTCTGCACCGGCGCAACAATCCTATCCCGCGCGGGTATACTCGACGGCCGCAGAGCAACAACAAACAAGGCGGCCTGGGAATGGGCTGTAAAACAGGGTCCCAATGTAACTTGGGTTCCCACTGCACGTTGGGTCGAAGACGGCAACATTATCTCGACCAGCGGTGTCTCGGCAGGCATTGATGGAATGTATGCGTTTGTAAGTAAGGTTTATGGCGAAGAAGTAGCTCATTTCCTTAGCTTGGGTTTGGAGTATAACCGTGAGACGGATGCGCATCATGATCCTTTTGGTAAGATATGGGATGTTCCGGGTGCCAGTTAGATTCGCTTATCTATTGGAAGGATGGACTTACAGTGACATGGGGTTTGGTGACGTATGGGTAGATCCAATGAGGTAATTCAGTCGCACTGCATCTGCACCTGTGTTGATCTGCAGAGCCTGCTTACTTTCAGCTTACTCTGCAATCACACTACAAATCTCCTTTCCCTTCTTCGCCTGGTCCCTCGCATAAACTCGATACTTATCTCTCCATGTCCTCCTCGGAAATTCCATATCGCTCATACCTGCCTTCCCGCGGTGTAGCGAACCACGATACAGCATTTCTACCATTGGATCCTGGTTTGAGGGAGATACGATGCGTCATCTTACTGCCCGGATCTGGGAACGACCCTATCGCCTGCAAGCTCGTATATACCAACATGAAAGAAACTGAAACTCGCATACCTTACATTGCGCTATCTTATTGTTGGGGGAATGTTGAAGATACTGTTGAGATCGTACTTCATGGCTCCTCGAAGGATTCACCCAGCGCATATCAGGAGCCAATCAGTGCGCCATTTCGGATCACACGAAACCTCTATGTCGCGCTCATGGCCTTGCGAAATGACAGAAAGCAGTATCTGTAGGTTGATGCCTTGTGCATTAATCAACAAGATCCGCAGGAGAAGACGCATCAAGTTCAGTTGATGGGAAAGATCTACTCCTTGGCTGAATCGGTGTTGGTGTGGCTAGGACCAGACGATAAATACAGTCGATTTCTTATGAGATTATGGACAGCACACTTACGTCCTCTCATAAACACTCTGGATGACGGGGCAATGAAGAACCTTTATGACGATCTTTTCAAGAGCGCACACCCGTTGTGGAACGACGTGGCACAAGACGAAATTCTCATCCGATTCGAGCTCGGTCTCAATGATGAAAAGGTGGACCAGGCCTCGCCTGACCGATACAAGAGGGCACTATGGGTCAGCTTCAACAGTGTCTTGAATCGACCATGGTGGAGCCGAATATGGATTGTGCAAGAGGTTTTCCTGGCCCCAAGGAGTGAGGGAGGTGGCCGCAAGGTCCAGTTCAGGCTTGGTGATAGTCCACTGGATTGGCAAGACACATTGCATACTAAGACAATACTACCCGGTTACGGTCCTCTCTCTGTTAGCAAAGTCTGTCGCTCGTGGTACGCACTTATCGACATGGACGGAAAGTTCTCGGATCCAGACATTGACACTCTGATTGAACATACGTCTCATTTTTGCGCTTCCGATCCCCGGGATAAACTTTTCGCTTTACTCCAACTGGCCTCAGATACTAGAGCATGCATGCACGACCCTTTAATCATGCCTGACTACACCAAGTCTCTGGAAGTTGTCATAGATGACTTGGTACGATGGAAACCGAGTTTAAGTAAAGACGTCCTTCAATCTTGGGTTGAAGGAACATGAAAGGACGGTTTTCGTAACCGGCTTCCTCGGTCAAATGGAAAGCAGTGAACAACATGTATCTCTATTTTATGCTGGTAAGGTCTTATTACTCCCAAGTTCGGAGACAGGGGTTGCGGTGTACATATCAACGTCAAGACCAAGACAGTATAGTGCCCATAAGTCAAAAGATCATGATGAGTTACATCTTATGTTTAGACACTTCTTCCTACATGCAGTTGGTCAGATAATGGCTGTCGTTAGTCACAGCCGTAGCTGCGGTGCCTCAGATGGCGGTAAACACAAGATGTTAGTGCGCCAATAGCCTTACAGATACGAATCTACACCGGTAGCGGAACACAAGCTGTGGACTTTACCTTTTGAAGGTGCCGATACGTGCGATACCCTCAGATGAGGACGAATTGTAATATATCAACGACAAGATCGGGTCAATTAGTGTCCTAATGTCAGTAAATCGCACATCTAAGGGGTAGCATACCATCATCACTGCCGATCGAGGACGTTCTATCTCAAAGATTTGCATTAATGACAAAGTTTCTAATGTACAGCTTCAGGAGCTTACTGACCTTTCATGTCCGCGACACATCTTGGGGAACCTTGCATTAGCTGCTGATAGCCGTTCGCGATGTTGGCGACGAATATACCCTTGAGGAATTGAGCACCCGGAATCTACTGCAGACGAACACCAGCAGTACCCTTCTTCTTCGCCTGGTCATCGAAAGCATTGCCCAATCCACCACCTCCACTCCGGCTAGCTTCGAGCGAACTTTCAGCCATCCTCTTGTTTTCAGCAGCAATTTTATCAAGTTGCTTCTTCGTCTTCGTGTTTCCACTGCCTTTGCCGTGGAACTGGTGACTGAGCTGCTTGAACGCTTCTTTCTGGTTCATATGTCGGCCGTGTTCATCGACATATTTCAGCTCGATATTGGGTGTGTACTCCTTGTTAAAGAGCTCAGCAAGACGGCGGCTCTCAACCATGTCGGCGCTTGTGTTGTTCTTGCGTGCCCACTCTTCACGTTCACGGGGGGTCATGTTGTTCCAGCGGGCGGAGCCTCGTTCGCGTTCACGAGCAATCTTACGTTGGCGTTCTGCATCGGCTTCGGCCTTGAGCTTATCGGCAAGGAACTTCTGGCGGTCACGGTACATGGCGTTCTTGTCTCCGGCGTCGGTCTGTGTGACTAGGCCTCGTTGCTTGAGCAGGGCAAGTGTGGCACCCAGACCTTGATCGACAGTCTTCTCAGCCTCAAGACCCGTCTCAGTAATCTCAGTGGACCTAGCGCGAGAAACGCTGCGGTTGCGGGCCTCTTCCGCTTCGGCTGCTTCGGCGTATGATTGTCCCATGTCGATATCGCCGTCCTCATCAGCAACGGGGATATCACCCATAGACTTGGTGCCCTCCGAAATGTGGCTTGGCTTCCTACGCTTCCGGCGGGCCTCCTCTTCGTCGGCGTCTCCAGCGGCACCCAGGTTTTGTACGAACTCGGTCGTTTCGTCGATGACAAGGGCACCGTCGCCGTCTTCAGTAGACTCCATAACGTCTGGCTGAGGTGTAGATGCTTCCTCGCGCATTTGCCGTGCAAGGTCTTCCGGTCGCATCTTCTTGCGCTTCTTGAGGGCTTTCTGCCGCTGTGCTGCGAGATTTGCTTGAAGGTCATCGTCATCCACGAAAGACTCGTCAAAGACCTTCTTCTTCTTCTTCTGCTGTGGTGCTGAGATTTCACCGCCGTCAAGATCCATGTCGTCGTCAGCTGCAGGTTCTTCCGTGGCCATAGCTGCTAGTTCGTCTTCGTCTTCGACGCGTTCTCTCTTGGACTTCTTGCTCTTCTTCTTCTTGGGCTTCTTCATCTTGACTTCTGAAATATCCATGTAGTCGTTGGTAGGCGCATCTTCTTTGAGTATGTCTAGACTGATAGCAACCTTCTTTGGCTTTGAGGCACCCGCAACCTCTGCTTGTACGTCTTCAACAGTTCGGCCCTTGCCGTCCAGTGTGAAAGCCTTGCCCTTCTTGCCCTCGATCTCCTCGTCGTATTGTGCCAGTATCGACTTTTGACCTGATTCATCCATGTCGTTGGGATCGTATGCGCGCTTCCGCTTTTTCGAATCGAGTCGCTCTTGTAGTCGCTCCTTTTCTCTCAGCGAAACCGCTTCTAGCTCGTCATCTTCTTCTCCATCGACTGCGGTGTCTTTGAGGACAAGAATCTGGTCCTCATCGTCGAACTGATCGACCTCGTGTCCGACTTTGACACCCGCAAGGTCTTTATCGGTGTACTGCATGGCCTCGAGTGCCTGGCGCTCGCGCTCTTCAAGCTCCTTACGCATCTGTTCTTCCTTGGCGATCTTCTTCTGGCGCTTCTTGCTGCTCTTCAACCATGCCAAGTCGTCGTCGACATCAGCTTCGTCTGCTAGCCCCTTGCCCTCGAGTTTCGCAAAGCGCGCCGCCTTTTCGCGCTCCTTCTTGATGGCGGCGGCGCGCTCCTCGCGTCTTATCTTAGCCAGTCTCTCCTCTTCTAGCTTTTTCCAATTATCCGAAGCGGCAGCCTCACGCGTCTCGATAGTGCTCGCAGGCTCTTCGTCCGAATCGTCGCCATTTTGCGCTGCCTTGAAATCGAGACCTGATGACGATGCGGGCGCTGCGGGGGTACTTCCACCGGGAAGAGCGGAAAGACCCATAGACAGACGAATCTTGTTCGCCTCATCGATGGATAGATCCGCCATGATTGATGCGGTTGTGGTGTCGATGTCGCAACGGGAAGACGATGTGAGTTCGAATAAGAGCTGGTGGCGCCGGTCGTCCCTGGGTTTCAGTGCGCCTTTGAGCAGCCCAAAGAAGCAGTCGTCGCGAAGAGTGAAAGCACGTCTAGCCTTTCCCAAAAGGTGAAGTTCAGTGTTCGGTGCCTACTCGTGCACGACCTGCGGGCAACATCGCACCTCCGTCCATCTTTCCGCCAAGCCACTAGGTTACTAGCGTGCCGAAAATCAGCCGAGCGACATAAAAAAAGTTCGTCGCCCTCACCCATCTCTCTCACCACAACGACCTGTGTCAGCGTCTCCCGTCCACGTCCTTCGGGGGGTGTGATGGTTGAGATTCTGACAGTTCGTCCACCATGGAACTCTTTTTCTTATGTAGAGCGTTTCGGACGACAGGTGGCGGAGAACAACTTTGGCAGCTTCCGGCAGCCTGAGCTCACCCTTCACGGGGTTTGAGCTCGGTGTATGGTTGTCTGTCAGGCAGACTGATTCCGTTTCCCTTTTGCTAGGCCGTCGGCCATTGATGCTTGGGACTAACCCAGTCGGCTACATGCCTTTTCGTGCAAACGATAGTTTTTGCAATTGCGCGGCTTCACTGCGCTGGTAGATGCATGCCCTTTGATGCTTGACCACCTCGCATACGAGTCGCTGTGAAAGCGCGACGAACGCGTTCACGCGTTTGCAAGTAGCTGCATCGCTCGCGAAGTCATGTGCATGCGCTTAGTCTGCAAGAGAGTATTAGACGCAAATACGGGTCTGACTGTCATCGCGAATTAAAAACTATTGGTTCGAGTTGTAGACGAGCACAGAGACATGATCGCTAGAAGTAGTCTCGTGTTGACGTCGTATGCATGTCATTCAATGTACATATGTTACAGAATCTCAGCTTCGAAGCCGCTGCATGATAGTCCAAGTGCAAGTGAAAGTCCATATAGTCTTTCCACATGTTTCTCATACCCGGACCACGCTTAGTTTGTAGCCGGTACCTCTCCCCTCGCCAACTTGAGCAGCTCAGCCTCTCTCCGCTCCTTCAATAACCTCTCCCTAACCTGCACTCTGTCCGCCTCAGACCGCTCCTTAAACTCTTCGATTTCTTTCATCTCAGCCAGTTCTTGTTCAGTTGGCTCGAGCTGCTGCGCGCCCGTCTTCTGTACTAGTGCCTCCAAGATCTCGCTTTCTGACTGATCTCTGATGTCAATTGTATATGTGGGCTTCGAGGTATCAGGCACGAGAGTATTGCGTGGGTTCGGTGTGCCGGACGGTGGTGAGGAGTCTGACTGCTGGGCTGTGGGCGAATTTGTGGAGCCAGTCGCGGGTTGGGTTTTGCTTGTGTAAACGTGAAGGAGTGAGGGGCCGTCGGGATCGTTGTGTCGTGCTATTTCGATCGGGATAGATGGGTTACGGTATTTCATCCGGGGCAGCATATTGCGCCAGAATTTCCTGTTCGTAGTGAGCACACTCTATCATCGAGTACTGTCGCCAGCCTGCCAAAGTGGTCTCGACATAAACACAGCTTTTCTCTCTTCCTTCACAGCCACTACAGAAGAAAAATATAAGCGTACCTTGCCCCTCTATGTCCTCCGTAGAGCTTTGTGTTGAACTCCATACTGATCTTCGACACCTCTTTTGGCAGTATAAGTGCGCCTGGCCCACATCGTATCCATAATAACTGTTATCGGTACAGTCAGCGTCGTGTATTCTTCACGAACTTGAGAGCATATCCGGTGCGATCGCCTTCTCCAGCGAAACTTTCGGAGGTGCCTGTGGGTGGCCGGTTGCACGTACCTTCTGTAATAGTTGTTAGCTATGCGCGGAAAGCAGACAATGCTTTCGGAAACCAACTACTTGCCTCGTGTAGTTTGCGCATGCGCTTCAGTATGTGCACCATGATTGCTATGATGTGATGTGGAATTGGGGTTGCGGAGTTCAAGAGATTCTTAGCGCATGGCCCGGTAGCGCGGTCGCATCTTGGCAGCTGCTGGCCGACCATGAGGTCTTTCGACCCTTCACTCTGGAAACAGTCAAGGTGGAATATGATATGACTGAACGCATTGCATTGATTGAACGCCATCAAAGGTATCTGAGCTACATTATTCTGTCTTACACACATGTAAATCTCCAATCTCACTCTCTGGAGACGTCTACATTCCACTCCAGGACAAATCCAATTACAGGATCGTATATATCGCATCGCTCTGGTGTGAGCGATACAGAATCGTGGACGACACTCCCCTTCTTCCTCTTAAATGTTCTAGTCAGCACGAGGCCGCAGTATGCTAATCTACCGAGCGGGTTGTGCGTTCGCGGCGCGTGCCTCCGCGGGAGTTGGTCCCGCCATACGCTTGCTCCTACAATATGATCAGTATGTGGATTCTGTCTATGGAGTGGTTTGACTTACATGAAAGACCTGCTGAGGAAAGAGATGATGATCATAGGCATCCATGAGGGCATCTTAGAGAATCCCCAGGTAACGTATCCGTACGGAATGGCAAGGTTGTACTGCTGGAGCGCACCGTTGAAGGGGTGGAAGGGGCCCTCGTAAGGGGTGACCTTCTCAATGTCGTTGTCGACGATCAGCTTCTTGAAGGTCTCGGTGGTGGTGCTTGTGCGGTTCAAAGGCTGGTAGCGAACGGTAGGAACGGGCGCAGACTGGTCGGCCATGGGCTTAGGAACCTGGAAGTAGTAGAGCGCTGGTGCGCCAACGGACCATGCGTTGCAGAGAATGGGCTCGGCTTCGCAGTCAAGGTACGCGAACTTGGGCGCATTGGTCTTTGCGGCCATGATGGGGAGAGAAGCCTAAGTCAGTGTCAGTGTATGCCATCCACATGTTCGCCTGCTACACGTACGTTCCATGCCTTGGTTGCGTTTCCACACAGACCGAAGCAAGTGGTGTTGCCACCAGTGGTGAAGATAAGCCAATCCTGGGTGGTAGGAGGGCTGGCAGTAGGATCAACCGTCAGGACCTCCTTCCAGTTCTCTAGGGTGATCGGGTACTGGATTGCTGCGGCGGCATTGGATGCTGCCTTGCTTGTTGCTGTGTCAACGGGCGCCGATGGCATGGAGGGGATGGATGCGGAGACGGCAGCAGTCGCCTTATTGAAGAAGCCCTTCACCTTGTCAAGGAGAGGGACCTGCTCCTCGGCGACAGCAAGCGCCGGGAGAGCGAGAAGAATGCCTGATGAGAAGCGCATTGTGGTTGTGTGTGGGGAAAGGTGTGGTGTTGAACTGCGAAAGCTGCGGGCGGTATGCTTGCGCTCTTCTGCCTGATGATGCCACAGGGTCCAATTGGGGCGACGTTGAAGTAATGTGGGGGATGCAGCTCAACGTCAGAGGCAACCACTAACAATCGTGAATGAGTGGCAGAAGTGTAAACTGAACCCTCGGCGAAGAATGCAAGGAAGCTCCCAAGTCGAGACAGCTAATAATACGAGGAATAGGGATGAAGACTAACAACCGGGTGTCCTTTGCACGAGCTTGGCGGTCCAGAGCTCTGCCGCGAAATTGGGAAGCCTGGACCAACCGTTCGTAAACACCATTCACTCTGGCAGGCCCGATGTACACGCGTTCACTTCTCTGCCAACCAACGCGTCGTAAAGTAGACGCGCGCGAGCCTAGGTGCACTTGCACAGATGCACGACACGTCTCGCGTTCGAAGAGCAAAATTCAACTATTTACAGACATTGCCTGTGCTATTTGATATCAGCACTGGGGCATTTCATCTTGTTTCATCTCATTTCGCTTTCATCATCGTCAATCCTCAGTCAGATCATCAAAGCTCCAAACTGGCTGCGCAATATGTGCCGCCAAAGTGAAAATAAGATCCTCGTCGCTTTCCGATTCGGAAAGCCGCTGAACAAGTTCATCTACTACCGCGTTAGTACGAGCCTACCACGCGTGAGGATACATCAACGTACTCTCGTCTCGCAATTTTTCAGAAACGTTGGCAATCATCGACGTTCTAGAGCCTGCAGTTAGTGAAATGTCCTCAGAACCTCTCCGAGGTCCCCTTGTAGAGGTGTCAGTACCTGAGCCCGATCTCCTCGCCTGGAGAGCTTTCGCCAGGTCGTTTTGGAACGCTCTGTTGGGTACTGGTTGTATATCGTCTTCATCTTCCATAGAGATGCGAGTGCTCCATGCACTGTTTCCCCGAAATGGCGATTGGTTGTTCGCTTCCCTGGCTTGAGCTCGCTCATGTTCCTCTACGTCGTGACTGTGTGCCGTCTCTTCATACACTACTCTGCCGGCTGTCGGGTTGTTATTACGATGCCTTTTTTCTGAATCCGCTACTTTGCGCAACTTGAACCCGCCCCCTCCAATCTCACCGAACAGAGCAGCCATCCCAGTATTGTTGGGTGGTCGCACTGCAGGTAGTGGAGACGCTAGAGGAGGGGGAGGAGGAGGAGGAGGAGGAGGTGCTGGTGGTGATGGCAGTGGTGGAGTGGGAGGTACTGATTGCTGAGGAGTCGGCATCTGGATACTCTGCAAGAATGCCGACGTGGATCGAGGGGAAGGCGATGCAGCTCGTGGTGTATGGGACATGATTGGTGACGACGAAACTGAGGGGTCCTCTGACCCGACTGCAGAAGGAAGCGTATCCGAATATGGGGGTATGACAGGTGATGAAGGTGTGTCTGGGTATGGCATTTCATTGTAAGTTTCTGGTTGATCATCCTCTTCATATTCTGTCTCGTCACCCTCTTCGTAACTTCCTGGCATCGGCGAACGTGGAGCTTGATCGTAATAGCTCGCTGCTGACCCAATCTCGGATTTACCATCTACACCTCGACCTGCCGGCTCTCGTTGTGATGAAGTCTCATGCTCAAACGTTTCCTCACGGATGGTCAGAGGCCGTTGGGGAAGTGAATGTTGCCAATGGGATGGTTCTGGAACAGGTGAAGCTGGACGGTGCGTAGGGGGATGTGATGACTTGCTGACAACAGGATGCAGCTGACGACGTGGAGCTCTAGCAGATGTGGGAGGCTGGAGACGTATCTCCGGAACTGGTGGGAGAGTAGAAATGTTGCGCTTGGGGCTATTAGTTTCTGGGATTTGTAGTTCAACAGTCTTTGGTCTTGCGCTTTGGTTACGGTAAGATCGTTTTGGGTCTGGCTGCGAATTTGGCTTTGGCTTTGGCTCTGTCTCACCGGAGGCTGTCGTCTGGTCACTGTGGTACTGTGGTTGTCGTGGTACCGTGGTCTTAGGTTGAGTCTGATGACTTTGGAGAGGTTTGACTGGTAAACTTCGAATCTTTGTCTGGTCAACGTCTTTTTCTCTCCTCCTATCATCATCTTTCCTTCTTTTGTGTTCCTCTTCTTCGCGCCGATGATGCTCCCACGCCTCCGTCTCAGCAGCCTTAGGTTTCCCTTCATCGCCTCTGGGTTTCTCGGGATATCTCTCAACCCACCTGACTCTTTCTGGCTCACTTTTTCGTATCTTCTCCCTATCTCTTTTATGGCTAGTCGTTTGCGCATCACTGCTGACTTTTGTGACTCTCTTCTTCTTCCTCATCTCGTCTAGCGCTTTCTCGAGCTTACCTTTACTTCGATAACCAGCCTCATGCTCGGCTTTGATGTGCCTATAAGTGTTCATGAAATGGTTTCCAAAAGTATCTTTGCTTTTACGTTCAGGTAAGCTTCCGAATGGTGTACCGTCTGGTCCTCTTTGTCGCCGTGTTGGAGAGTAGGACGCACCAATGCGGCCTGAACGAATATCTGACCGTTTGTTGTGTTCGATATCACCCCGATGAGAGCTTGAGCGCTCTCTGGACTTTCGGTGGTGAGGTCTGCGGGGTGTGTGCGACCTCTTCCGGTCTGACTGCGATGTATCTCTGCGACCACGAGAATGAGATCGCACCGTGGAAAGCCCTTTTGGTGGCCTTTGCGCTGAGGAATATGGTGGTGGAACTCTACTTCCAGATGCTAGGCCATTCTTTCGCTCTGCTTTCAAGTCTCGCCATGAAGTTTGGTAGCCACTCGCAACACTGCCCCGGCGTTCTCCACCTCTAGGCGACAGTGTATCTGGCTTTCGATGCCCATGACGCAACGTTTCTGCTAGTCCTGCACCGCCAGTCGTCTGATACTCTAGACTGTCATTTGGCAAGTTCTCGACAACGGGATCGAGAACACCATTGTCCTCATATCGTCGACGGGATCTTGGGCGTCGGTCCTGAGACCTGGATCTTTCGTAGTGCTTCCCACGCTCTTCATCTCGGCGTCTGTGTCGTGATCTTGAATGTCGATCATCTCGTGGACTACGATGGTGTCTCCCACGCTCTTCATGTCTTGATTTAGAGCGATGACGACGATGTCGGCGCTCACCACTCGACTCATGGCTACCTCCATGCCCATATTTCCTACTTTCTCCCATGTGCCTGTCCTTCCTGTGTCTTTTGTGATTTTCTCTCCCCCTTTCCTTTTTTTCTTCCGCAGCCTTTTCCTCTTTGTAGCCCCGATACAATTTTATTCCTTCCACCACGGCCTCAACAGCAAGTTTTAATCCAGGCTTCTCGTGGCGTTCAGGGATCAGATCTTGTGCTTTTCCTTGAGCTTGCTTGCGGTATCCTTCGTCCACTGGCATCGGAATTGCTCAAGATGCGTGTGCGAAGACATGGTGGTTGGGTTGTAAATTGGATTATGTATAGAAGAGATGTGAAGCGGGAGTTTGTGAATGTAGAAGCCACGAGGCGATGAAGTAGCAAGCGGACGGCTCTGCTGAGTTGATGGAGTGGAAGATAGTCGAAGGGGGTATTGGGTGCGCAAACACACTGGATATGTGAAGGTTATGAGTCGAACATGCAACGAGCGAACAGCTTCTTAATCGCAGATTCCGTGATTGAGTCTATATACCCGTCCGGCATATACAATGTCTATATCACTCTACATTGCTGTTGCAGTAGGAAAAGGGAGTCGCATCGTGGGAGGCATTGCGAACTACAGTGATAGATTGCATTAGAATTATGACCGGACAGAAATGAGCAACTGTGAGATGGTTTGCTGATATGGTGTCCTTGTGATGTCGTTGTGTGTCCTCAAGAAGCGCTTCCCAGACCCTTCGTCTTGATTTCTTCAAGAAGCGCTTTCATCGCTTCATCTCCATCTGCAGCCCTCTTCTCAAAAGCCTTCAAATTATTCTCAAGCCACTTGTCGTCTTGCCCTGCAGAAGGTAGGAGGAACCCTTGCTCTGCGGCAGCAACGATACCCTCTGAGATACCACAAAGATGCAGCGCTGTAGGGTCATCCAATCGCCCAGGCACATTTCCATCAACGTTATCGTTAGCGGAGTTCGGCCTAACCACCTTGTTCCATATTTCAGTGAGGTCTAGCACAAGCGTATTCATCTTGTCTCTGTATTCTGGTCCGCGTGTTCGCAGCATCCCAGTGATAGAGTTTGTTTCTTGCAATTTGCCGGCGATGTAGTGAGGTCGCGAAGGGTGGAAATGAACATTCACGAAGATAGAGGGCGCATTGAATGTCTGGCAGTGCAGCTTTGTGATGGCGATGGCGATGGCGTCCTTCTGCGATGTTTGGAGCTCACAGTGGTGTTGAATTATGTATTGCGGCATCGTTCAAGTATGGATTAACGAGCTGAAAAGTATATGATAGGTTTAGATTTGGAGGATAGATTCGAGAGAAAGCTAAATGTCGTTACCAAGACGTACTCGTGATGGGTCGACATGATGTGTTGGTCTGTACTTATACCACTTCAGCCTACCGGTATTCCCGTTTCCCCGCTTTCGCACGAGTAACCATCTCCTCATGTTGTCGCTCAGTACAAGCGTTCCTCTTTCCCAGATCCACGTATTGTGTGACACTTAGCGGCTCATAGACTTTGAACGCTTGCATTATGAGGTCATTTTCGGTGCAGATCGACAGCCTTTCATCCGTATGTTGCTAGCGATCAGTAAACAGGTCATGGCGTGCCTAGGCATATAGAATATAGCCGTTTTGTATCATCATCCACAACACAACAGAGGGACGGACCATGCTCCAGGTACCATACCTTGAGTAGGCACGTACAAATCAGAGAGACTAGTAGGGTATCTCGATGTCATACTGTATACTAGATGTGGACCAATAAAACTAAACATAAGATTGTGGTGCTATCACAAGACTCACGAGAACCAACACTACTCTACTTGTCTTTTGCCACGTTAATACTGGTTTGCTAGTGGCGCTCACAGTTTGCTGTGGATATAATGGCTTAGTTCACAAGCTTCTCGCTTGTATCAGAATGAAATGCTTTGGGGGCACTACGCGGAACATAAATTCCTTGGACAAATCTCAATTGTATCTTCAGCTCTTCACCCATACTGTATGGGAAGAATCCCTCAGCAGTCGCGTTCTTGAAGAAGAATTCCTTCGCCGAGTCGAGCCTCTGGTCCTTAGGAAAGCGTAGCGCAACGGCATGTCTAAATTCTCTCGCCAGATGGCCCGCCATCTCCTTCTATTACTCTCCACCAACATTATTCTTGCCCAAAATTCAATCGTATTACCATCTCCTATGTCACACGTGTTCGTTTCTCGTACGCAGCCACTACTCCTTCTTCTTCGCTTCTCCCTTCTTCACCCGAACGCCGCTACCCCTGAAGTCATTCGCGTCTAGTGCTTCGCTCTTGCCCAGGCCCAGATCTTCAGCTTCCTTCTCTAGCTGTTGTTTCTGCTTCTTGGCAGCGGCGTTGAGTAGGTATGGCCGTATGAGGAGGTATGCGCCGACGATAGCGATAATGCGGACCCAACGCTGAGCGGTCATCTCTTCGAAGGACTTGATGGAGTTGTTGACCAGGCGGTCCTTCCACTCGCCCACGTTGTCGAGTATGTAGTCCATCTTGAGTATGCGATGCGGGTGATTGCGATCGTAGAGTGCTTGTGGTGATGCGATTATGAGCTTGTGGGAACTGTGGTCGGAGAGGCTTCTAACGTCTATGTCGAGTATTGTGTGTGTGTAGGTGTGTTTGTGTGTGTTTGCGCGTGGAAGGCGATGCCGGTGAAGAAAGTAATTGCGCGCAACAATAATAAATCACTCAAAGCGTGGACCGTCGCGTGGCAGAACCTGGGCGGTGACTTCCTTCCCGTTCATCACCGAGGCCCCGCTATCGGCCCGCCCTGGACGCGTCTGGTCGCGTCACTTCTCCAGTTGACGCCTACACGCGACTGATTGCACTTATTGAGCGACATGGCGTCAGATGATGGTGCCAAAGCAGAGCGCGAAGAGGTCAGAAGCCCATGTGCCAGGCTGTCAATAAGCATGTGCTGACAACACCCACAGCGACTCAAGTCAGCCCTGTGGTACTCCATCGGCCAGTTTGTTGACGAGAAGTCGTTGGAGAACGATCTCAATGCAACGCCACAGTTCATCGGTGCCCTAACTGAGCTTGTATACACTCAAATCGGTAAGATCGATCCGCCTCTTGACATGTCATTTAGCCCGAAAATGCTAACGTTACCCAGCAAACACAGCCCGCGATCTCGAGGTCTTCTCCAAGCACGCCGGTCGCAACACAATTAACCCTGACGACGTGTTGCTCCTCGGAAGACGTAATGAGCAATTACAAGGCCTGCTAGAGAGGGAGCTCGAGGACATCAGAGCAGCTGAGGGCAGGCGGGCTGACGGTCAGCCAGCAGCTCGCGCACAGCCAGCAGCACCCACAGCAGGGAAGAAGCGAGGAAGGCCTGCGGGAACTGGAAAAGGCAAGGCGAAAGCTTGAGAATGCTGCAAGATTGAGCCTGGGGCTTATATGAACTATTGATGCATTGGGAGTTTTGGAGTTGTGGTATGATACCCTCAAGCAAGCCTAGACACGGCGCACTTTGCACACATCTTACATACGCGGATAACAGTGAACGTCTGGAGAGCCTATAAATCATGCAATTCTCATATCCTTTGAGTATGCCTGTAGTTGTTGAGCCTGCCCTCAGTGCGGTCAGCAAGGCACTGCGACCAGACCCTGCATGCGAGGAAAGCGCCGGACCCAATCGTCCGTCAACAAGGCCGCGCTTCACAAACCCGTCAGATTCCCAAGCTACTTCTCACCACCACTGCATTCATCAAAATGCTCTACCTAGCAGTAGAAACAACGCGCAAGCTAACAAAAGCGATGAAACATCTGCATATCACTCCTTTAGGTTGATACAACTAGCTCTTCGTTCGTGGCTGCCACGCTGCTCCACTATGTGCATTCCCTTTATCTTTCTCATCTGCATAAAGGAAATGCTGATACTCTCAAATTCCACGTCAATTCTTTGTAACAAGCATCGAGAGGCTGATCCTTTTTCTCACCATCTTTACACATTATCGAGTCATCTGCCTTTGCCATGGATGCTCAGAGGCGAGCACCGTCAGTAGACATGTCGTCAATTCCGCTGAAGGACATGCTTTCACCGGCTCCGTCGTATAGCTCTACATTCCTTTCGCATGTCATTCCTTTCACTCCTCAACACGACACTCTTGCTGGGAAATCACAATGCGGCACATCAAACAACCCCTACTACCAACCCACCACGCCTGAGTCGCCATCCTCGATCCGTCACTCAAGCACCAGACCATCGTCAAAGAATGCGGAAGAAGCCCGTGTCAAGCCCGATTACCAGGACACAAACCATCCCCACTTTGCACGATCTGCTAGACCAGGCTTCCCAACCACACTTCCCGCACGAAGTCGAATGCCTCGGAAATGCATTCTTGTGCCGTGTGTACTATTTGCTGTCTTCTTTCTCGTAACGATATGGTTCACCTCAATCTTGCTTGGCGCCTGGTTCTTATCCATCGTTCACACCACATCGCCGGCTCCTACAGTGCAGGAGATTTATCTCTATATCGACGGAGAAGCCCCTCAGGGAAGCCTCTCTATATCCACAAACACCGTTGCCTTACCCACGAGTAATGTTACCCTTACTACAAAATCTCCGATCCCAACGGAACCGATAGGCCAAACACTGCCTGACATGAGCAAGGGCATGGACAGACTTTCTACGTCAAGCGAAAGACGCACTGTGCCAGCGCCTACGGGTTTTGCAACCATTACGAGAAGAGGACCATGAGGAAGACTTTTACGCCCATTGAAGCCGCCCCACTTCAGGCGCTGAGACAGCGCGTCATGGAGTGCAGCCTCATAAAAGGCAGCAGACTATAGGTTTATTTTGCAATATCAGCCGTTCGCATGGTTCATACGCCTTTTCTAGCATATGCCATTCGACGCCGTTCTCAAATTATCGTCTGCCACATCCAGGTCGCCTTGTCCAATTTTTCCGGATACTGAGAAGCCTTCTAACTACATCTGCGAGGCTCGGAAGAAACAACACCGAATTTTTGAAGTTCGTAGTGACTCGCTGCAGGATCGTGCTCCCAGCGAACCGCTCCCAGAGACGTTTTGAAACATGCGGGTGCACATACGAAACGGCATAGCTAACCCAAAGCAGCCACTTTGGAAACGCTCGCTTCCTGATTTCTCCACCAACATGTCCACCCAATCTCGGATGGCACCTGTCGCATAAACAAGCATCGCGGACCATACCTAAGAAGAGCAAACTAGTCCTTCATCTAGATTTATTGCTGGCGTGTCGCTCCTTGGCATCTGTAAAGACGATGTCGTACCGTTCCCAGCGACTGGGATAGCGTGAACGGCTGTCAAGGAGGATTCCAGTCGGTTCGTCCTGATCTCCGGAAACCATTAATCTTGTTCCAGGCGCGTAAGTCAAGCAAAAGATCGGCATGGGATGAGTTTATAAGGTGCCGTTGTCCTTGCTATGCACACTTCATCATTCCAACGGGCCAGTCCTTTCTTTGAACACATTCGTTCCGGTTTTTACTACCACCTTCACTCTTTACCTTACATTCATTTTTCGTGATCAGGCATCACCAGCATATATTTGCAAATCAAGTCATTGTACATATCACACCGACAAAACACTTTCAAACTTCAAGATGTTCACCAAGGCCATTTTCACCAGCGCTCTCCTTTCCGCCGTCTCGGCTCACCAGAACATGCACCAGCTCTGGGTCAACGATGTTACTCCTGGTTACCAGGTCGGCATCCGGATGCCACCTTCCAACAGCCCCGTCACCGACGTAACCAGCGACGACATTGTCTGCAACGTCAATGGTGCCAAGGTCCCCTCCGGTGTTGAGACCGTTGCTGCCAACGAGGGTGACACCATCAAGGTTCAGTGGGACCAGTCCGGCCACCCAGGTCCCATCACCCACATGCTTTACGGACCCGTTGACGATGCTTCCCAGGCCACTGGTATCGGTGCCGGATGGTTCAAGATTGACGAGCTTGACAACGTTGACGGAAAGTGGGCGAACGAGATCATGGGCGCCAACAACATGACCCGCGAGTTTGCTCTCCCTACCGGTCTTGCCAGCGGCGAGTACCTGCTCCGTTCAGAGATGTTGGCCCTTCACGGCGCTCAGACTGTCGGTGGTGCGCAGTTCTACATTGCCTGTGCGCAGCTCAAGATTACTGGTACCGGTAAGGAGGGTGCTTGCGGACCTACCATTGAGCTTCCCGGTGCCTACAAGGCTGAGGACGACAACATCTACATCCCCAACGTCTACAACGGCTTCGACGCGACCACCTACAAGGCTCCTGGTGGCCCTGTCGCTTCATGCGGTGGTGCCGGTGCTGCTAAGCCATCTTCCCCTGCTGCCAACTCGACCGTCGCAGCTCCTACCTCTGCTGCCGCTGCGCCCACCTCTACCCTCGCCGCTGTCTCCTCTGTCGCTGCTGTTGCCGAGACCAGCTCCGCCGCTCTCCCTACCCTCGCCCCCGCCCGCCCCTCGATGAACGCTACCATCCCCAGCGCTTCTCCTGTTGCCCCTACCACCTTCGCCACTCTCCTCCGCCCTTCATCTGGCATCGCCGCCCCTACCGGTGCTGTTCCCTCCGGAACTGCTGGCGTTGCTAAGCTCTACTACCAGTGTGGTGGTGCTGGATACACCGGCCCTACCACCTGCGAGGGCACTGCCAAGTGCGTCGTACAAAACGACTTCTACTCTCAGTGCCTCAACAACTAGAGGGAGCTCTTGAAAGGGGATGACTGGAGGATAATGGCGGAGAGATTTGGAAGACTATGATTGGGGATACCTTCTTGATGTTCATGTATATACCTTGACTTTGCAATTCTAGTCCATATTACTTTTGTTCAAACAAGCTCCCCTGCGTTACAAGTCGCATTACTGCATCTGCTTTTTCCCGCCCGTTCATGCTGACGCTGGAAGAAGATGACGCAACCGACCCTCAGCCGTTGCCCAGAAGGAAGGGGCTTGTCTGACTGTTGGCTGAATAGGAAGGAACAAAGAAGTCGCGCATCCCTTGCTTCTTGTACAATGACGGTAGGCCTGACGGCTCCTGAAGACCACTTCCCAAACCAAGTCTTTGTTGTTTTTGAAGTCGAAGACGATCGCCTCGGATACCGAAAGTAGTGCCGAATGGTGATGGGGTGTGATAGGCGATGTAAGCCTGGATTCGCAGCGCGGGCGGAAGACCAGCAAGTGGCGGGCTTAGTGCGTGTTTCAGATTAACCTTATGTTTTGCAGGCCATGGTGGGCTGTTTGTGCAACCATGGCGGGCAAGTGAACAGCTGGCCTGGAATTTGTGGCTGCATACGCACGACCAGCATGCAGACGTCATGCGCAGTATCAGCATCCGCGATGCTACGGACTTCAGCGTCAATGCCGACCAATTGCTGGTCATGGGTGGGGGTCCAAAGTAGGACGTGTCGTTGTGGGCTCCTCAGTGGCTTCCCCGATGTTCAAGGCCGCAGCCAGGGTCGTGCTCCACTTCTCTAATTCACCAACCCACGTCGCTGTCCCGCTCCTAATTCCCCATCACCACCAACAACCACCGCTGCGCCCCCGGCTGCTTCCCTGACACCCGCACGATACTACTTTTTAATCTCTATTTTGTACACCTGCCCAGACTAAAACCCGCGTCGCGTCGACTGCTCCTGCCTTTCAAGATACCGTCCCGCGACCCTCAGTAGCCTACACCGCCAACCTTTGCAAACATGGCGGACAAACCAGAAAGACCCACGAGCTCAGGCAGTTCTGGCTCTGATAGTGTAAGCCATACCCATGTTCCGTGGGAAATGCAGGCAGCCATTGCGGTGCAAGTTTGCTAATATGTATGCGGCGGTGTAGGACAGTTTCGAAGAAGCAGCTGAGATTACCCCTCGCCCAGACTCACAGTCCGAACGATCACAGTCACGGTCACGGTCCCTCCTACAACGAGAATCTTCGACTTCAACAGTGCAAGCAGCCAAACCAGCGGAGCCTGCTCCTGCAGTGCCAAAAGTACCCAAAGAGGAGAGCGACGACGACGATGATGACGACGATGACGATGACGAGGAGGAAGAAGACGATGAAGAGGAAAGCGACGAGTCGGACAATGAACCTGAGCCAAAGGCTGTCGAGAAGCCTAGCGAAGACACACCGGCAGCCAAGTCACCACTCCTTACCGGGCACAGAGTGTCAGTCACATCGGACATGGACGACGTGTCTTTAGACAGCGGTGAGTACACCTACTGGGCTTGGAAGGAGAACTATGTGATGTGCGCGTGTAGGCTGGTTCATGCTTCCAGAGCAGGAGCCATCTGCACCCATTCACTGGCCCCACCTACATACGCGTCTGCATGCGTGAATGCATGTTGATCGCAAAACTGAAGCTGACGCTTAACAGAGGGCTCAAAAGCTGCCGGCATACTCCCCAAGCTACCACCACGAGATTCTCGAGATTCTACAAATTCCGCGAGCGGACTACAAGGCCTCTCTGGCAGAATGTCGCCCGTCAAATTCCCTCCGCCGCCCGCCCCACCTGCTGTACAAGAGAAACCCGCGCCAGCGCCAGCACCAACAACGACTAGAAAACTCACAGGTCCTTTTGCTTGGCTGTCAAGAAACAGCTCTAGCAAGAAACCTGAGTCTCCACCGGCGGCTACGACAACTGCGGAGCGACGGAATACTGGGGCGTCTATTGCAACTATCGGCAGTAATCCAGAGCTCACCTTGAGCAGGATCGAAGATGAGGGCGATATGGGCTCTAAAAACAGAACAAGTCAGGGCAGCCTGCGAGACCGTTTCAAGATTCTGCGAATGAGGGAAGAAGCGGGCATAACACTCAGCGATGAGACAGGTATAGATGGTAGTCCAACCGTGGCGCTAGCATCGCCAGGTATCGGGCTCGGCATTGCTAGCCCTCCGCCCACATCTGGAGAAGAGCCAGGAAGTCCTCCAGCTCTTGTGAAACAGCCTACGATCAACCCGAAGTTGGCTCCAGGAACAGCATCTGGATTCGCCGCTGGTCCGGCGGGAGACATTGCCGAGCCTGTAGATTGGGACCTTTGGCAGTCAGTGGTCAACGAAGGCCCAGCAGCAATTGCACGCACCAGTTCCGAAGAACTGAACCGCGCCATCGCAAGTGGCATCCCTCAAGTCATTCGTGGTGTCATCTGGCAAGTGTTGGCGCAAAGTAAAAGCGAAGAACTGGAAAGCATGTACAGGGAACTCGTAGCTCGTGGAACAGACAAGGAGTACATGAGCGTCAGCGCCAGCGCCAGAACGAGCACCCTCAGCATGGGAAACACTACTGGCAACGGAAAGGAATCAGTCGCTTCGTCTTCGTCTTCAGTGCACTCCGACTACTCGAGCCCGGCCACAACAGCTGCTAGTACCACCGCGCCATTGGGCTCGCCATCTCTCACATCGGAAAACGAAGATCCAATCAAGGCACAAGCAAGGCTTGCGGCGGAAAAGAAACAGAACGCCGCCACAATATCGAAACTGGAGAAGGTCATCAAGCGCGATCTGGGAGCGCGCACGAGCTACTCCAAGTACGTCATGGCAGCTGGGCTACAAGACGGTCTTTTCGGTATCTGCAAAGCATACGCTTTGTACGACGATGCTGTCGGTTACGCCCAAGGCATGAACTTCATCGCTATGCCTCTGCTCTTCAACGTAAGTTTCCATCTTCCTGATATTCACCGTCTGTAACTAACTTTGGCAGATGCCCGAGGAAGAGGCGTTTAGTCTCTTTGTGACACTGATGAACAAGTATGGCCTTCGCGACCTTTTCGTAGCTGACATGGCTGGACTTCACCTGCATCTGTACCAGTTTGAACGCCTATTGGAAGAGTTTGAACCCGCTCTCTACTGCCACCTCCGCCGGAGAGAGGTCAAGCCACAACTCTACGCCACTCAATGGTTCCTTACATTGTTCGCATATCGGTTCCCGCTACAACTCGTCTTGCGTATTTATGATCTCATACTCAGCGAGGGTCTTGAATCTGCGATCCTGAAGTTCGGTATTGTGCTCATGCAAAAGAACGCTGAAACATTGCTGGGTATGAAGGACATGTCGACACTGACAACATTCCTCAAGGAGCGATTGTTTGACGTGTACATCGACAAAGCTCCATCGGCTAATTCCATCCTTGAGAATGGCTTCTTTGGCTCGACTGCTGGCATCGACAAGGAGATCTATCGTGCTGATACTCTTGTGAAAGACGCCGTTTCTGTCAAGATCACGCCAGAAATGCTCAAGCAGTACACTGCAGAGTGGAAAGAACAGCAGCGCATAGAAAAGGATCGCGAGACCGAGCTCCACGGACTGAAAGATAAAGTCACACATCTGGAACAGAAGGTCCGATCACTGGAGCATCGCGCTGAGCAGTCGGATATGGAGCACGTTCAGGTCGCTTCTGAACTCATTAAAACCAAGGTCGAAAATGAGAATCTCGCCGACGAGAACGAGACGTTGAAGACAAAGGTCGAAGAGCTTCAGAAGATCGTCGACACCCAACCCGCAGAGGTCGAAGCAAGACTGAAGAACGAAATGGAGACTGTCATGCAAAAGAACATCGTTGTTCACAACGAGAACCGCAATCTGGAAGACTCGATGGCCGAGATGGAGAAAGAATTGGTTGATGTCAAGATGCAATGGGCTACAGTAAGTTCCAGTCTCCCGGTTGGTCTTATGTTGAGCACGGCTAACCAACCCTTCAGATTAACGAAGAGCACGAAGCACTCAAGCAAAAATGGAACAACATCTCACAGATGATGAAGTAAGCCCAATAGTGGGCTCATACTGCATCCAAGGCGTCGGGTTGACTTGCATATAGCACGCAGGCGCCGCCTCCCGTTGGGGATCAGATTTATTCTGTCGCGTCGATCGCCCTTTAATTCGCTTCTAATGTCTATATATACATCTGCTTTGCATAGGAATATCCTGCGCAGGGTTTTGTTGTGCATCTTGCTTCGGCATCGACAGTTTCGCGTCACTATCTATACCAGTGGCTTGCCAGGACGGACAAAGACACCTTCGGCTGGATACGACCAGAGTTTGAATAGCTTGCATGGCATGGGAGCAAGGTGTTTGGAATGGTGGTGATTGAATCGCATACGTCTATCTCTATAGACTCATGAAAAGGAGTTTCTCGCTGTGTTGTGTTGGCCTGTAGCATCTTATGATGGGAATCGAGTTGGTTAGACCATCAATAAAAGAGTACGATGTGACGCAGTAGGTATTCTTACGTGGTGAGGTCATTGTCATCAGTAATGAACTCTTCGCCTTCTATCACTCTCTAATCTGCTGTCTTTCCCTTTTGCTGCGCAAGATGTCCCTCTATGCCCGATCGGGTAGCTGCAGTGAAGCACTAGCACTCGCTTATCTTATCGTGAACCCTGCAGAAAAAGTTACGCAACCCCACAGTCGTTTCTGCGACACATGTCAACAACAACTCAATCACATTTCAAGATGACTGAACAAGCAACAGAAGAAGATATCCTCCTCGCCAAGCGCATCATTTCGGCGGCGGAGCGTCACGATGTGCCAGCGTTGAACATCCTGCTCAAGGACGGATCGGCAAACGTGCAAGACCCCACAGCAACAGTATCAACATCACCACTTCACGCAGCAATTGCAGCTTGTGGCAAGGCTGAGGATGGGAAAGAAGCCAGTGATGCCGCGGTTCAAACGGTAGAAACACTTCTTCAAAATGGCGCCATCTGGAACGATCTCAACAAAGAGGACGAGACACCAGGATGCATCGCTCTCCGCTTAGGCCAAAAGAAGATCTACGAGATGATGGTTGAAGCCGGTGTACGTGCTGAAATCCTCTTCGCTCGACTAGAAGCGCTCGGCATGGGCGACAATGATGTAGAAGAAGAAGCCGATGAGGAAGAAGACACAGAGCAACCTGCCGCCAAGAAGCAAAAGGTCTCGGAAGAAGACGCCAAAGCCATCGAACAGGTTGTCGAGGAAAAGGTTCTTGACGATGTCTCTCTTGACAACAAGGCCTACCTTAGAAGTCAACTCCGCTACAAACCCGGCATTCTCCTTGACGAATCCGACAACGCTGTTATGATGGACTGGGAAACGCAAATTATGCAACGCCATGCCGAGACTCTGATCCCTAAGAAGGGTCTCCGTACTATGAACGTAGGCCACGGAATGGGTATCGTGGATACTGCTATTCTTACGCACGATCCTGCAGAGCACCACATCATCGAGGCGCATCCACAGGTACACCAGCGTCTCCGTGAGCAAGGCTGGTACGACAAGCCCAATGTCAAGATTCACGAGGGCCGGTGGCAAGATATCTTGCCTAAGCTGGTAGAGCAGGGCGTCGTGCTAGATGCAATCTATTACGACACCTTTGCTGAGGATTACAAGGCACTCAAGGAGTTCTTCGCCGAATATGTGGTTGCGCTGCTGGCCAAGGATGGCAAGTTTGGTTGGTACAATGGACTAGGTGCTGATCGCCAGATTTGCTATGACGTTTACACAAAGGTATGTCGCTTCGCAGTTGGATATTCGATGGGAACTGGTTCTAACGTTAGGACAGGTTGCTGAGATGGACCTCTACGAGGCGGGTTTCGATACCGAATGGGAGGAGATCAACGTACCATCTGGTCTGCATGGAAGTGATCAGTGGGAAGGAACCAGGAGGCCATACTGGACAATCGACATTTATAGGTTGCCTGTGAACACTTTCGTCAAGTGACGGCGACGTCGAAGAAGGAGAGAGCATTGACTACTTGGCGATGTTACGCCTGATCGTCAAGGAGACACCGGCGAGTGTCACTCTCACAATGTGGCAATGACGATCTATGCATTTGTTTTTGCTAGCAAAATCTAGCTACAGCAATCGAAAATCATCGGATATTATAGAAACACTTCGTGGCAGACTGCCATAGAGGGCGAGTCTTGACCTCCACAACAGAAATTCCAAGTCGAACGAATAAATCGTCTCGTAACGCTATGACCTATATTCGCTGTACTTCTACAGATCTTCATCTTTAAACCTCACATCCAACACCTGACCGTCCCCTTTCTGTCCATGGAACGCGGCAATGACCCTTTCCGCATCATCCTTCGTAGCAAATTGCAGTTCGACAACCAGCGGATCGCTGCTCCGAACAGTCCTTCCGAGTATGTCATGATCGCTGTGAGGGCGCATGATGGTTTCTACGTCCTCAATCGTGGTGCCAGTGATGAAACCACGAGCGACAATTGTGTGTGATCCGTCTGTGGAGAAGCTGGCGGGCTGTCGGCGGGTATCGGTATCGATGCCTGCAATCAACGGGACTGTACGGCTGCCAGGTACCTGCTGGTCCTGGCTGGAAGAATTCGCTGCCAGTACGGGTTCTGCACGTTGGTCTGTTCTCTCGCCGTTGCGATGTGCTGATGGGGTAGCAGTATTGAAGCCGGAAACTCCAGATTGGCCGTCTGTCAGTGTATTTTCCTGGATGCCTTCTTCTTTGGTGTCTGCATGATCGCCTTGTTGATTTTCCAAAAAGTTGGCGTGGCTCTCATCGTCGGAATGGTGAACCACAGGTACTGCAACGTCGTCGAGTTCAGCACCATCTATCGTACCAATCTGAGCTGCTTCATTAGCAATGATAGGTACCTCCCCATCGATTTCATTAGGCAGGCCGCCTGTGAGTTCCCGATCGTCGCGCTGGTCATTTTCGGGGCCTTCATCATCATTGTCCTCCCAAGCGTCACCGTCATCGCCAAAGTCTTCCTGTAGTGGAGGTGGAGGAGGGTGGGCAAACTGGTCGAACGTGATACCTTGGGTCTCGAACAACGTGATGCGGAACTGATCTAGAGCGTCTTCGCGAGGCCCGTGAGGAAGCTGGTTGACCAAAGCGCGCTGGTCGGGTGTCAGATGTTGCAGGACTTCCCACTCAGGATCCTCATCCTCATTATCTTCGTCTTCGCCTTCTTCATCGTCGTCTTCCTCATCTTCTTCACGACGACGAATCATGTCTTGACGGCGAGTAAGACCCTGTCGGTTGAGACCACTTTCTCGATGGTAACCGTCCTGGTTGTATCCTTCTTCATCGTAGACGGCGGGACCGTAATGCGGGCAGCCGTGGAGACCGGGCCAATCCTTGCCGCAGATATAGCAGAACGAGCTACCGCACTCACAAGTGATGTGATTGCATGCCTCAGCCAACTCTACAGTCGCGCCACAGACAAAGCACTCTTGGTAACCTTTCTCATTGGCTGTCTGCTTGAACTTTTTCTCGTCCTCGGTTTGTTTGCACTCATGGTTTTGGGTACCGTCTACGAGCAAGGCTTTGCATTTTGCGCAAGTCAGCTTACCGCATTCTTCAGAATCGCAGATGGCGTAGGTAATCTTGGTCTCTTGGTCCTCCACGTGCGATTCGGGGTGTAAGAACTTTCCACAGGCTGGGTTTGCGCAATAGACACGAAATCTGCTTAGTTCTTAGCCTGGGTTTATCATGTGGGTATATAGTAAACTTACTTTGCCAGAATTGAATACTCGCCCTGCTGCTTCATCTGATACGCCCACGCAATCTCGAACGATATATAGTCCTCGTAATCTTCCAGCATGAACATTGTTTCGCAGCACTGTGGCGGGAAAAGGCTCTCGTTGTTGGTCGCATTCTCAAAAAAGCTTCCGACATCGTCAGGGCAGACCCAATGGCGACCGCAGGGTGCTTCGAGAAGCAGCTCGCCTTCGCTCTCCTCAGTCCCGCAGATTACACAGCTCTTAGACATGGTGGCTGTTATTCAGATTGGAGGGCGTGTATTTCCAGTGATTGAAACGGATAGCAAGAGAAGAGATTGTCTTTTGTAAGACTGTGAGTGAGTTGAATGTTCGGTAGATCAAGCTCGGTACCGATGTAGAAGCACAGACGTGTGGGAGTTATGTAGGAAGAAGATAATTGGCGGTCTTGAGGCAGCTAGTGCTAGCTCGGGATATTCACTGTAAAGATAGAGTGTGAGGAGTGAGTGTTCATAGAGTAAGGTCCTACTCCTTAGCTTAGGACGCGGTGTCAAAGAGATCCTTGCGCGCTTGCCCACACGTGGAGACACAGTCGGTGACTGATTCACGTGAGAATACAGCAAGCGAATTAGGGGAGAATTATCCACCCGTGACGTTGGAATTTTCCGTCACCTCCTGGTTTGAGAGTTAGAGGATTCGATCAGAGTGCGGATGGAAAGGGAAGGGGAGATTGAATTAAGATCAATGAAAACGAAATTGAGATGTGAATCGGATCTTCAGGAGTCTTTGAGCGATGCTTGAAGTTATGTGCTTTCTAGTCCGTACTTGAGATACCTATATCGGGCTAACCGCAGGCAGCCGTCGGCCGGATTTGATATTTAGCTCGGAAATCCATGTATGCAGCCTGGCTAGGTCCACACATATATAGCAAGAGTACAGACTATCCAGGCAGACTTTGCATGCGGAATGATGTAGAGTGAGCGCTCAAGGGCTAAGGCGATGAATGTGTGGTGAGGGAAGTTTCGCGGCCTCATTCGAGAGTTCCAGGCAGCTTGACCGTGCACGGACGCACAACGAGCTTGGGGTTCTTGACTGCTGCCTCATTAATTCACCCACGCCACATCCGAATTTTGCGCAATGCTAAGGTCAGCTAATGGGCGCTCAACTGAGCGATTCATCGAAACTTCTAAACTGAGTTGGTCGCTCCAGTTATTGATAATGGCTCGAGTTTGCATAATATAAAGATATTTAGAGAAATCTATTGTGAGCCTGTATACGTTCTTTAGTTAAAAGAAGTTCAAGGTAATATATTATATACACAAGAATTCTGTAAAGCTACGCCTTCTTTCTAGGCACGGCACATGCGTCCATCTTTGCTGACGTTCCAAGCCTCGCTACCAACACCCTTGAGGATGTAGAATACATCCTGGGGGTCGTACTTCTTCTTGATAGTCTTCAGCTTGTTGTAGTTGTCTCCAAAGAATGTGCTCTGCCAGTTCGGCTGCTGGAAATCGGCTTCATTCAGGTATGAGCCACTGCCCGGCGTGATCTTTTCGATCTTGGGCATAAGCACATTGGTCATCTTCTGCTGGGCAGCCTCCATGTCGGCCCAAGGAGCAGTGGAGTCCCAGTTGGTAATAAGCTGCAGCTGAATCATAGCATTCCTCCATGCTGGTAGTACACCATTGTCGGCGGCTCCCTCGGGCTTCTGGTAGTTAGCTGAGCTACCAGCAAGCAAGACACCTTCGGCAGCAAGCTCCTGGTAAACCCTGACGAGTTCCGCAGTGTTGTTCTCCACCACATCTCGGGGGATAAGACGGCCACCGAATTGATATCTGTTGACTTCATATGCTCCACGTGGGAGAGGACCCATGTAGCGATCGAAGTGGTCGCGGTAGGACAGCTCGCTGTAGACAATTGGCGGCGTAATGCCAAGATCTGTAAGAGCTTTGGCGTAAGGTGCGAGTACAACGTCCTTGACGTAGGCCGCTGTTGAGTCCCAAACCGTGACGGGCTTGATAACGATGTACTGAGTGCTGACCAGGAAGACCACCATGGCACCGGCATCGATCATGCCTGGTAGGAGCTCGATAAGCTTGGCAGTTGCTGCTGCGTATTTCTCGGGGGTGGTAGATGACGCTAGGAGTTGCATGGCAGCACCACCAACCCGCTTGGCTGGGTATGCTTTTACTGTCAACGAGAGGACGACGGCATATGTTCCACCACCACCGCCACTGAGAGCCCAGTACAGGTCAGTGTTCTCGGTTGCTGAGGCAGTGAGCATCTTGCCTTGAGCAGTAACGACCTACAAAGACATGGTTAGTGTTGCTCTTGGTTGCTTATAGTATAGAGCTTCTCACCTCATAGGACAAGGCCTGGTCGGCACCAAGACCGAAGGCAGTGCTGAGGACGCTGTGGCCACCGCCTTGGGTGAAACCACCCGCCAGGCCAACTGTAGCACATTCACCAGACACGACGGTCATGCCCTGCTTGTTTACTGCCTCAAGCAACTCGTTGCCCATGACACCGGCACCAACAGTGACCGATGGGCCAGTGTAGTGCTCATCCGACCAGTCACCGAAGGTGATGCTCTTCAGACTTTGCGTCCAGATGGCAAGAGCACCAGCTCCGGTAGACCGTCCCAAGAAATCATGCCCAGTGTTGCGAACAAGAACACGGATGTTCTCAGCTTTCGCAAACTCGAGGGCAGAGATGACATCCTCTGCTTCAGTGGCTTTGACAGAGTATGAAACATAGTTGCCAAGAGTGCAAGGGATGCTCCTATCGGAGAATGGATCGCAGCTCTGGTTGGCGAAGTACGATTGCATGATAGAGTGGGAGGACGGGGTGCTGCCAAGAGTTTTAGAGTTCTGTCCAAGCATGTGAACGGAGCTCCTGCACTTACTGCGTTAGAGGGTTCAGCCATTCTGCCTTCAATGCGTCGCAAGCATCGGCATCGTATGTCGGATCGTGACAAGGCGACCCGATAGGAACAGTAGCCACAAGCTTCCCGTTTACAGTCGAGTTCAAGGTCGACCATGCCTCAGTGGATGGCCAATCAGCATCACTTGGCAAACGGTAACACTGCTTGGCATCCCCAAGACGAGCGAGAAGTAGAGCCCCAAGGAGGGGTGCGTTGTCGACGAGTCTCATCTTGTCGTGAAAGTACTCGATGGTAGTGATGGATACCAAGAGACTTGACCTGGGCCTCATATATACCCATTGCTCCCCTTACTATTCTCTTCGCATTGCCACGAACTATTCTTCTCATCTCGGAGACCATCTCAAAGAAGACGCCTTAGCCAACGTCTGCTTCCTCTTGTAGGATGCAGCGCCGACAGAGTCCACTTGAGACACTGTGCCACACGCCGATAGCATTGCAAGGTGTAGCCTTGCACTGGGCTGGAAGCCGGCGAAAACCTCGAGCGGCAATCGATGGCCGCAGACGCGGTGATGCTACTGCAGGGCATAGTGGGTCAACACAGCAATGGGGGGATTCAACCGGGCGGCCTGAGGCTTAGAGTGGACCCTTAGCCATGGGTTCCTGATAGGATTGGGAGGCGTGAAACTATAGGATTCGCATGTGAGCGGTAGGAATGCAGCGACAGGAACCGGACACGCGCGCACATCTTGGCAAGCGTCTTGGTGCGTTCGGGATGAACGCTCGTTTCGGCAGCCGTGGAGCGAGCAGAACTGTCCAGGTGCGCACCAAACAACGATTGTTGCACTGATCAACTCCACGTGCTCACCCGCCTCCATTATTGCGCAATGCTTATCATGCCCTCCTTGGGTCACACTTTTCACGTCCAGCATTCTTCTTCGTTGACCGTGGATCTTGGACGCCTTAGATCGGGTTTTACAGTGGCTTTCGGTTGGCGTGTGTGGCGTTCACCAGCCCATGACACACCGGACCGCTCCCCACATACTGCTAGAACGGCTTGAACGCTACCATGACCCCTTTCTGGATGACATGCCGCCGACCTTAGCTGATGTAACTTCCGAGATTATGCGCCAGCGCTTCTTAACAAAGTTTGCGCTATCGAAATGCCATGGTCGGGCAGGCTTCTGCAGCCGGCAGTTCATACCGATAGAGGTAGCAAGCTTGATAAACACGACTCGCGGGTTTCAGTGTTGGACCTTGCAAGATATGCACTATAAACCGCACGAGCGACCCCTGCGCACATCATATCCCAGGAACACCTTCCGTTTCGAGGCGGGGGATAAATGGTAATACATGTCCCGCTGTCAGTTTACCTGAGACTTTTCTGCGAATTCTTGTGCGCCAGCTACAGATCCGGGCTTTAATCTCCCTGTACTTGTCATCCGAACAGTCGGGTCTGGGAGCATCAACATGATTTCTCTTTTCCGCAAATGCATTCTGCTGTGGCTCGCTACCGTCTTCGTGGTCACTGCAGCACAGCAGACTGCTCTGTCAGAGCTTCCGGATTGCGCTGTAAGTAAACTTCACTTTTTGAATCTCAAATTGATTGCAAGTCTCTTACTGATTGCTGCAGCAAATCTGCCTTCTAAAAGCTTTGGGCACAAACACCTGCGCGCCAACAGATCAAGCCTGTATCTGCACCAACGAAGTCTTCCAGAACAATGTAACATTGTGTGTAAGCAGCCGCTGCACCATTCCTGAAGCTCTAGGTACTTTCATCAACTCGACAGAAGAGGGCCAACGACTAACCAGTGTAGTCACACGAAATGTCAGTCTTACCAACTGCGGTGCACCGGTGCGACATCGTGGAGAACACTACGTGACGTTGTCAAACGCAATGGTATGCATTGCCGCTGCCTTCGTTGTGATCCGTTTCGCCTTCAAGGCCACCGTGTCGAGACTCGACTTTGGCTACGATGACTTTTGCGTCCTGGCGACGCTTATAGCCGCCATACCCAGCGCCATCATCACTGTTTTCGGTACTGTAAAGAACGGACTTGGTCAAGACCTTTGGGCCTTGACTCCAACGGAGATCACCCAGATGCTGCAATACTTTTACATTATGGCGTGGCTGTACTTCCTCCAGCTCACGCTGCTGAAGCTCACTCTGTTGTTCTTCTACATCCGCGTGTTTCCTAGCAAAGAAGTCCAGCGACTGTTATGGGGTACTGTCATCTTCACTGTACTCTGGGGCTTGGCCTTTATCATTGTTGCGGTATTCCAGTGTCGGCCGATTCACTACTTCTGGACGAAATGGGACGGTATGCATGAGGGCACTTGTCTGGAGATCAACGCCATCACCGCATCAAACGCTGCTATCTCGATCGCTTTGGACTTCTGGATCCTGGGTATACCTCTCTGGCAGCTTTGGGGGTTGAAGCTACACTGGAAAAAGAAGGTCGGTGTAGCACTTATGTTTTGCGTCGGCACTTTCGTTACCGTCGTCAGTATTCTGCGTCTGCAGGCTCTGGTGCACTTCGCCGCTTCCTCGAACGTAAGCTGGGAGTTCTACGACGTTTCAGTGTGGAGCACGATCGAAATATGCGTTGGTATCATGTGGTAAGTTGTGTTGTCTCAACCGTCATCTTTGCACATGCTAATCTATCTTTCAGCGCTTGCCTTCCAACACTCCGCCTTCTCCTGGTTAAACTCTTCCCTATCCTTGGAGGCTCCTCAGTACGCAGCCGTCAACAGTACTACAACTACGGCAGTGGCAACGAACTCAAGAACGTTAGCCAGAAACACAAGTCATACAACATGAACACTAGCGCTGCTATATCGAGTCCTCGGACCGAGTCTTTCGACGATAAGATAGAAGACGGCATTAGGGTCAAGACCTCCTACATGGTAAAGCATAGTCATAGTGACACAGATGAAGCGAGCCTAGTAAGCCATGAGGGACCACAGAGGCAGTAGGGCCGAGGTTGGTCGCGCGCGTCCGAATGTAGTTTGAATCAAAATGATATCTTCCACCTTCTGAGCACTCTTCGTATACGCACATGTCACTTGAATGACTACAGGTGCATGCCGAAACCTTCTTGAGACGTACTTCATCCTCAAACAGCTACCCGCCGAGTGTAACTTCCCATCCGGGTGGTAACTACCGTGATCGACACGCGTTGAAGCACACACCTCTCGTTTTCTGGGTTCACCCATCGAAAGGGTAGCGCAGATCACCGGAATATCACCGATGAACCTCGTGGAAAATCACACTAGTATGACAGGTCCACATGTCGGCGATCTCTGCAAGCGACATTGCGAAGAATACTAATCGAAGAACAAATGGCGTCTTTAGTTCAGGGTGTTGCCCGGGTACGACAACGAATTCCATCATCGTCTTTCAGGCAACCATACTCAATACTACTGTAGCCATCGCATGATTCACAATGTATCCACAATAGGAGAGAACATGACGGGAATACGGTGCGTACTCACGGTGGAGTAAAGCCGATGAATCGCAAGTTTGCCATAATTCTTGGTTGCGGCATCTTACGAGCCACGAATTCTAGATGTGGGGCCGACGTCTGGATAGCCGAGTTTCGGCTATCCGCAGATAGACACTGCTAACAGGTGCTAACAGGTGCCAACTTTCGCTAGCACGTGCACTTCGCTTCTGAAAAGCTGAACATTACTCAGGATTAGGCTGAAATTATGTTAGACATGCACCATCAAATCGGCCGACTTTCCAGACAGTCCGCTCTTGCAAGCTCATTGGTTGCGTCTTGATGGAGCGTCATTTGTGACAAAAGTACAGCCAATGACCATTGACCAACGAACCTCGGCCTCCAGCAAACTCAACGCCACATCTCCGTTATTGCAGTGACGAAAGAATCTAGGAACTAGAGAAAATGTGGCTGGTGATTGTGCGTCCGTGCGTTGTCGTTGCATTGCGGTGGTTGGGAATGACCTCGAGGGTGTCGCTGTTGAAGAACACGCGCGTCCCGACTTTGCACTCTGACTTTCGTGGTAAAAGATGAGTATGCCTTGCGAAAACTCTGCAACAGAAGGGTGCACTGCTCCGTCGTGGGTGCAGTAATGTGGAAGAAAACAGCGCATGTTGCACAGCACTTCACGTGCTCGAAGTGGGAGAAGTCCAGTATGTCTCTTCCACAGAAACAAGACTCGGCTTCCCCACGGTACTTCTCACAAGCTGCTCTGATCACGGTCGCATCACCTGGGCTACTAAGCTCAGCTGTAACGCGGATCACCCGCTGTTAAGCTAGCCGTTTTTCCCCGTAGTACCCGTCCTGAAAGTGTAATCCAAAACCCTCTTAGCACTGTCATACCTTTGTACTACTTGAGGAAGACTGACGACAAATTTCCACTTTCGCAAATAAGATCGACAAGCACACCTGTCGCTCATGCAACGCTACCAAGGGCTGAAGCTCTTGACAGCGTCAGCTGACGAGTAATTTCATCCACCACAACTGTGAGGATTCGTAAGCTAATCACCGTGCCTCGCGACACCATTGACAAAACTGTCGCCGATTTGCATCAAAAGTCTTCCATAAGCTTCAACGGTGCTTCACATATTCGTGACGCAAACCTAAAGCGCAAGGCTCTTGCCGAAATGAAGAAGAAGAGAGTGAAAGCGTCTCTCCACAAACTCAAACTTTCGCCGATGAATGATTCGTGCGTCGTAACAACAATCGGTGCATCAAACATAGCCTTTAGTCCGACATTCAGCGACTATGCTGCTTCTCGCTGTCACTGTTGATCTGCAGAGTACCATCGGGAAGAGGCACAGTGAGCATCCCAAAGCAGGAGCAAGTTTCTCCTCTCAACAATGCAGACTTGAGCGCAATTACGAGACCGAGTGCAAGACAACCGAGGTGCCACTCTCGTTCTTCCTTCCACTGCGGCTTCTACTACACCCTCCAGTCTACCTAGGTAGCAACGATACCATGTTCCCAACATTCTATGTGCGATATATCACTCTCACCGTCGCTCTAAGCCTTTCATCATCCGTCCTTGCTACTGTCATGGATGCGGGAAAGTCAATGTCGCTCGAGTAGTGGCGAGTAGACGTAAGCTGATTACACATGCCAGACGAGCAACTGCCATGTCTTCGTGTGCAATAAAGTCAATTTTCCAATGACCATATCAGAACGTTGTGGAAGTAAGATCTTGAATGCTTGAGCTTCTGTAAGACTTGTTTGACCAGATATATCGTGATTATAGGGTAGATGGTTGCCAAGATACATCCGTTGGAGGCATCATCAGCCCTGGTATCAAAGACTTAAGGGTATCTGGTGATTTTTGGAAAAAGCCCGCTTCCTATCCCCGCTTATGGTTAGATCGAGGGGTTGATTACTTCCGGTCAAGGCCGTTCTGGAGTTTCATTTCCAGTTTATTGTAAAGGCTGCTTCAACGCGTTTTGTTCAGTCAAACTCAGTACTTGTTTCTGCTGATCTCAATATCCTACTGGTAGTCTAGAGCCGAGCCAGACAAGATCGAAAGAGTACATGTACCAGGAATGGACAAGAATGACAAGTCCAGACGCCACAAAAAAGAAACGACTAAAATTCAACATAAAAGAAGACGGCATGTTAAAAGAGTAGATGAAGCAATTCGATTAGGGGAAAGATTGACCCCAACGTTCAGAGATAGCGTCCTTCGTTGTATAGTCTGTAGTAATTGAATCAGATCTTCTAGTAAGGACTTTGCTGCGCAAAGTACTCCATGATCAGAGTGACCTTTTCCTTTTCTGCAATCTTCGTCGCGCCAAACCCATCACCAACACGCATAACCGTCTGGCTCTCTCCATCGTTAGGCACCCAGTGTGTCAGATTAGATCCAGTCGAGGTAGCAACACCATTAGGATCAAGATGTTTGATGAAATTAGTCCAGTAACTCGACATGACTTCTCCGAGATAGTAATCGTAATCTGTAAAAGTGTATTTGTCGGTGTTGGCATACAGCGCATTCATAACATACATGATTTCAGATTGATGAAATGCGCCTTGATCTTGACCGGGGGGAGAGTGGTCCCAGTAGTATGTGTAGAAGGGGGATTTGGCTGTCTTTACCCATTTGGTTCCGAAAGCCCAAGAGGAGACGAGGGAATTATCTGTGGCGGCTTTGCGCCATGCAGTTGAGGCGGTGTCTGTGGAATTGCCGGCAGGGTAGAGTTCCAAATATCGCGAAGTGAGGTTACCGTATTTGAGAGGGATGTACTCGTTATACTCGGCAACGGTATAGCTTGTCGTCAGTTCTGCACCGCTTTCGTCGCGTGTGTTCCCTGTCATGAGGGGCACGTCATTGCCAGGTCCGGCGTGAAGCTGGTCAGTGTAGCGCATTGGGATTGCATAGCCGTCAAAAGCGGGCTTGAATTTGAGTGGATAGCCGGCGGATAAGGCTGTTACCCACCAGATGGATTCGTTTCCGACACGGTCCCCAGAGCCGACTAAGAGTTCAGCAGTCGATAGTTTGCGGAGCTCAGCGATGGAGGATACGTTGTGGGCCGCTGTGTAATTTAGGCCATTTTCGACGGCGGTTGACATGTTGACATATGAGGTTGCTAAACCGGCTAGAAGGGTATCGTATGGGTATCTGATACCACTCTGTGAGATTGCGGCTCGGAAATAGCCCGAGAAGAGGGGACTGTTGACAGCATGGTAAACCTGACCGGAGCCGAAGGATTGGCCGGCAACAGTGACCTTGGTAGGATCGCCTCCAAACTGCGCAATGTTCTTTTGAATCCACTTGAGCACCTCAAGCTCGTCGAGAATACCATATGTACCTGAAGTGTTGTACCCGGTAGCTTCAAAACCTTCGGCATTCAACTCTGGGTGGGCAAGATACCCGAAGGCGTCGTCTCTGCGGTTGAATGTAACCACGATGATATCCTTTAGCGCCATGCCTCCGCCATACCACCAGGTATTGTCGCTTGACTCATCGCTTCCTTGGTTCCAGAGGAGAACGGGATGGGAAGCGTTGGCAGTGGCAGCGTTTGTCCAGATGTTCAGGCTGAGGCAATCTTCACTGTATGAGTTTGCATGAGTTACAGGGCAGGCTGGTCCAAACGTAGATGCATTCAATGTTTCGTTCCAGGGTTCGCGTGGCTGAGGTGCTTTCCAGCGGTTCTCGTAAGCAGTGTCCGCAGCGTATGGAATACCAAGGAAAGCAGCTACATAGCTCGTGGAGCGATTGAAGTACGTTTCGAGTTGCGACTGATTGAAGTACTGGTAGCCTTGAACTGGTCCATATGTTGTCTGAATGATTTGATCATAAAGTTGGGCGTGGGAAGGAACAATCGATGAAATTGAAACGAGCGCGGCTAAAACCGAAACAGGTGATAGGCGACTCATCTTGGGAATGCAAAGGAAGACGTTCGTGAAGAGAGGATGACTGGATCGAGATATGTAGTAAATCGTTATCTTAAGTTATACACGATTCAGACTCAGAATGACTTCCCTACCTCTTGGAGTCAAAAGGCCATGTGGGTAACTTGCGTACGTCCGCTGCGCCTTGTGCAGATATGAATGCATTGCGTACTATTATTAGCAAATGACTAGTGGTTACGTACTAACCATCATAACGGAGGCATGCACCCTTATTGCTTTGATAGCTAGACGGGGTGTATACACAGTAGTGGTAAGTGTCTGGGATCTGCGTTGAGTATGTTGCGTAGCTAGTTCAATTAGGTCGGGCCGCTTACTGCATCTGCAGAGCAACCGAGTTATCGACGCGACAGCCTCGTGGTTTGACATACAGTGAGGGTCATAGGGTGACGAAGCCCTCAGAGAGCGAGAGCGAGAACGAGCAAATAGAGCCTCAGCTTGAGCATCTGTTCTAAACTCTAGTGCCCGTTGTGGAGTCAAGGCTTCATCAGCTAAGGATGGGTAAGGCTTTAACCGTAGACTAATGTCGATCACCTCTTCTTCTTTCTGTCTTCGCACTCGAGCCTTCCACTCTCGTCCCAAATAGGTTCAGTCAAAAATCTATAGAGATTACGCGTTCGACATGGGACAAATCAGCACTCTCGATGCACTGAACTCGATCTTGGACAGGTATCGGGTATCAACGTCTTAACGCGGTTGCGCCCGATCCCTAGATGGACTTGATGATCGGAACTCTGGGTGGATACTTTGGGGAGGAGGTATTACTCTGAGTACCTAGGTGGTAACAAGACTCCACGTATCCTTAGACGCGTACTGTGTGCTCAGGTCTCCTGTCTGGAACCAGGGTCGTAATCCACATGGTAGGGGTGGAATACATTGACCGAAAACGATGGAGAATCATGGGAAAGTCATTGCACGAAGCATAAGAGTGGGAGCTGCGGCTTTCCTTCTCTTCAACCAGTCACTTATCGATACCACCGCTACTTTCATTACAGGCTCCAGAATACGGTCATGACGATGTTCAAGAAAACCTCACCCCTCTTCTTTCTACTTCCTATTGTCCAAGTGGCCAGCGCTCAAGATGCTTGCGATGCAAGCATGCTCAACACGACCGTCAGAACGTGGCCTGTTACCTCTACAGACACCATTTTCAGCATTGCTGCCTCAACCTCGCGTGGTGTCTGCAACATTGCCCGCGCAAACCGCATGGCTGACGCAAACCTCATGGTAGCCGGCGAAACGCTTCTCATACCTGGAGAGTCCTGCGCCCAAGACATTGACAACACAACCTGCCTTGTCCCCAACATGACCTACTACGCAAGCTGCGTCCCCGGTGGTCTGCACACATATAACGCGCGCTACAACGACACTCGCGCGAGCATTGCGCTCAAGTTTCAAGTCAGCCTTGACACCATCACGACGATGGGTGTTAACGTGTCTGCGCAATCGGCAGACGCAGTCATTGCGGCCGATACGCAGATCAAGATTCCACAGTGCAGTCCCAGCCAGTGTACCGTCCAACCGTACAAGTTTACGTTTGGAACATATGTCGATTTAGCCAACGAGCTTAACACAACCGTGGGGCAGATCATGGCGTTTAATCCGACATATAACTACAGTTCCAAGACGGATGTAGATGATTCACCAATCATCTCTCTGCCCATGAACTGCAGGAATTCGACTGGGAATATCACTGTGATATCGTAGAGCATGTCTGTCGTAGGGTAGCCTGCATGCGAAGGTTGGGTGGGCCTCGTCATTAACGACTGCAATTGGAAAGATATTAGACAGCAGCATCTTCTCCTTTCGGATGGGTCCAAGCCCCAGATGGAGTTGATGACTGAAAGTCAGGCGTTTTTGCAGCCTTGGAGTACCTGTTATCTAGTCAGCACATCGGCAAGGTACGTATTGCTGTGAAATAAGGGAGCCGAAAATTTCTTTGAAAGCACAACGTATTCTTGCTGTGATACCTTGGGAATGCCGGAATTGAATGCAACTTCAGAGTCGAATCAATGCACAAGCATCGTTCTTGCCTTTCTCTGTGTATTATATTTTTCTTGCCTGCCATATGAAAAGTCTGGTTCTTTGCCTGTTCGATACTCTAAGAACGCTGTATACGGTCACTCGAGTTCCCAGAGCCTCCTCAAGTCCGCAGCTCTATTAGACGTTTTCCACCCAGTCTCACGTTCTATCTTTGCGAGGTGCTTCAAAATTGCAAGCTTCTCAGCTGCATAACACACGTCTGCACCGTCGCTCTCATCTGGTAGCCGTGAGACATTCTGCTGCATACCTGAACCACAACCAAATGCTTGCCCAGCGATGTAAAGAAGCTGTACCTGGTTCACCCAACTTGAGTGCGATGCATTTGTTGTGCTAATACCGCATAGCTCTCTTGCGTGCCAGATAGTATTGTGCACGTCAGCTCCGGTCTCCGCTTCGTCACAACATACGTGTTTCGTCTGTAGTAACAAAATGGCACCGGCGTGGTAGAATATGTTCCCGCATACCGATGAGCTGTCAGTGTGCACAACGATCGGGAACGGGCTCCTTTGGTGTGCTTCCGTTCTGATGAGAGGTAGTACCTGCGTTGGACGGTATTGTCGCCAGTCCTGGAGTTCGCTCCACAGTTCTTGCACGTCAGACTGACAGTTGTTGTGATCTTTTGCGATCATATTAGTTATCTTCGCAAAGATAAGAGTAGCAAGATTGCAGTACGCGTCGGTGTTTAGAGTAGCTGCAATTGACCATGCATTGCAGTCGTCAATCCAATCGTCGGTTGGCACCAAAGTCTGCTCTTTAAGAACAAAAGCTGCTGACACGTCTAGAAATGGATCAGTAGGAGTCAGTAACTCATTGTGTTCACAATATACCTATACGCGCGAAAGCCCAGAAACAGGCGTTGACTAGTCCTGGGCTAGAGCCATTCCAACCTTTGTTGGTCAAATTGAAGACACAGCCTTGTAGATGACGTCTTCCGTCACTGACGTTAGAAGCCATCATTTCGTAGACACTCAGCAGGATACAAGTAGCTAGTGTGGCTTGACCACACTGTGATGGTTCATAATGAAGTAGGGATTGCACGGCGTGCTGATATAGGCTCAGTGTAGTCTGACGCTTGTCGTTACGAAGGGCGTCAAGTTGCCTTGACGCTAAAGCCATCGCTGCGCCTGCAAACGGCTGGTTTTCAATGAGCTTATGAACGTATGATACCGTGAAATGTCTGCTAGAATCTGTAGCCTCACACCATGCGCCCGTTTCTTGAAGATAGGCGCTGAGGAGCCGAGATTGTTCGGCCTGTGATACAGGAACAGTATCGGTTTCCAATGGCACCACGCCAGTGACGGCTCGATGAGGCAGAGTTGAGCAGGTCGACGTACTTGATGATGAAGCATTTTCTTGGTACGTTCGATCGTTCCAGGTTGAAGAGGGGAAAGCAACACCACCACTGTCTGCAAAAGCTTGAGTCTGAGAGGCTACAGAAGAATTCATCGGAAAGTTCAGATCCCATACAGTCGATATCGTTGGGTTCCATCTTGAATTGGCATACTCTGCAATAGTGTCTTCTGACCGAGGTGCGGCTGCCCTCGTCCTCTCAGACTCAAGAAATGCAGTAGCAGAACAGTCTTGATACTCGTGCACAATCTGATCCGTATCGTTCACGATCTGGATACTATCGGCTTGCTTGTCAGGTTGACCTCGTTTTCTCTCGATGGCAAGCAGTGCAGCGCAGTGCTTGCTGGACAATTCTAGCGACCTAGACGGATGGAATGTCACCTTCAGACCCCAGCGACACTCCTGACCGCGAACCTGGCAGCCATGACACCTTGGCTGAGCTCCATCGCCTGATAAAAGTCAGTAAGGGGGAAAGAAGAGAACCGGGGATGAACTCACACTTCCGCCTTCTGCGTCGACAGCACAAGCTTCACATCGCAGTTTCAGCGTTGTGAAAGAGAATGATGACGTCGTTCCAAACTTACCATCCCAATCGAGACCGTGTTCGACTGGTTTGCGCAACCCCGTCTGCGTCACCTGTCATGGAAACGATATTTTCCAATGGCGCGTTGGGTCACAAAGGAAGGAAAGTGGAAGCGCTGAGGTAGGTGGAAGAGTATTGGTAAGCTCAAGAGTGCTTCGGTCCGCCTTGCCACCAGGATGAGAGTGAATTGCCGAAGTCGGGCCGTGGAAAATAGGCAAGTCGAAGCACTCGCCGACCGGAATGGGTCACCGATCAAAATAGGAAAGCGATGTAGATAGGATCGCTCCGAGCAGATTTCTTGCGCTGCTTGTATAGGTGTGTCCTGTAGCCAAATGCAGCTCTGGACCAGCATGTAATCCACATACCGCGCTTCTCCATATACCAGATGACTAAAGACTCGGCGGTTGCGGTTGCACCTTCGCGGATTGCATCGAAGCGTACTACAACCGTGGTGGATAGATATAAATGCATACGAACACCATCATCGATCTGACTGCACAACACTTCCTCTGATCTCTCAGCATCTCTCATTATCGTCATAATACCTTTCACATTCCGACTTCCTACACAAACCATCAATCATGACCACACAACGTGTGTTCCGCCTGCCTCAGCGCACGTCCATTCTAGATCTCCAGGTCAACGAAGAAAAGGTGCCTGAGCCTGCCTCCCAAGAAGTCCTGATCCGAATCAAGAGCATTGCTCTCAACTTCCGCGACTTCGCCGTCGCCACTGGAAAGTACCCCTTTCCTGTCAAAGACAATGTGGTGCCCTGCTCTGACCTGTCTGGCGAGGTCGTACGTGTGGGCAACCAAGTGGACGACTTCGCCGAGGGAGACAGGGTTATCGCATCCTTTGACTTGAAGACGTTATATGGTGCCATGCCGGATTGGCACCATAGCCTGGGTGGTTGCTACGATGGAGTGCTTCGAGAATATATCGCATTACCCAGCTCTGCGCTCGTTAAAGTACCATCGACCAGCGGGCTCAGCTTCGCTCAACTTTCGGCTTTGGTATGTACGGGCACCACCGCTTGGAATGCACTTTACGGCAATAATCCTGTGAAACCTGGACAGACGGTGCTCTTCCTTGGTAAGAAGGCTTCACTCTGTGTATCACAGCCTTCACTAACAACGTTTGCAGGCACTGGTGGCGTCTCGATCACTGGTCTAATCTTAGCCAAAGCAGCAGGCGCTGTTACAATCATCACCTCTTCATCTGACGACAAGCTCGCCCAAGTCCGAAAGACGTATGGTGCGGACTACACCATCAACTACAAGTCGAATGCGAACTGGTCTCAAGAGGTGCTCAAGATCACCAACGGCCACGGTGCGGACTTTATTCTCGAGAACGGTGGAGCTGGGACGATTGCTCAAAGCATTGAAGCAGTGGCCTATGGCGGAAACATTGCCGTGATAGGGTTCCTTGCCCCATGCCCACAAGAGAAGATGCCTGATGTAGCAGCGCTGGCCCTCTCCAAGGGTGCGATTGTTCGCGGCATCATGGTGGGGTCCAAGCAACAGCTAGAAGATGTCACGCGTTTTGTGACTTCTAAGAACCTTAACGTGCCTGTGGAGAAGGTCTTTGGTTTTGAAAGGGAAGACGTCGTATCAGCTCTCGAGTACTTGGTGTCTGGTCAGCATATCGGCAAAGTATGCATTGTTGTGAACTGAGAGAGCCGAGGTCAATAGAAACACGATGCGTTCTTAGTGTACATACCTCAGTATCGCCAGAAATGTATGCAATTTTCAAAAGCCGCTATCTGGATTAGCTCCTATCAGTCCATCTTCCACCACCCTCTCCGGGCCTGACTCCAGCCTTCTTCTCACTGCCTGAGAACTTTGCCTCTTCTTCTTCCCACTTCTTCCGCTCTTGCCGTCTCCTTGCTGAGTAGGCACGCGAAAACCTCCAGGCTTCCGTATCTGCTAGGTTCCACTGCTCCACAGCCCCGACCACCGACTTCATGTTCCTATCCTTGCTCTTGATAGCATCGCGCGCCTTCTTCAGGCGCTCTTGCTCCTTCTCAATCCATTTCTCGTCCGGCACATCTATACCCTCGATGGGCTTGGGAGGTTCCGGACGCGGGAAGATGATGATCTCGGATTCCTTGCTTGGCGAACTGGGCTCAGCGGTTGTGGAGGCGTTCTGTGGGAGACCGAATCCAAAAATCCAGTCCAGATCATCTTGCGTGATGCGTTCGGCTGTAAGCCACAAGGTATGCGCTGGAGCTGCTGCTACTAGCTCTTTGAACTTGAGTACACGGAACTCTTCAGTGTGTTCACTCGGAATCGACTTATCAGTTAGCTTCCGTATCCATAGATCGCGCGAAGCGCTATTGCGCAAGAAGTTGGTGTCTATCATGTCGCGTGTGTAATGCAACGAAGTGAGTGTGTAGGGGTGCGGAACGGTTCCAATCGTAAAGAACTTAGTTGTGTTCACAAACTCCGGAAATTGCTGAAGCTTCATGGACTTGTTGGCATCGCAAGGTTTGCACTTGGGCCGATTAGGGGGACACGATTTGGGCATCGGAGAACTTGGGCATTGTGTCAGGTTGCGCGCAATATCCGTCGTCTCGCGTAAGAGGGCAGTAGTATGTTCTGGTACTGGCTTCACAATAGCGACGCCTTCGGGGTGTTGCTCTTGCCAGGTCAGATGAAGATGTGAGTTTATGAGAGTCGCGAGTAAGTCAAGGGCCACGGCTTGGGTTGTGTTGGTAAACTTGTCGGCAACCGTCTTGTACTTGCTGGAGATGGTGGCCATGTTGTAGGATGCGATACCGTTGGCCTTGTTGTCTACTTGTATGTCCTTTGTAGACAGAAGATTGACGACTGGCCCACCCTCTTTTTTCGCTAGCTTGGAGAGCTTGTCCTTGCTCGCAGTAACATTCTTCAACAGATCGTTGCCCATGACCTTCTTGATAGCATCATCGACAGTCATTCGGTCTCCGAAGAAGACAGCGTTGTCCAAAGATTGAACTCTTGACAGCTTGGGATATTCGTTCCGTCGCAAAAAGCTCAGCATGGGGTTTTCATACTCGGCCATGGGCAATGCGAGCCAATTGACCAGAACGCCGCCGCCCATGTGTCCCCAGGCCAGCCAGCGCATAATCTCGAATTCAATCTTGGCATCCAGCTTCATGCGCTGGAACAGCTGGTATTGTGGGTGGTGCATAGCTTCAGCCCGAGAAAGAACAACGGGCTTGAAGCCTTGTGCCCACCATGCTCGTCGCCATGCCAGTATGAGCCGTTGCTCTGCCGCAGACACGTCTTTGTCCTGCTTCTTCGGGACATCGTAGTAGGTGTAAATGGGCGGTCGTTCGCGTAGGGGAGGTAGCAGGGCGGTGTTCTCATCGAGGGTTACGGAGTAGGAGAAAGGGTTGCGCCACTTGAAGTCACTAAGCCATTCTATGGCACCGTAGGCACTCGCGGTAGTGCTGTTGGCCTGGACAGGCGGAGGCTTGTGGGCTGAGGGACCGAAGGGATTGGGTACAGCTGGCAGCTGGCCCAGATCAGGCACGTGGGCTTGGGGATGCTTTACAGCATCGGCCACTTGATCGTAGGTTGGGATGCTATCGCGTGACGGAGGTCCGTAAAAGGTAAAGTTAATAATGAAGAAGAACAGGACGATAAAGATGACTTGGAAACGGCGCGGGGGCATCTGCAGCGTAACGGGCCGGCCCATGAAGGTGTGCTGGATCGGCATGGCGCAACGGGAACGTGAAGGTAAAGTGAACAGAAGGCCAACTACGGTGATGCTGGCAACATGAGCTCTTGCAGGCTACTGCGAGCCGTTATCCGTGGTGGGCCTGAAGTTGCTGCTCCCAGGTATTACAGGATCCAATCAGCCTCTGGAGCGGATAAACAATTAAACGAGCGACAAGAAAGCACAACACGACGCTGCAGTTGCAAGCAGACAATAATTCGACAGCGTTGGATGACGCGTCGTGGCAGACCGATGTTTCCATTTTGGCGAGGACGGTTTGCCAGGCTAGCGTAGGGCTGATGATGCTCCCCCAGACAGACATGCGCGTCGAGCCTTCCCTAGTGGGGGTTCGCCCTAGCCGATATCGCCTGAGTCGAGCATTTTGACTGGATGCGTCATACCCGTCTATTACTTTTGATGTACAAGTCTTTGCTATTTTCTTTCAAACTTCACTCTCTGGGGCCTTAGGAAAACGACTTACACTGGACCCAATTTCCAACTTCTCTTCCCTTTATTCGCACTCCAATTGGACATTTTCAATCTGTCTACGCGCATGCGCACATTCACAGCGCGACCCCGCCCTATATTTCCCTGAGACATGCAGGAACAAGTACGCGCGACAATGGCTTCTCTAACCAAGGGAAGCATCCCGGATCCTACCGCAGACCTTCACTGGTCTGACTTCAAAGGACCAATTCACGACATCTTCGCCGCCAATGCTCGCAAGCACCCAGAGCGGCCATGTGTGGTTGAGACCGCCACCAGCAAGACACCAGAGCGCAACTTCACATACAAGCACATATTCGAGGCTACTGCAGTCCTATCCCACCATCTCGTGCAAAATGGCGTCCAGAGGGGGGAAGTGGTCATGATCTTTGCCCATCGAGGTGTAGATCTAGTAGTAGCCATCATGGCTGTCCTGGCGGCAGGAGCGACCTTCTCAGTACTAGACCCGCTGTAAGTTCAACTTGCTAGATCCGCCTCTATATACTGACGTCGCCTAGATACCCTCCAGACCGCCAATGTATCTACCTCGAGGTCTCCCAGCCACGCGCCCTCGTAGTCATCGACAAGGCCACGCGCGAAGCCGGTCCCCTTTCAGAGCAAGTCAGGAACTACGTCAAGGACAACCTACAACTCCGGACCGAGCTCCCCGCGCTCGAGCTCAAAGACGACGGAACACTTGTCGGAGGCTCAAAGGATGGAAAGGATGTGCTGGAGGAGCAGCAGAAGCTCAAGGCCGAGCTCCCGGGCGTGCTGGTCGGTCCAGACTCGACACCCACACTTTCATTCACATCAGGATCCGAAGGAAAGCCCAAGGGTGTCAAGGGCCGTCACTTTTCGCTGACGCACTACTTCCCGTGGATGGCTGAGACCTTTGGACTGTCTGAGAACGACAAGTTCACCATGCTTTCCGGAATTGCTCACGACCCAATCCAGCGAGACATCTTTACCCCACTCTTCCTTGGTGCACAACTACTCGTACCCAGTAAGGAAGACATCCAGCATGAGAAGCTTGCCGAGTGGATGCGCAAGTATGGCGCGACCGTTACACATCTCACACCTGCCATGGGCCAAATTCTCGTTGGAGGTGCTTCGGCAGTCTTCCCTAGCTTGCACCACTCATTCTTTGTGGGTGACTTGTTGATCAAACGCGATTGCAGGAGGTTGCAGAACTTGGCGCCAAACGTCCGCATCGTCAACATGTACGGAACCACAGAAACACAAAGAGCCGTCAGCTACTACGAGTTGCCAAGCTGTACTGAAGCACCCGAATTCCTTGACAGCATCGGTGAGGTGATCCCGGCGGGTCGTGGCATGAACAACGTTCAGCTTTTGGTAGTCAACCGCGAAGACAGGACAAAGGTTTGCAAGCCCGGTGAGAGTGGTGAAATCTACGTACGAGCGGGTGGTCTGGCCGAGGAATATTTGGGTCTGCCTGACATGACAGCCGCCAAGTTCATCGACAACTGGTTTGTAGACCAACAGAAGTGGATAGACGAAGACAACAAAAAGGTAGAGAGTCAAGGCGCCGCTGAACCATGGCGAGAGTTCTACAGGGGTCCACGAGACAGGCTCTACCGCTCTGGCGACCTGGGCCATTACTCAGAGGATGGAAACGTGCACTGCACAGGTCGAGTAGACTCGCAAGTGAAGATTCGAGGTTTCCGTATTGAACTGGGTGAGATTGACTCACATCTCTCTGCTCATCCTTTGGTGCGCGAAAACGTCACATTGTTGAAACGCGATGCCTACGAGGAGCCAACACTCGTCAGTAAGTTTCAACTCTCTCCGCAGTTTTGAACATGACTAATATCACAGGCTACATCGTCCCCGAGATGAAGCGTTGGTACGACTGGCTTGAAGAGCGTGGTGCAAAAGACAGCGATTCTGCCGACGACACTAGTATGGTCACATTGCTGAAGCGCTTCAAGTATCTACGAGATGACGTGCGAGAGCATCTCAAGAAAAAGCTCCCCGCATATGCCGTGCCATCGATCATTGTTCCTCTCATTCGATTTCCGCTGAACCCGAACGGCAAGATCGACCGACCAGCGTTGCCATTCCCAGAACCAGCACATCTAGCAGCTGCTGGTGCAAGACGTCCTTCACAGTTAGGCGCAGCTTTGACGCCAACTGAGAAGAAGATGGCCAGTATCTGGGCAGAGCTCCTTGGCGATCGCGGTGTAACGGCCGATGGTATCGGTGGAAGTGATTCCTTCTTCGACCTCGGCGGACACAGTATCATCGCACAACAACTGTTCTTCAAGATCCGACAAGAGTGGAAAGACATCGATGTGCCTATGACTACCATCTTCCAATACCCCACATTGCGCGGCTTCTCAGCAAACATCGACCAGGCAATGGATCCTATCGGTCTACGCCTGGATACTGCCGAGGCCATCGACGACGACCCAGAAGACGAAGCATACTCTGCTGATGCCAGAGAACTTGCTAACCAATTGACTGAATTCAAGACTAGGGAACCGTTGAACCCGAAGGAAGAAGTACATACTTTCCTCACTGGCGCGACAGGTTTCTTGGGAGCCTACATTCTACGAGACATCTTGTCTAGACCTGGAAAGGTCACGGTGCTTGTACGTGCGAAAGACATTGACGCTGCACTTGGACGTGTCAGGCAGACGTGTTCTGCATACGGTATCTGGGAAGATAGCTGGGAATCGCGCCTAGAGCCACTCGTCGGAGACCTTGAGAAGGAATATTTCGGCCTTGAACCAAACACGTGGAACAAACTCGCGGACTCCGTCGACGTTGTGATTCACAACGGCGCATTGGTACATTGGGTATTGCCGTACTCACGTCTCCGAGGGCCCAACGTCATATCCACTATGACTGCACTTTCAATGTGTGCTGCGGGCAAACCCAAGAACTTCGGCCTTGTCAGCTCAACATCAGTGCTTGATACAGACTACTTTGTGAAGTTGTCTGAGAAGAGTCTGGCGAACGGTGGTACAGGTGTCCCCGAAGAAGATGACTTGGAAGGTGCCCGCAAGGGCTTAGGAACCGGTTATGGTCAATCCAAGTGGGCGGCTGAGTACCTCACACGAAAGGCTGGTCAGAAAGGTTTGAGTGGATGCGTCATCCGTCCCGGCTACGTTTTGGGAGATCCAGAGTACGGCACCACCAATACGGACGACTTCCTCGTGCGTATTCTCAAGGGCTGCATCCAACTCAAATCACGACCCGACATCACAAACACTATAAATATGGTTCCTGTGACTCACGTCGCGCGCGTCGTTGTAGCGTCGTCGTTCAATCCACCTATAGCACCGCTCGGGGTTGCGCAAATCACCTCCCATCCTCGTATTACCTTCAACGAGTTCCTAGGCGCTCTCGAAAACTTTGGCTATAATGTTCCTCTCGTGACATACTCGGAGTGGAAGCAAAACATGGAAGCCTATGTCTCAGACCGCTCCGGTACGAAAGAAGAGAACGCTCTGTTACCATTATACCATTTTGTGACTGGAGATCTGCCTGCTGATACCAAGGCACCTGAGCTTGACGATAAGAACGCGACAGAAGCTCTCAAGAAGGACCAAACATGGACAGGTCAAGATTGGAGCCAGGGTGGTGCGGTGACGGAAGACACTGTAGGTGTCTATGTCAGTTACCTGATCGAGCTGGGTTTCATGCCCAAGCCAGAGAAGAAGGGCATCAAAGAGCTGGTGATGAGTCGGTTGACAGACGCTATGCGGGAAGGTATGAAACTGGTTGGTGGTCGGAGGGGTGTCTAGGTCATTTTTACCAAAATTTTGGACTGCGGCGTCACTGCGCATTGGGGGTCTATCTAGTAAGGGCCACGATCTCCGCTACCTGGTGCTAGAAAAGGCAAAGATACATAGATGTTTTATCTAACCGACAAGTACTGCATTAGATTATCTGCAGATTTTAGTCTGGAATTCTTGGAGTATCATATCTGGTCGCAGTGAGATCATTGCAACCGAACCGTTCTTTGTTGATGCTGATGTATGCGTTCCTTCTATCGCGGCTTCCAATCATATTGAGTGACATCACAGCCATCGCCGATACAACAATACCTCGCACAAACGCTATCTTACATCCCTCACACTGTAAGCCGATGATTGCCTCTGCGTTTCGCATCTCTTACCAACAACATACCCGGCACGTCGCAAGCATCGTCCGCGAGGCGGGACAAAACTCCGCAACTCGTCGATGTGATCGCCATGCCGTATATTACCACCGGCTGTGGCTGCAGCTATAGCAGAACGCCTATCGCAACGTGGCTCATGTATTCGATGCGAAGGAGCATGTCATGAATGCAACTGTACATACAAATCGACGTCACTGGTAGCACTTCCAGCTCACCGTCGGAATCTGCCATGTGTAGGCAGTACCAAAGGTACGGTAGGTTCAGTCCGGTCGCTGATGTTGTACGATTAGAGTGCGAACAACATGCCGAGAATGCGACGGACTAACCAAAACAAAAGCAAATCACACGATAGATATCGATCCAGCATCCGCCAGGACACCTGGCGCCGTCAACAGAGTATCTGAGCTTCTCATGTGCCAACGCCAAGATCACGATCAGCAAGACCAACTTCGTTTCAGCCACGCTTGGAGGCCGGATTCAGACTCAGCAAAGCAACATGCACCTACTTCCGCCAACAAGCGCTATCAAATGCACTCCGCCGCCTCCGACTTGGTCTTGCGGTACGACACGAGAGTGCTCGCGACGTTGCACCGCGGGACCGCAACCCGCCGCGTCTTCCTGTCCCCAACTAGCGTCTAGGCATGTTGGAGAAGCGTCCTGGATTTATCTCGAGAGTCGTCTGTGGTACACAGGCCCAAGATCCGCAGGTTCAATATTTCCTAGGCACATCATCACGCAGCCAGCGGACGCCCTAGACGGACCGTGGTAGCGCGTGTTACCGGCTTGGCGTGTTTTCAGAGGACATTGCACAAGACAGTGAGCACCACCATGCGGCGGTCCGTTTGCTCAGCGTTTCTCAGCATCGTCGGCGCAGGCCAAGACAAAGGGTAGAGGTGATGAGGATGAAAGCTGGGGCTCCAGCACCAGGACAGGTCGCTGCCGCGAATTCCGTCCTCGGCCTCAGAGGCGCCTGGATGAGAGTTGCGCTGGGTCACCCATGCGAGCCGTGATTGGCCGTCCCCGTCTTGCGATGCTCTGCCCAGCCGCAATGCCGAGCCTTGGGGATGAAAGCCAAGCCCAAGACCTTCTCCCAAGGTCTTGAGAGCGTAATTGTATGTAACAAGAGTCTTGCCTCTCCTGAGGGAAGCCTCCGCCTCTTCTATAACATGCCCGGCACCTCATCGACTTCGCATGTCTCCAAGGGTCGTCTAAAGCCCGTCCAGCAGTGACGCCGCCCACCAATTAACTGCAATGGAATCCCAGCGTCCGCCGGTGCCATGTTCGGCCACATCCCCCCAGCAGAGCCAACCCCAGCGCCAGCTCTCGACGAACGCTTCATCCGACGAATACAACTACGCATACAACGAGAAAGAGCCATATCAGCGACAGCACAGCATCCGAACAGACCGTCATAGCAAGTCGAGTTTTGGCCGCGGCCATGATTCTGTCATCTCGTCGCACCCATTCTCGCCAAAGGCCTCCTCTGCGCCAAGCCCAACCAGCAGCATCTCCTCGATAGGTCAACAACGCAACTCAACACCCGAGATCCGATATTCCAGATCGGACATAGAACAAAACAACATACAATATCCCCAACAAGCGCATCTTGATCCTGAGAAGCATGGCTACGGTTCGTCGCACGACGGCCGATCTCCGAACCGCGCGTCTGCGGCAAGACTGGACAGCGACGCGATCGTCTACGACAAAGGCGCATTCCATGAGAAAGGTCCAGAAGAAAAAGCATGGCAGTTGTTGGTATGTGAACCATCGTCTCTCGGTCGTCAACAGCATGGCTAACAAACATGTAGTTTTGGCTCTGCGGCCCATGTGCCTTTCTCTCCGGCGCCATCGCTCTCTGGACCATCCTCGCTCTCCTGATCTCGATCGTACTAGCCCCCCTGCGATTCTGCACTACCCGCCCACCATTTTCGGCACAAATCACCGCCTTCCTCGCACCAGCGCTGAACCTTCAACTACACTTGGTCTATTCCCACGACTCAACAACCGACTACAGCGCGCCCATGCTCGTCGTCGTTCATCTCTTTTCGCCAGTCGTTGCATTTGGTGTCGCGATAGCTGCATGGACGGCGGCCGGATTCTGGTTTTTCTCGTCCATCTTAGGAGACCCTGGAGGTCACGACGGGCACAACGATGGTAAAGAGACTATCGTCAGTGTGCGGAACTGGTGGGAACGATGGCTCTCGAGGGGACTACGCGAGACCAATGTTTGAAGAGGAGGCTATCACTGCAGCGACGAGTTTTTGTTTTTCCCGTTCGGCCTATGACGGCACGAACGATGTTTAAGCGGCATATACCATGGCGTACTTTTTGTTTTGAAGGGCAACGGACATGATGGGAATGCTGATCTGGGACGACAGCACGGCGTTACTGGACCTCTCTATACGAAGAGCAGGAGAGCGGTTGGAGCTCGACATGATATACCCCATTTTACTCGAATTATACCAAACTTCCTACACAATGACTTCTCTATTTTGCAAAAGTTCGTTTCAAGCAATAGTCTCATTCACGTGAACGCGCCTCGTACGAGACACTTTACTAGTCCAATTTTCCAAGCAGGCAGACCACGCTCCCAAGCCACTATCCAAGGAGCCAGACTGGCGCACACGCACACATACTCAGCCCCTCACGAAGCTTCGAAGAACGCCACACGCGGACACAAGGCTCCTGGCATAGTCCTGGGCACCATACAGCGGAATTCTCTCTACCCCGACCGCCCGATCCAATCTCATGCTAAGCACATGAGATGGCGGAATAGCGGAGCGGTGAAAACCAAACTTTACTTGCTCGTCTTCACCGCAACACGCGCACCCTCAGCTCTTGCGGCAAACCTGCCGTCCAAGACGTTGCCAATCCCGCCCAGTTTCCGCCGCGGATTGACAACTTTGTGCCATGCCTCTACAGTCTCCGCTCGGCCTTGTGTTTGTACAAAAGAAAAGCTTCTGGAAAAGCATTCATCATGAATGGAGGAAGTCGTAAGCGGAGTGCGTGTACCCTGATCAAACCCGAGTGTCCGTGTACAACAACTGTGTACAATTTGTTGTACATTCTATACCGGTCCGATATGCCATACGCACGCACACAAACTTCCTTCTAACCAGGCATACCATGAATGTCACGAAGTAGTCGATGCCGCAGAACCAAGACGTAAGCGGAGAATCTCCTTCTCGTAAAGGAACGTGAGCGGAATAATCACGCCCTAGGGATCTGCCAGACAGTAAGAAGCCAAGTCGGGTTATTGTGGATTTCGCCGAGCATCGTTTCAGATAGTTTGCGCGTCACGTTCATCTTCCTGAGCAAAGACAAAGATGAACGGATACAAGACGGGTAGGTCGGCTACATGTTGGCCTGGGCCCCTGGGTAGGGTTTGTGTAGATCATGGATGTTGCGGGTATGCAGTTGCCAGCACCCGTTTCTCGGGACAAGTAGGTGATAAAATCTGAAGGGTGAGTAATTAGCTCACTTTGCTCGAGACTACTATTGCCTGAAAACACAAGTACTAGCTATAGCAAATCTAGCCAAGGCACAACAATGTTACACTGAGGAAAAGGCCCGAGGGAAATAACGTTTCTCGGTCCTTCTCTTCTTTCTTTTGTGTAGTCATGCCTTGATGACTATCGTGGCCCCCCAATATGAAACTTGATAGATCTGACGTGTGTCTGGGCAAACGGGTATCACGGCGTGCGTGGTTTATGCGACGGAATGACCAACACTCAATTTTAACGATGAAGCGTTTGTTAGGTAGAAAAGTGCTTTTGGTGTTCAAGTTGCGCATCAATCAGTATTGAGGCCTGGAAGACATGATGCTCTCCTTGATGATGGTGTAAAAGCGCAATAGATTTGGCATTGCACTGCAAATGTATGGTCGTTTGTATCGTGCTATGCTACGATCTCGAAGTATTTATAAAAAGACATTACGACATTAGACGTGACAGTATAGACGTGTGTGTACAGAAAAAGCGTGCATAGCACAAGAAGAAAAGTATGAAAAGCAAAGCAAAGCGCCGTCCGCGTTCATATAAAGGCTTCGCCTTTTGAGCAGAACATGTTTGCGGGGCGCCAGACGCTATGTGTAGGGTCTCTATCGTGGCGTTTGAACTCGAATATGTGGCTGGCAATAGCAATGGGCGTGTTCGTGTCGTAACCCCGAGTGATGCTGATGTGTGTATGTTCCTCGCATGTAGTCGTCTTTGTATCGCAACTCATGGTGTAGTTCGTAAGTTGTTCTGTGGCATCGCGTTCTGAAAGTTTCAATCGCCTTCTCTCGAATGTACTTGTCGTATAGTGATCTGACTCCTCATCTTCTTGTGGCCTCTGCCCCGCATCGTCTCTCTCGCTATGCAATTCTTTAGACACTGCTCAACGACTGAAGGATCGCTCTCTAGGAACTGCTCGTTCAGGAACCAGCTTGAGCTTCTTTGTACGGACAGTCGCAAGCAACTCCTCTCACTGCCGATCTGCTTCTGGAAAAAGTGGTCGAGGAAGGCGTATGAATCGTCGAAGGTTTTGTAGCAGCTATTACACGCGAAATTCGCTTTGTCGTCGGTCGCCATTGGGTCCAAGGCAATATGTGATGTGAAGAGGATACATCTGTACGCAGGGAGTCCAGAGTGAGAAGCGACGGAGATGCATGCATCGCATTCCGGGCAGATCTCCCGGTCATCGTACTTGTCGTGGGGGAAAGCCCTCTTTGCGCGCAATGTGCTCGATTTGGATTGCTTGAGATCTTTCCGAAGTTTGTCTGCGAAAGGACAGAACTCCACTTTGAAACGCGGGGGAGGCAGAACAGGTGATAGGATCGGTGATTCGAGACGTGCGTATTGCTCGCGCAGCGCAGTAAGACAGGCGCGGCGGGTACTTTTAGCAATCATGATTATATCGTCGATGGGTATTATTGGTGTTGAGGAGAAAACGCTTTCGTAAAGTGGTTGTCTAATTTCGTACTGGATTCGCAGGAGTTGCGCAGAGAGGATGGTATTGCATTTTGCTGCAGATAGTCAGTCCCTGCAACTTCCGTATCGAATGTTGCACTTACTGTCGCCTTCCTCAAACCGTGCGCCAAATCGTTCTTTGCCTTGTTCCATGATCCTCTGGACCTGCCGTCCCAGGCTTAGAGCTTTGCCGACCGCATCGTCTCGGTTCTTTGTGCCAAAACACGCCCACTTGGACCGCGTGCGACGGTGGCGTGCTTGCCATTGCTCGTACGCCTCATGCGCATCTTGAAATTCGCGATCAATATCCCATAGCGTAAGATTGGTGTGTTGCGGCTTATCCCAGGAAACAGCCATCGTAGACATTATGAAGTATGCGTGTATAGACTCGTCGAAAACAAACAAACAAACAAACAAGAGAAGGAGGGGAAAGCGAGCGACAGAAGGTGAGTTTCAGAAGAGAACAACTATTCTTAATTAAGGATGAGGTCGGCCGTATTGGGAAGCGTACCAAACTCGCACGATCTCGATTAAGACGCGGAAACCTGAAAACGCGATGGCTCTGAGGAAAACAGGGTCCACAGGTCTGCGGGTGCTGCGCTGGCTTTACATACTCGTCGGTTGGCGCAAGATAGTGCGTCATGTGTCCTGCAGGTACCAGGGCTATCGCATAGGGAGACTTGCAATTCTGGAAATTAATTGCCTATCCATTGTCGTGGCTGTGTGGCGGGTCTGGGCGATATTGAAGGATGGAAGAAGCGAAAGTTGCTCCGCTGTTACATAGCATCCTTCATGCCAGACTGCCAGTGCGTACGCAGTTTCACCTGCAGTATTGATGAGGAACGACAGGTCCATGTGGGAACATGCTGGTCCGTGAAATTCGAAGAACCAAACTATAGCTGGTCCCCATATGATGGGTGCCGAGGATCGTGATGAAGATGCAGGGGCAGGAAGGGGACGCAAGCTGAAAAACAGCAATGATCCCTCCGCGCCATGGTCCGAGCACTCCCATATCCTCGGTTCAGGGACGCCTTCGTCGAGTCGTGGCGCGCTACGGTAATGACAATCATCTTCGCATTGAGTTGGTCTTTAATACGGTCGTCGAGATTTGTTTATGCAAAAGGCGTATCGTCCACTGTCAGCCTATAATCGGTGTTATTGATTGAAGCTTCGCTACCAGGGTCGCGCCGAATCGAACCCCACGTCTCTCGTCGCGTCTGCCCCACCATGGAGAACCTCAAGCTCTCCTCTTGCTTGCTGGCACACTCTCTGCCAATCGACAGTCACAATCCTGGTTCAATATAACAATGTCCCACAGCCACTCACATGAAGGCGCGTCGCATTCGCACGCTGCCGCAGATCACGGTCATACACATGAGATCCTCGATGGACCAGGAAGCTACCTGGGGCGCGAGCTGCCCATAATTGAAGGAAGAGACTGGGAAGACCGATCTTTCACCATTGGAATTGGAGGGTACGATGGACCCCGTGTGACATGCAGACATCCCTATACTGCTCGGCCGACCTCTGGAAGTTGCAGGGTTGACATGGCAAGATATACGCACAAGACACTGACCAGCCTAGGCCCGTAGGCTCCGGAAAGACGGCGCTCATGCTAGCCCTCTGCAAACACCTCCGAACGCGATTCTCTATAGCTGCAGTAACAAACGATATCTTCACCCGAGAAGACTGCGAGTTTCTGACCAAGAACAATGCCTTGCCCGCGTAAGAATAACCATACGTCATCTCTGCATGGTGAGTACAGGTCTGACGTCCTAACAGTGAGCGTATTGTCGCTGTCGAAACAGGAGGTTGCCCCCATGCCGCTGTGCGCGAAGACATCTCCGTCAACCTCATGACCCTCACAAACCTACACCAGAAGTTCAACACCGACCTCCTCCTCATCGAGTCCGGCGGCGACAACCTCGCTGCAAACTACTCGCGCGAACTTGCTGACTTCATCATATATGTCATCGATGTATCGGGCGGTGACAAGATTCCCAGGAAGGGTGGACCAGGCATCACGCAATCAGACCTGCTGGTTGTGAACAAGATCGACCTCGCCGAGGCTGTCGGCGCCGACCTGGACGTCATGGATCGGGATAGCAGAAGAATGCGCGAGGGTGGCCCTACCATCTTCGCTGTGGTCAAGAGGGACGAGGGTGTGGATGCTATTGTCGACTTGATCCTGTCTGCATGGAAGGCTTCAGGTGCAGGCCAGGCAAGGAAGGACAAGTTCGAGCCTACGCTGATGGAATAGAGTCAAGAGACGATCCCAAGGATCCGTTGAATCTTGCACTTAGATTTACTCAATGCTATCCATATATGCCAGAGACCGGCGCACTGTTATGCGGCGTCGTTATGACCATCCCTGCTCGTACAAAAGCAAAGGACAGTGCTGACTTGGAAGGTTACTCACTTCACCATGTACGCAAGGCTGGGTTTTCAAGGATTCTATTTGGTTCCCTCACATTATCCTCTATAGTCAAATCTCGACCATATCATACCACCCTCAGCAGTGGAAGATGCTGTTGACAGCGCTCAGGAAAGACAGGAAACCCATGCCATAAGATCATGTCCGAAAGAACAGACTGTATCATTCAATACCACCAGCTTGCCGCTCAGGTAAACTTAGGATATGATTTGTCCTGCGTCCAGACTTCAGCACCTTTTTTGAACGCGAGATCATCTTTACTCTCAGATTCAGCGTCAGGGAATTCGCTCCAGCAGGCCTCGAACTGGGCGGTTCACTTCCTTGTTTCAATCTGTAGTTACAAATTAGCTACGTCTCCCTTGAGGGTGGATCAGAACCTACTCGCTTTGGGAAATTGGCCAGCTTCCTTGCGCTCTTCGGCTTCCTTCTCGATTCGTGCATTCGTGCGTGCAAAGTAAGACGAGGTGTCATAATTAACCGCACGACGGATGGCATCGATATGGCTCAGTTGCGAAGCGAAAGGATCGTAGGTATGATAGTCCTCATCAAGGCCGGCAGATCCACGGGCGTTTCCAGATATGTGAGGTTGTGTGGGATTAGGCATAGTCGAAGCAGTGTTTTTGTTCTTTTTGGACTTCTTCTTTTTCTTTTTGGGTGCTGTAGTCATGGAAGTATCGGGGTGGGGTGCTTCAGCAGAAACAGAAGTGAGCTGCGCGAGTTCCGGGAGCTTGGGGGCAGGCATGGGGTGAACAAACGGTGACATTTCGTCCTCGTCTCCGACTAATGTAGAAGGGGAAGAGCTGCGAGATGTGTGCTCTTGAAGTGGAGTACCTGTGCGCAGCGTCAGTTTCCTTGAACTTGATATGAATGGAAAAATACTTGGACTTACTGTGTTGAGAGTGAAAGTGGTCATTTGGAGCAGAAGGCGGAAGAGCGAGACCTAGATTTGAGTCTTCCTGAGGGACTCGAGGGCCTGTAATGTGAGTAGGTTGATTGTAAGTGAGTTTTTGGGGGTCATTTACTTCAACCGGCATGTTTTTGGTAGAGGTTCGTGCTTTGGTGGTCATTGGACGGGCAGGCGATGCACGTGAGGAAGTGGGTTCAGCAACCCATACTGCCCCAGAGCGATCCAAGGATTCCTGCTTGACTGGATCGGCATTGTGTTCCTTCGCCTTTTCCGCCTTAAGAGTTATTGAAGGGATCTCCTTGGAATCTTTGATAGTACTATCGAGCTTACCAGTCTCTTCCTCATTTTTGGCTTTGTTTTCGCGATCTGTAGAGCCGGCTTCTGGTGCTGTCGCCTTTGCTTTCTTTTTGGACTTCGTGTTTCCCGTAGTCGTATCGCCGTTGCGACTAGGGTGTGCCACTCCCAGTTTGGTAACCGCATCTCTAGTCATGGATGATTTCGTGAAGTCCTCAAGCGACCCTGTATTAGACTGAACAATGAGACCTCCATTGGGCTTCTTCAAGGATGCGGCCTTCTCAGCCTTGGCCTTGGCGATGCGATCGGCGTCTTCTTTCTACACAGGCGAAGATAAATAGTCAACATATGTCTCATATGAATTTAGGACCTCAAAGATTCACCTTCTGCTGCTTCTTTTTGGCCTCCCTCTCTTTCTTTGCCTGGGACTTGTTCTTCGCAAATGGGTGAAGCGACTGTATTTGCGGAGCGCCAGCTTTCTTGCTCACTTCAGTAGGGGAGACTTCTGTAGTTGTCGAAGTTGCTGCGCTATCTAGAGCAGATTTGCGCGCAGTATCGCTTGTAGTGCTCATTGCGCGCTCTTGCGAATCTTCCGAACCTGAAGCTTGGGGCGTGACCACTTCTTTCAATGGCACGGCTGCAGGCTTTTCGAATTGAGTACTAGAGCGCTGATTTTGTAATGTTTGCAAATCACGCACATCAGCCTCAGCAGCTACAAGCGGTGATTCTGAGATAACTACATGTGTAAGCTATTGCAAATCAAATGTGGATGTAGTGCAGCGGTACCTTGCTTCGCGGTTATCGCCTTGTCTTCAATCCTCGGTTGAGGCTCTACTTGCACAGACTCAGGCTGAACTTCTGGCGCCGAGTGGAAGCTATTGTCATTCTTGGCTTCGTCCTCCGAGAGGCTATCGTCCGCTACTCGCGAGGATAATTCCTTCGAAAGTGTGTTGAACATCCCGACACTCGTGGTCTTGCAGATTTCAGCAATCGGGACAGTATCAGATGTGGTTTCCGAGATCTTTGACTGCATGCGCATAGGGGAAAGCGAGATGTTGGGCTTAAGTTCCGTTAGGAGATCTTCGTCGTCATGCTCAATATCAGACGCTTTGGAATCCTCGGCAAGTTGTAGTGTCAATTCGCGTGCTTCATCTACCGGCTGATCAACAGCTAGACTAGCAGCAGTTACAGGAACTGAAAGTTCTTGACACAAAGTACTGACGTCAATGTACTCTGGCTTCGTAGGCTCAATGATCGTATTTATGAACTGCGTGCTACCTTTTTCCTCTTCGATGATAGTCGGATCATCGGTGTTCATTTTCTCAGATGTCTTTGTAATCTTCTCTACTGAGCTGATATTTTTGATCGGTGACTCGCGCTTGCCTTTGCCTTTATTCTTCTTCGTAGGGGAGTTCTGTTGGCGTCTGGACATATTGGATTTAGTACTTTCCATCTGCGGACGGTCCGTAATTGCCGTCTCCGTGGGTGGCTTCGACAGGCCGCTTCTAGCATCCTGGGGAGAGTACAATGCCTTGCCATTCGCCGTAGCCGGGTCTGGATCTGCATCTCCAATAGTCTTCTCTTCTTGCTGAGTCATGGTGCGTGTAACATCACGATTTGTGTGATCGGTTACCTTCCCGGTAAGTGGCTGATCAAAGTAGCCTGAGGTTGAGGGTGTGTCCTTCTGGAAGAAACGCCTCGGTACTGTCACGGTGAGGCGGCCGCCTCGAAGGTAAGGATTGAGCTTCGTGATGCCCAAAGCCACCTTAGCTTCCGCGCATGAAGCAAATCTATGAGCGTCAGCTAGTTCAGAACAGCAACCACGGGAAGACTTACGTAGCGAAAGCATGAGTACCATTTTGCGGAAGTCTACTCCGCAGGGAGATTGCAGTGGCAGTAATGTCAACAGTCTGCTTGAACAGCTGGATGATTTCATCTTCTCTCGCATCCGGCGGCAAGTCTCCGATCCAAAGCTCATTCACGGTCAAGTTTTTTGGCCCAATCCATGTATGACCGCAACCAGAGACAGAGTCGCCAGTGATGGTCGGGTCATCCTCAGAAAGACGACGTCGAGCGTTGAAGTCAAGGTTGCGAGGTCCGCCAGGTGGTCCTTTGGCACTGAAATCGGCGTTGGATCTGCTATACGCATCACGCCCACCCATGTTCGACACCTTGCGTCCACGACCAGGCTGAGGCACGAAGCTGTTATTGCCACCCTTTCGGGGACCGCTGTTGTATCCTGGCGCACCATTGAACTTAGGGTTATTGCCGCTGTAAGGATCGAAGAGGTCTTGGGCATTGCGCTGGTTGGCCCGACGAGGCATCGGCGCGCGAGGGTCCTGGTGTTGATACATCATGCTATTAGTATGGTACATGTTGTTGGTCATGTCGCCCACAGAGATATTCTGACCGTTCGGATGATGGGGGGATGCTGGGTTCATGGGCTGATTCTGCATCATGCCTTGTTGGTAGTTGATGTGCGCACGAGACATCACCCCAAGATCAGGTTGCTGAAAGCCATACCCAGTGGGAGCCATCTGGACGTAGGGAGGTAAGCCCGGAATCATTGGGTGTGGGATTTGTTGGCCCATTGCCATCTGCGGGGACAAGAATGAGGGCGACTGCATGCTGGGTACAGTAACAGAGGGCTGTCGCGGGTACGCCCCGTACGTAGTACGATTATTGTTCTCGATCCAGCCATTTGGCTGGCCACAAGTCCCAGATCCCATGTTGCGGTTGGTTTTCGGAACGACCAAGGGTGGCACATACAGGTTGGGCGACACCCTAGGAGACCCCATGACGATACCCGCGTTACCGCCTCTCATCAGACCAGAATGGCTTCCGGGTGGTATGGGGCCTTGCGATGGGATGCGCTGAGGGAGAAGGCGCGTATCGGGCGGATCTGGCGCTCCGGAAGCCATGGTCGTTGCGAGATGTAACTTTTCAACAGCAGACGAAGACTCTATCGACATTGTCAGTTTGCTGGATTGAGATTGTGTTATTATGCGAAACTTCTTACTGGTTTTCTTCCTGTCTGACATGTTGGGAAGGACGGACGAAGGCTTTGTCTCCCCACTGGCGATCTTTTGTTCCCCGGCATGTGCTTGTGGGATCAGGCTCGTACGCAGCGTCGCATCCATGGCCTTGTTCATCTCAATCCAGGTACCAACCAAGATGTAAGCGACGTGCCAAAGGAACACACGAGGGAAGTCTATGGGCTCTCCAAAGATGAAGATCTTGTCAATAATGTCAAGTGAATCGTTGGTGTTGTAGACGTTCCCCATCTCAAGCCCGGTGAAGTCGACTCGATCAGGATGTGCTCGCGCCCAGTCTCTAGCGAATCTATCCGCCCAGTAGTAGCTGCTCCGTGAGATGAAGGTTAGCATCTCCTCGCAGAACTTCCTGCCCTCGACATGGATATCTTCGGCGTCCCAAAGATCTTCGACAGTCCATCCTTGTGAAGGGAGGATGCAAAGACATCTAGATGGGTCAGTATCATTTCAAGCTAGCTTGCGACAGACTACTTACTGGCTCTTGTACTTGACCTGCCAATACGATGCTGCCTGTGCTACGACTGCGGGATCTTGGACGCTACGTGCGATAACAGGCGGGCAATTGTCACCCAGAGAACGAGGGGCGCGAGCACCAAGCCCCGTTGAGAAGAAAGCTTGACCGGCGCCAGGGCCAAATTTAGGGTCTCTAGTTGCATCGTTGACTGGGTCGCCAACAGGGTTATTCAATTTGGTTAGGAGCGCAGACTGCTTGCCCGCAGTCATCGGGGTTGACGTGTCTGTAGCAGGCGGAGTACCCACCGGATGGACAGACACCGACATAGCTGGATGTACACTGAGCTCAATGAGGAGATATGGAGTGTAGTTCAGGTTTTGCGTGAAGAAACGGACGCGGCCTTTGCAGGAAAATATGGAGTCGAGCGACGACGGATATCTTTGGAGGAGATGGCAGCTGTAAGAGGAGCAAAAGCAACAGCGGAGGGAAGCGCAATTGCAGAAACAGGAATGACTATGTGGAGAAGATGTGAGAGAGTGGCAGAAGTAGCGAGAGCAGCTCAACAAACAGAGGTTCCCCGTTGCTTCAGGTGGAAGGAGCAACAGGTCTTGGCGCTACAGAAAGAGGAGGTGAGTGTGAGTGGTGAACGTTCGCAAGCTCCGCGCACCGCCTTCCACTAATGCCATTGGCCATCATATACAGCTGTGGGACGAGATGCAAGCATACGGAATCGCTGGGGAGGAAATGAGGGGAAGAGAGATCAGTCACCAAGAATACTGGAAATGTCGAGACACGAAGACATGAGAAGAGATAGAACAGTACTCACACTTTATAACGATTTGAGAAAAAGCTTTTGTGAGACATGTTTTACATATACATGTACTGGATCAGTGTCCTACTGGTGATGCAGCCACCCGTTGCCTAGCACCATGTCTCTACCCGGGCTACTAGCGGTAGAATTTAGGACGCACTGGGCCCGCCATTCATCTCAAAGGTTAATCAGTCCTGTCTAGCAATTGAATCCTGCAATCACGAGCTGAGTGGAGTGGGTATAGTACAGGTCATGTCGCTCCGCCCTCTACACTTTGTCCGTCTCCTTTGGTACCGAGCGTATCAACTTCATGATCTCGCTCTCGTTATCTCCAGCGACTGTAAAGGTTAGCACAGACAAACGCTGTTCTCCTCCGCAAACACGTACCAGCTTTTCCTTGGTTCCAGTCCACAACCAGCGGTCTCTGAAATGCTCCTCCATCTGCCTTTAGTCTCCTCATAGCATCAGTCTCATTCTCCGCGCCACTGATCACCTTGCCTGCCGCTCCTGATCCGCCCAAGTAGTCCAAGATGTTCTTGAGCTGGTCCGTTGTCGGTGGGGCTTCTGTGACATCGAGCTCGAACTCGGTGCGCTCGGCCTTGTCCTGCGCTTTGTGAGAGCTGGCCTGGTCTTCAGTCGCATGTGCTACAGATTGTGCATTGGCTTGCTTGAGGAGGGTGAGGACGCGGGTAGAAGCTTGGTTCGAGGGCGCGTGGAAGAGGGTCACGACGTTCTTTGCGCCGTGCTGAAGAGAATTAGCGCATGAGACTCAGAATCAATTGGGCATTTCCCTACCTCTCCAAATAGTCGCTTGAACATGGTTGCTGTAGTTGTTGTAAGTGATAACTCGGAAAGTGATGTTAGAGGGTGCTCCTGCAGCTCCAGTGGAGTGAGGTTCGGGTGTGACGTAGACGGCCGCTCGGACCTGCCGTTCCCGCCGCAGCATTATTACACGAGATCTACCATGCAGAGCTTGGAGCTCAATGTACAGATGGGTCATGTCGAGTCATCGGAGCTATGATTGTACTAATACTGACAGAAAGACGTAACGTTGAACTCGTCGGCACGAGCGAATGATCCCTACCTCTACATAGGTAGCTTTGCCATTTCTAAGTACAGCAATAGCATTACAGAAGCAACTGCATAGAACCGCAAGACCAAAACATGGCGCGAAAGGGTCAAAAGTTCTGTCAAGAGTGACAGCCAAGACACCGAGATCCACAGTGGAGTGTGGAAGGTCATCATACACAATACGAAATAATGCATAGCACGTTGTTAGAAATGGCGAAGTTGGGAACACAAGCAGCTAGATTTCGTGATGCAGCTGTGCAAAAAGCAGAATGTACATGTACGCCATGAATATGCCCCCATCATCCCAAAGTGTAGGATCATGCTGCTGCTGAGGAACGTGCCGTAGCGACGTCCGTGATTCCCACTCCCTCTGATCCAGAGTCATAGCCATCCTGAGGAAACCGAATTCATGACCGTGTTCTCTAGCTCATCGTGCTCGTTTCGTTCGCCCGTCCTCTCATGGTTGGCTTATGAGGTAGGGTTGGGGTTCATCTAAGGCATGTCAGTTCTTGTCCATCACGTAGGGTTCCGGTGTCTGCTGACCTTGCGCTTGCCACCGGTCATGGTGACGTTTACGAAACGGCGGGTGTATGTGAGCCTCTTCTTGGCGCGGCCCTTGGGGGTCTTCTTCTTCTCCTGGGGCTCAACCTGTATCGTTTGTCAGCCAACTATCCATTGTCCAAATCGGTTCCATCCTTCTCCGCATTTGTCGCGCTGTCGTGGTTCGGCGTGTCGCTAGCGATCGGAGAGGCGTTCATGTATCGACGGGTATGAGCTTACCTTGGGGGCTATGCATTGTTAGCAGACGTTCTTTGATGATTTCACAGGGGCCAAGACTTACTTTGAGACTTGACCTTTCCGGCACGAGCGAGGGATCCGTGAACCTTTCCCATATTTGCGGTTGTTGATGGGTGTGATGAGTCGTTCGAAGTAGTCTGTGTGGTGGCAAAGTCCAATTAGCGGTCTGCCTTGTAGCTTTCGAGCGTCGGGTGCGGAGTGTAAAAGTCTTGATTTCGCAAGGCTTCGCTTTTGATGCAGGTGTGATCGTAGGGATGGGCGGAATACGTACAGGTTGCGGTCGTTGGGTGTTCGAGGACTGGGCGGCGACGTGAGGGTCAAAATGACTCCAGGGCTGTGGACAGCGGCTCACCGGATTAGCCGAGATCACGTGCTACACTAGCGCATCGAGGAATGTGAGCATTGATCGCAGTGACACGACAATATCTATTGACTTAGAATATCTTGCCTAGTACAATTCTGTACAGAAAATGTGCGAACAAAGTCGTTGAGATGCATTCTGACGTGTGAGTTGGGTCGGCTTCTGGACATTCCATACATGCGTACGGGCGCCTCGCCTCCACAGCTGTACAGAGATGATCAGATAAGATAATGCGAACCATCATGACCAAGTGGAACGGAATACAGATTAGACACGCGAGCTTCCCCAATGATCTTCAAGCTACGTTCACGCAGCGCAGCCATGCCTTGTCTAGTCGCTTTTCATTGAATCGGATTCACGCCGGTTGCAGCCATGCCTTCCGCAATGGACTTTATCGTGGCCCCAGCCGGAGATCCCCGCCGTTGTTTAGGGTCGCATGATGCGCATGATGCGTCCCGTAGCTTCGCTTGAACGCGTCGCTGCCTGCCATCCATCACCACTTCCACTGACAACTCGTGATAGCTATCTAGCTCTCCAGATACCTGCCTATACCTTTAAGCTACCCAAATCTAGATATTAGCAAGATGCGTCTCCAAGCTGCCATCGCCAGCCTCATCACCTTTGCTGCAGCGTCCAACCTGCCATCACCACAGAACTTCTTCACGAACCCGTCCTCCAGCGATGGATCCGGTTTCAAGATCCCAACCGTTCACGAGTCCGCCGTTCAAGCCCGGAGGATCATGCGTCTAGAGACCATTGGCACCCTGTCCACCATCTTCCCCAGCACCCACACCACCGAGCAACGACCCTCGGACGTTGGAGGCGCGCCCATAGGCTTGATGGACTACTTCGGCGACTGTGAGTCAGACTCAGGGAACCCTACTATCCTCGCCATCACCATCGCCACCTCCTTCAAGAACGTAGACGCCGGCTCCAACATTACCTTGAGCATGCGATGGCACCCCCAGGACAACAAATGGCGCAGTCCTGCAGCGCTCCCTCGCTTCTCGCTTGTCGGTCGTCTGGAAGACATTGATATGGATGCTATCAAGAAGCTGGGTGTGACAGCCTGCTATGTCAAGAAACACCCCGATGCTGCGTGGTGGTTGCCGGGTTCAGGCGTCCACGAGAGCAAGTGGGTGCGTCTGGTCGTTGAGGAGATATACTGGATCGGAGGATTCGGAGATCGTGCCTACATTGGATGGATCCCGAAGGAAGAGTGGTACAGCGTCACACAAGAAGAGATTGATGGCATTCAGTTGCCAGGCGAGAAGCAGAGCGCGTGGAACGCCATCGGAAGCTGGTTCGGCATGGGTCAGCAAGAGCAGGGTGTGATTGAGCTCTAAGCTGAGGCTGTGGGAATCGCAGCTTTTACAGATGCATCATACAGGGTGGCTTGGCTGGACACAGGAATATCCTTTGAATTTAGCGTCAGCAGTCCCGATGCTCACTTATGTTACATCCCTTAACGAAGGCGCGGTAGGTAGTTATGCTGCAAACTTTAGCTGACTCGAGATCTATCTGAGTGTGCATCACGGTTACATGATACAAGACCGAAACTCTGGAGCGTAAGCGCCCCTTCATTGTCTTTCCTATGCCAGTATTACATGGGCTGCATCGTATCGTTATTAGAAGTCGCACTCTCTTCTTAAAGTCTAACATCATTTATGTTGATGTCCTGAACGTCTTGCAAACGCAAAACAACTATGGTCAGGCTCTCTACCAAGCGCCTCGCGATGATAAGACGTCACCTGCAGGTTCCCGCCTGCATGGCTTATTGGCCCAGCCTTGTTATACTTCGCTCGCACCTAAAGTGTTGCACAACACATCTACCCAGCAAATCTTCCGCCATAGATTGTGCTTGCGCTTATGCAGCGTTTTCTCTCGGGTATCGCGCTCCACATTCAGCGTAAGAGCGAGACAATCACCCGACAACAATATGCGTCTCCTTCGCACGGCTGATCTGACATTCCATGAGTACGAAGGCTCCTCCATACCACCATATGCCATCCTTTCGCATCGATGGGAAGGCGAAGAAGTCACGTATCAAGAGTTCAAGCATCGAACTGCCGCTATAGAGAGCAAGTCTGGATTCGGAAAGATCCAGCAATGCTGTCAACAAGCACAGGAAGACAAGATAAAATTTGTATGGGTCGATACATGCTGTATCGATAAATCCTCGAGTGCAGAACTGTTGGAAGCCATCAATTCGATGTACCAATGGTATCAACGATCACAAGTCTGTTATGTCTACCTATCAGATGTGGGGACTTCGTCCAGCTTCCGAAAGTCTGTCGACGATGGACTCCCGGTCACACTTTCGCGAAGGTTCATCTCAAGGATCATGAGAAGCAAATGGTGGACACGAGGCTGGACTTTACAAGAACTGATAGCCCCAGTCTCTGTTGTGTCCTACGTGAATGGTCAAGGTAGTTGGGTAAAGGTCGGCTCAAAGAGCACATTACTTGACTTGATTGTCGCCAGGACAAGCATTGAAGGAGATATATTGCGTGGTCAAGAAGTCAGCAGCTGTAGTGTTGCGCAGCGCATGTCCTGGGCTTCTGAACGAGAAACATCTCGGAGCGAGGACCTGGCATACTGTCTCCTCGGATTGTTCGGTGTCAATATGCCTCTACTCTATGGAGAGGGAACAAAAGCATTTCTGCGCCTCCAGGTAAGATCACTATGACCTTTACCTCTCTTCTGGTGCATCAGCTTTCCGCTCACTTCTAATAGGAAGAAATTATGAAACAGTCGGATGACCAGACTCTCTTCGCATGGCAACTTGGCTTTGAGAATATGAAGAATGATATATGCGGACCTTTGGCTCCACATCCATCGAAATTTCGGGAAGCCGGCAATTTGCAACCAGACCTTGATACTGATGCCCAAAGTCCATATTCAATGACCAACAAGGGCCTAAGGATTGAACTCTCCATTGAACACAAAGGCAATGATGCATACGGGATGGCGATCTTACATTGTGGAACCTACAGTACGTCGTCCAGGCAGTTGGGATTGCCTGTCATACGCCTTGGACCACCGGGGGCAAATACCTATGCTCGCGATGCTCGCTACATTGGACCCCTGGTGTCCGTCACGGCCAAGAAGGGTACTTCCAAAGTGGTTTTCATGAAGCAAGAGCCCGGGCAGAGAGTTGAGGAGCGCCTGGGGCTTTTGGCAAATATCAGTCACAATACCCTGATGTCATTCCCCATGGTCTGCTGTAGCGCCGAAGTTACTCGGGCAATTCCACCAGGCTACACCAGCTATAGATTCCCTCCTAGTTGTCGACGTGGGGCGATACTCATGACTGGACACGATCAGTCTCATCTCCTTATCTTATTCAACATCGAGATGCAGTATGTCGGGCGATATACATGCAAAGTTATCTATGCAGATGCCAAACATAAAAGTGCTCCGTGGGAGAAGCAGTTATACCGACTAGCACGCAAAATACATGAAAGTGTTTTTCATAAGAAAGCAATCTTGGCTCAAGAAATCAGCCGGGAACCCAGCTGGAGTTTGACCCATGGTGACTACGGCCCATCGAATTCTCGGAGCAGCTTCGCCTACCTGCCAAACGACCGCGTAGTCTTCGCTAGCATTGTGCTGCAGAGTGGACTTGATAGCAAGGATTTCAGCAATCTAGTGCTTGAGGTCAACATTCTGGATCACTCAGAGAGACCACAGGAACCATATGAATTACGTGTGCCTGATAGGTCTCACATCGAAGCAGTTGAGGTTTTTTCCCCCAACTCGGAATGGATGTCTCCTATGTGGATTGGTGAATCAGATGAGCATAGACTGGCTCCACTCCCACAGAGTTCATGGACGCAAAAAACGAGCAGTTGCTTTGGTGAGAGAACTGGGACAGAAATTTGAGTAATTGAAGAGCAAAAGATCCCACTGGGGGAAAGGGTAAACTTTCTTGGGAGAGATTTGGCCTATGTAATGATGGCTTTGTGGTAGAAGATGGCACACCAATGAACAAGCATCGCGGTTGCGAGAATACAAGAACGTATCCTGTTTCCGCTGTGGAAATCTGGATGAAGTTCTACGCACTCACAGCGTTTGTTCAGTCTCTGATCATGCCTTCGCATTGCAACTTTGCAATCTACTCAATTGGTGTGTCATGGCGCATTGCATGTCTTCTCGTCCAAGTCTCTCCGTCACAACATGATTGATCCCCCCACAGATTTATGCTTGGGATGGATTTGACTGAGATGTTGCGCTATGCCTTAATGGCAGAGGTCAATCATATGCTGCTTGCTTAGATGCAGACATAAGCGAAAACTGGTTTTGCATATGGGAGTGAGTGAAAAGATTAGTTTACTGAGACTAAAGGTACTCTGGCGCTCTCTCGATGTTGCAAAAGTAATAAAGAACCGACCACAGACTTCACAGTCGACCGCTTCAGAAGACGATAGGCAGTACTCGATGTAGGGAGGGTGTCAAAGGTAGGCAACATCGGAGAAACCACAGCACTTGACCATTGTGATACGAGTCATTCTACACTACAGTACAAACCCAAGTGGCACTGAGTATCTGTGTGCTTGTATCGCTTCCGTGACATGGTTGGCTCGCGATACCTGCAAACACGAGGCACTTTCGTATATTTAGTAGAGACACGTTGCGTATGAGTCTTCGGAGAAGTGCGGTCACTCGCTTTCTTTGGGGTATCACTCCTGGATCTCCAAGTTAATACGACGATAGCCAGGCGTATTCGTATGCTCAGCTCACATCTGGCATCAGCACTACTACGAGAGATGTGGATGGCAATATCACGTTCGGTCCGTAGGGAATCACATAGAAAACAGATTGAGATGTGCTCAACTCTTCCGAAGTTGAATCGGCCTCGCGTTCAGGAACTTATCTCTAGATGGCGCAACTCGTAATGATGATCAACTGTAGCTCACTCCGACTCGGTCACTAAACTACACCGCTCAGGTCTCTCCACTTCGAACTTTCTTTGAGCCTCCTTCGGCGGCTACAGTCGGTACACCTACCGAACAGCTTCACAGAAACGCGCCGCGGCCCACGTGTCGCGCTCGATGCTTTCAGTAATCGAGGGAAACCTGATCGATGGCCTTATGAGGCCACCTGCACATCCCTCCCCGGTGATTGAGCGTACTAGGCATTAGCTGGTAGCTTTCTTTTCGTGGGCTGCATGGTTGTCGCATCGCCCCCAAACCGAACGCGAAAGCACGAAGTGGTTGCAGCGCAGGGATGATGATAGAAGAATGACATAGGAGAATACAGCCTTGGTTTGACAATGGGAAACATGTTGTCGCCATGGGCAACTCGACTTTGCCATTACCAAGCGCCCGTGATCCCTACATATTGACGACAGCTTCATTGTTGCCCGATTGCATGGTTGATCTGCTCCTTAGGCAGCATGTGTACCTGAGTGCAACCAGGTCGTTCCTAGCTCTTAAACTTCGGTCGTGTTTGTCGCGTTGTGTGCCTGACGTTAACAAGGACTTTCCCCGTATTCACAAAATCACGTGTACGGACACTCTTGCCTTAAAAGGACTTACTATGAGCGCCTTAACAACAATATAATAATGATTAGAGCGATGACGTGGTCAACCCCAGTGCGTCGACGCCTCACGTCGCTTGAAGATGAAAGGGAAAGCCCAGTAATCCATCATCTGATCATCATCACGTTGCGCGCAGGCATGATGCCAGTAAAACTTTTCTACGCGAGGTAGATGCGAACCATGGGACACACGAAACAGTTGCGCGATATGCGCGATTCTAGTTCCCGCAAGATGGCCAAACTCAATCGCTTCTTCAGCAAACTCTCTTTCGGCGAAATCAACATTTGGTAGCGAGGGCGATAGTGAGGCGATCATCGACGGTGCCCAACGTCCAAGCTGCTAGCATCATCTCTTGGAACGACTCGCAAGCACGAAGATGATCCGGCGATGGCGGCATGGCGCAATGGTACTTTCCATGATTCGGCCCTTAGGATAGCATCGCTGTTCTTGACTCAAACGTTCCTTTATTCGGGGAGGAAACTGAGAGGTGTCTAGTTGGACAATGCGGATGTGCAGGGACAAGCCTTGCCTGTCACTGCAAACTAGGATTATCCCACTCAAGATCGCCCGCACAGTCGCATCATACTCCATGAAGCCTTAGTCCCGGAGCATTTACTCGCCTGGCGCTAGAATGCGGTTCGTGGTGCTTTACAATGCGAACGGGCAAAGGGTAGGCGTGGGCGTCCGCGCGAGCGCAAATGGGCGATCACAGCTGTCATGCTGGTGCGGGTGCGCGTCTGACTCTGGCAGCATGCTGGTACACTATGGATGCCCCGACGTTTTGACCTGTGTCGTGAAGTCTCGAAGGCTAGTATTAATGTCCGAGGCACCAGATATCGGTATGGGGTCGTTGCTGCATATGGTGGAGGGTGATACTCACCGCTCCTGCTGCCAGTACCAAAGCGATGGATACCCACAATACCACCGCCGTTGTTGGCATAGCTGTCGGCAATTGAAGTACTCACGAAGACGGCGTGGACGGCTGTCGATCGCGGTTCTTTAGGCAAATCTTCTTGCGAACATCACCTGCTCTCCTCTACCGTGTCGGTAATTTCGGGCAAGCTGGCGGTGATGAGAAGGGGTCCTGGACCACGGCAGGATGCGAGACCAAGGTCCCTGCTTGGCTTGCGTTGTCATGAGTAGCGGAGAAGAGAAGGAGGGGCAACGGTCGGTGATATGGATAATTCCGTGCAAACCTCCTTCTCGAAGGTCAGGTTTACAAGGATCATGGCTGATAGTCCAGAGCGTTATGCGCAAGGCCGCGTAGGGCGGCAGTAGCAACAATTTCGCGACAATTTCGCAGGCAGGTCGCCCAGAGTTCATAATCTAGGGAAAGATTGCCTGTAGGAGGATTGGGTACGTCCGACGAAGCTGCGCGTGGGGTGCGATGTAAGGCCGCAAAAGTTGGCACTGGGGACTCTACGCGTATAGCAGGTGACTGCATTATTTTGAGAACATCGTCATCCCACAAATAACCGTCGCGGGCCTGAGTCCGATGCAAAGGATCATTGATTGGTGATGGTCGTTGACGAGAAAGAACGCTGAGTGGCTGTAACCACAAAGGTACCCCTCCCTCGGTACCTCCAATACTTGACTGCACCAGTCGTGGCGGCAAAATGGTACGATACGTTCCCTTGATCGCCGCTGGGCGTGAGCATCGGTTCTTGGTTCTCGGAATTGATGGACGCATGGTGACAGCATACTTCGGCGCACCGTTCCTGTAAACGGGTGCGCTGCAACAGAAATGCCATGTGGCTGGTAAATTTGTAGAAGTAGGCTTTGCGCCCAATGGGTAGTCATCGTATGGCCCGTATTGCCCACATCATCAATCACATTGTTCTGGATGCGCCATGATTGCAAGCGAGATGGAGCCAGAACCTGAGACACTTGGGCAAAACCAAGATGATGCGCAGATCTCTCGCGAGCACGATCCATGGGCTTGAAGGGGCGCTCCGATCCACCTGTACCAAGAACCCGATTGGCAGGAACCGGGAACCAGCTCGACTCAAGGGAACTGCTAACGAGGTGGCGCTCCTTCATCTCCATCCCGCGAATGCTTTTTGTGAGAGAGCCCAGCGGCAGCCTTCGCCTAAACTCTATCACACCCGGCAAGTAGCACTTACTCCACGATCAATGCGCACGAGAGCTTGGAATTGCTTGTTGAGTTTCAGGGCCTCTACCGAGCATATTGCTTTCCGCCGTTCTGTGGGGAGACAAAGACTGTTAGCGCTCTGTGCGGTGTCGTGTCCGTTGTAAAGGATTCGAAGGATTTCTCCTCCGCGAAACGGATAGACGATTGCACAAGGGTCTGGAATCAGACCATTTGTTTTGCTTTTGACGGCAGCCAGTGAACCAATGCAACCGAGCTCACTCTAATGTTGACGTCGGCTCATGGTGGAGACCCCATTGACGAGTTCGGATAACAAGCCGTTGTTGTTGCGATGCTTGCCACAATGCTGGTTTCAGCATTATTGAAAGCACGAGTTTGTTATTTGGTGATCCCACATGGTTAGATGAGTGACCCGGGGTTCGGAGAATAGTTAAGTGACGATCGTCACTCAAGGCTCATGCGTTCATGTGCTAGAACGCATGCGCGGGAAGGTGACCAGACCAGATTGTATTTGCAAGCCACATGTGACCTTCTCGAACCGCTTTGCGCTGAAGCCGGAGCCGGACATCGGAGATGCATGCGAGTGTTGTCCAAGCTATTTTATTGAATCGTGACGAGACGCCTCGGAATAAAAGAAGCAACAAATGACGACATGTGAAGTTTTTTTCCTCGGGCATAGGACATGATGCAGTGTTTGCCAGTATGCAGAGTACTGCAACCCAGGAGGTGTTTTGATATTCCGAGGACGACATGTCAGGAGTCAGTGGCCCGATGTTGTCTCCACGCCTCCTAACCAACGGCGCACCACAATTGGACTCAGCGCATCATCCTGGTGCACTTGCCCTCCCTTGGGAGGTAGGGGTCGACTGCCGACACTCTGTGGGATTCCAGACGAGGCACCTCTTAGCAGATACTTAATATCATCAGTATCGACCGTGGCGACACGGGAATCCTCAATAGTCTAGACTTGGCCTCCTGAAAACCCATTTTGGGATCTGCGGATATCGTTTCCAGAACAATGCGGCTCGCCTGGGAAAAGCGTGGACGGATGAATGTCTGCTTGAACTTGAGCCCTGATCATAACACACCGCAATAAGCATTGTCCAGCATAAGATTAACGCGGGAGATGTGCCAGTGACAATGATGATCCGCGAGACCCCAAATATTCATTATTGCTGCTTGTATAGTCGGGGAACTTGCCGTAGACCGGGGCATGTATCGACTGCCATGGGTGGTAGAAGCGTGGGCAAGCAGCTTCGAAGTCATCGAGACTGACGGTGAGTGTCTGACGCATGCGGAATAATTCTTACGCGAAAGTTGCGACATGGGTAACCCGTCGTGAACGATCTATGCGCTTAAGACCTGTCGTTTGAGTGTCATATGTAGCTCTGACGTGTTCAGTTTCCGCTAGGTTTAGGAGGTTACTGACATGCAATGCAAAACATCGTTTCCCTGCCAGACCAATACTCATCAACACAGGCAATTGCATGAACACAGCTTGGTTTCGTAGACAGTATTGATTCGATCGATTTTGACGCATCTTGGAGCATTGAATTGCTCATGCAGGTTCCCTACTATAATACAAGAAAATAAAAGCGACTGACTGGGCTAATGCCATGCGCCTTGATGCGATAGCGAAATGCTGTCCTGACTAGAAACTAAGATTTGCGAAATAAGCGTACATTATCGCGATCGATGGCGATATAGGATATCGTTGATGATACGAAAAAAACTCCAGTGAAATGCATGACACGGTGGGAAACGCCCGGAACTCCGATGCGTGCAAATGGTATCGTTGGCAAGATATGGCTGAACAAAGCATGTCGTGGATGTAGACCACTAGATGGTAGGTCTAGGCTTGTCAAGGCCGATTGCGTGAGACGGTTGGTGATGGCTTGTAGCTCGTTATGTCGTCAGGGTGGTGCTGGAAGCTGCGTGGCAACCTCGCTCGTGTCGCTTCATGTTGCTGCGCACACTGAAAGCCTTGCCACACCCAGGCTGGGGGCATTTGTAGGGCTTCTCGCCAGTGTGGCTGTGGCTGTGAATGCGCAGGCTGCTTGGGCGCGAGAAAGCCTTGTTGCAGGTTGAGCAGATGTAGCGATCCTGGGACTGGGGAAACTGGGACTGGCTGGAGGTGCTGATGTAGTGGTGGTGTTGCCACGGGTTCGAGCCGTTGCCAGCCGGGCTAGGTACAGGTGCTGGCAATGGTATTGTGTGCGGCTGGAAGTTGGAGGGAAGGGGTCGCTGCGCATACATGGCAGCGCTGTTGTAGGAATGCTGCTCAGGCGAGTAGAATGAAGTTGAGGAGGCAGCGCCTGGCGAGGACTGGTAGGGAGACTGGCCATAGACTGAAGTACTGTAAGGAGACATGGAGTGCGATGGCAACGAGTCGCGCTTCATGGGAGGCATTGACGAAAAGGTCTGGCGTTGCTGGTGAGGCTCCATGTTGTTGAGTGAGCCGCCGAAGTAGGGCGCCGATGCAGCGGAGTGGTTTGATGCAGCTGAAGGGGACTGGGTACCGTCGTGGGCCACGTCTGGATGCATGGGGGGAGTGGGAGGCAGTGTCATCCTTGGGTTGCTCGGCGCAGGAACTTGAGCGTAGACCGTCTGTGATGGTTGCTGCATGGTTGGTGCCCCTCCCTGCTGTGCCTGCCTTAGTTGCGGCGATGATGACTGGCGGTGTTGTGACTGAGGACTCAGAGAAGCTACAACGAATGTTAGTGACATGAAGAGATAGAAGGTGCAATGGTGAGTGCTTACCCGTCTCAGATGCAGCCTTTTCATTGCCGGCAAACTCGAGGAGACTTGAGATTGACGGCAGTGAAGGCTTCTTCTCCTCTGCTGGTGGTGATGGGGGCGACTGCGGCCGTTGTTGTTGCTGCTGTTGCTGCTGTGCTTGGTGGGTGTATTGTTGTTGTTGGTGGTGATGCTGTTGTTGTTGTTGCTGCTGTTGTCGGTATTGTTGCTCGACTTGCTGTGGCTGTGGTTGTGAAGGAGCATGTACGGGATATGAGGAAGCGGCAACACCCGACATGGGGAATGCGCGAGGCTGCGATTGTTGGAAGTAGGTCGGGTGCTGGAACGTCTCGCGCTCCCTAACGCTGCCGTGTACCATACTGGCGAGATGCATTGCCATGGAGAAGGTGGTTGTCACGGGTCACAACAGTGGCTGCGTAACAAGAAGAGGGAGGAGTGGGTGAAAGGGCGAGCAAGTGATGATGACTAGATGAGGAGTAGTCAGAGCGACGGGTACAAGCAGATGTAGAGCCAGGAATTCGGGCCTGCAGCATTCAAGTACGATGTCGAGGGGATTGGCGAGATTCAGCACGAAGCCCGTTCGCACCGTAGCGTCGTCAGTGGGCCTGTCGTTCCCTGTCCAAATTGCGTTTGAGCGGGCGATGAGGCGGCGGACCGTTGTCAAAAAGCCCACGTCCCACTCGAGTTAGCCCGAGACGCTCAGTCCCTTGCAACGGCAATGCAGATGACAGACGGACGAGGTTTAGAGTGAAGATGTGCACGCCCCGTAGTAATGCCTTGGCCGAGCGATCCGCCCACGCATCCCAGACAAGCCAATCGACGCTGCACCGGCGCAGCAGCGCTTTTGGGACAACCTAGGCAGGGCCCCTGGTGAGGGTGCCAGGACAGGCTGCCCTGCACTGCAGATCGACCGTTCCAGGAGATACCTGAGGAGAATCCTCGTGGGCTGGTCGGAAGCAAGTAAGCTGCAGTCACGCTGGGATCGAGTCAAAGTCCGCGACGTTCCCAACGGCGCGGATCAACTCTCGCCGACGCTTCTCACGCTGCTGCCGCCAGATGACGACTCAGGCCGTAGGTCGCCGACTGCTGGTTCCTGCCAGCTGTCCCTCGACGGCGCTTGGGGGTGTTGACGATGCAAAGGGTCTTCTCTGCACGGTCCCAGGGCTGTACCGATCGGTTGTCTTGCTAGACACCAGAGTACACTGCCCACCTGATCTCGAAAAGTCCAAAGATCCACCGCGGCTTGTATCTCTGGTCGCGCGGGCGTCGAGACAATACGGCTCGCGCTGACGAAGGATTACGCAGGGGGCGAAGCTTGGGAACGGCAGCCGATGCTGGGGTTCAGAAAGAGACAAATATGAGACGAGCCAGACACGATGCTGCGCCTTTGGCACACTTTAAAGAAGCCTCGGCCGTAGCCACCCATCTCATGTCGCCTGCGTGAAAAGGGACCGTCGCAAGCCATAGCAGTCAACTAGACTATAGCACCGTGTCGTCCCGCGAGAGTTTGCCAGAGGGCACCTCGGAAGCGAGCCAAGCGCGTCGTGCAGCAGAAGCTGTCTAATGCTCTCCACCATGGCGCTGCCTTTGACCATTCATTCGACCGCATTTCCTAAAAATCTGTTGCCCATTAGAGAGGGTCTGTATGCAGTGATGCACATGGCTGCAGCCGCTAGGCGAAGCGAAGCATCGCGTGCGGGATGATTTGTTGGCAATTATTGGAGGCGGTCGGCCTTCCATTCTCTGTCGTGTTGTGGTAACCCGTCGTCGCACAGAACTGTGTCACCGCCTTTGGCATGACAGACGTCGTCTCCAAGGGCGGTCACGGGACTGACTCGTCCCAACCTCTCTCGTGTGCACCGTGTCAACGTCTCCAGGACCTGTCCCAGCACGCTGTACCGAGAACGCTCACCGCATGTTTGCTTGCTCCAGCTAATGATTAGGCCGCGTACCAGAGACAGATTGGTTTCAGCAAGAAGGCAAGCGCGGGAAGTCAAGAACGACGGCTCGACGGCTGTTGCCTTTTTGCAGCGACGGTCTCCGACCCCAGCAGGCGACGTCTCTGCGGCGCCGCCAGGGCGGGATGGCGGCGTTATCCCATGTCTTGGCCTCGTTCGTATGTGGAGGATCTTGTCGAAAGAGGCGGGTCGATCAGCGACAAGCGCATGCAGCTAATCCCGGGGGCCACGTTGGCTGTCACCATCTGCTCACTACTCTAGCCGACCTCCCGCCATCCAACCACGCAATTCTCTGCCTTGCTTAGGAGCGCCTTCGAGAAGCACGCTGCACGCGAGTGGGATACCACCGCAGCCTGCCATTGCCTACTCATGTGCTTTCCTGCAAGAAGCGCTGTAGATCTAGCAGGCAAAGCCGAGTACCTAGAGACCCAAAGGGACATTCCAGTTACCGTGCAATCTCCTCTTTGCCTTGTCGTTAAATGCGTGATGCGTGATGCGTTCCGGCGTCGTACAGCATCTTCCCAGCTCGGTGCAACACCATCTCGTGGCTCACTTCTCCGCTAGAACAATGGAAGGACTGGCTTGCAGGGCTGCTGTGAGTACGACCGCCGACGAGGACTTGTGCGGCCGTGGCATTCTGCCCGTGCTGCTATCCCAAAGTCACGGGCACAGACGTCAGGGTTTCCGTTGATGGAATTTTAGAATTTCAATCGCTTGGGCCTGCGCGAGTGCCGGGCGTCTCGCGCATCACATACCGCCCTCCTGGATTTCACGCGGGCCGTCCACGCCGATGGAGCTCAATCTTCCAAGCGATATTACACATTGTGCTGACTGCAAAGTCTTGAGCATGTCAGTATCAGTGTGTACCGAAGTTCTTCCAGTTCTCTGACACGCATATCTGGATGGCAGGTGCAAGTGTTGGACAGGGTGCATGATCTCCCGGAAGACCACCACCCAGGGATTCTGCGTCCGGCCTTCAGGGTACGCGGGACTGGCAGGGATACCGATACCTTGGCCGCATCATGACCCATCATCAGCGGGAACACGCTTACTCCAAGGAGCCTCCCTAGTGCCTTCCGAGCGATCGTCTCGGCGTTTCATTCTCACGAATCGGCACTCCAGCGGCATCTCTTCCATCATGACTCCGAACCTTACCCGTCGCTTCCAACACTACTGTACTATTCCAGAGCTCAACATCACCGTCAGCTCTGCGCCATACGAACACACAACAATCATCGTTTTCAACGTACCCCAGGCGTTTCATGGGTCATCAGAAATGGTCTTGCACCGGCCCTGGTATTGTGTTCGCTGTCTGCTCCATGCATGACGTCTTCCAGGGTCGCTCCGGCTAAAAACCCAAAGCAGGACAAGCCCGAACATGGCAAGGCTGTTCTATTCGTGAGTCTTCTCATTGGCCCTGGCGGACAACAATATCCCATTAATTTGCCGCGCTGCGTTCACGTCGTGTGATGTTCGATGAGGGCTTTAGGGACTTCTTCTGTAAGCCATGACGCAGCCACGCGCTCTCGCTAACAGCGACAACAACGTCGATCATCCTAGACGTCACGGAACGACCTCCTGTTGACTTTGCAGTTTACAGCAACTACGAACAAGCACGCCGACCCACTTGTGGGTATGTCCTTCGCAACGAGAACTTGATGCCCTTGTTGTATCGGAGTGGGGAGCTGCTTCATCGCTAGATGGCAACAGAACGCTGTGCATGAGTTTGTGTAACTACCCGGACAACTGGCACCGGCATCGTCTTCGCTGCCTACATCGGTGGGTTTGGTCCTGCCCTTGGAAGGGTATACCCTGGTATGTTGATTCCTACAAGCGCTTACTCGTGTAAATTAGGCAAAGAAATGAGCCCAACCAAAATGAGGCGGCACCGACTGATTGGAAATATACCACGAGCAAACCAGCAATCCCCAGTACCCAGGATTGCTCAAGAACACATGGTCTGCTCTGAGCTGCACCTCAGCTGTATCGGCCATCGAGCCTTGTCCGCCTTGCATTGGAACTTGGCGTAGTAGGCGTCCAGCTCAGATACAAAGCTCCCCGTACAACGGAGATTATCTTGCTATATCCACTCAAAGGATTCAGTATCTATGATCCTTCAATCACGATGGCTTCAAAGCAAGGACTTGTTCAGGATGGTGTCTACCCACTCGGCCACATCTGGTCCTTTGCGCCACTGTTACCACAGCGCAATTTGTCTTTCGAGAACCCCTTGTGGACTTTTCCGATACCAGCAATGCATTTCGGTTACAGTCGCACAGCGCTAAGAAGCGAGTTGCATTCTCAGGCACCTCCGAGTGTGGACCACACTTTGTCTCTAACGTCCTCAGTGTCGTCGCTTTTTTCTTCATCAGCACGCAGGGGTTCGGAAGCAAGAGCAACAACGGCCAACGAGCGGGCCGAATGGGGCAGCAGAAAACCCAAAGGGTCAACGGCGAAATTGAGCGGTCCAGTTGTATGTCTCGTACCCTGTTCCCTCCCCGCCGTTTTGAGCATGTTTTCCGGATCCATTACGCCACGACAAGGGATCGCGTAGATCATTCTTGATCACCGCGTCGAGGTGGGATCGGCTGACGGTGAGATTCACCAGGATACAGTACGGCCAAGTCTCAGATCAGCCGGATCAGAGGGGTTACCAACCAATGCCGTCCTTGCCGGATCACGGGTGAATGCTAATTCGCCTTCGATCTAACCGTCTGTTCCTCTGCTCTGCGTATCGCCGCCGACGAATCCCCATAAGCATGGTGTTCGGTACGACTTCCATTAACGGTCGCAGGCGGTACCTGCCGCGGGTACGCCTGCCTCCTCCAAAGACTTGTTAGCTGGTTCGAGACGAAGAACGGCACGTCCAGTGCTGCTGTTTCAGCCGTTCTACCACAAGATCCACTTCTGCAAGACATCCAAGCCATTCACCAGCTAACCTTCTCTGGCGTCGCAAAAGCACGAGCACATCAAACAAGGTATGTGGAGTTCGCAATGTGAAGCTCGTAACCCCCCGACCCGGTTCAGTTGCGTATCAGAGGCCGGCAGTACTCTATAGTGGATTCAAATTGTGGAAATGCGATATCTTCCAGACATGACTGGACACGCTCAGGATTCTTTTTCTAGGCCCTGTCAAAGTGACTCGGCGTGGCCCACCAACGTCCGCGTCGGCCTGCCTCAGTCCCCTGTCTGCGCAGAAATCGTTAGCGCACCCTCCTCCGCGTGGCTGACGCTCTGCGAAGCTATTCGTAAACGTTGCGTGACAGGACGTTAGTATCGTTTTGCCGGCGCCATCCTAACGCTACCGGCCACACCATGAGATCGCTGCTACTGCTACACGCTCACGGCCTTTCTCACCACATTTGGTCTACTTCAAGTGTCAGATCTCGAGGAGCCGCCTCTAGTCCTACCCCGTTTCTTCCTTATTCGAGCCATCAGTGTGACGGGGGACGAAGTCAGTCGAGACCTGCTGAGGAACGCCGTGGGCGACAGCACAGAGCTTGCTTCTGAAAAGTGGTTCGATATCCGCATATGGCTTGTATTCCGCCTAACGGTTTCCACCACTGGAATTCCTCCAGACCGCGTAGTGCTCCAGAAGGATCACATAGTCGCGATCGTCGCCGATCTATGCTCAACATGATCCGCAATTATAGCGCCAGGGGGTAATCAAGGAGAGTTTTGTTCACACGGCGGTCGATTCACAGGTGCATAATGAACGCAGGACCAAGCTCACAGTTTGCCGCTGTCAATGCGCCTAACTCTAGACTTGGGGTGATACGCTGCAGCTTTCGTCTATGCCGTTAGTGACCGTTGTTTTGCATCCTTAACGTCTATCTGGAGGAAGCTTCTTGTGGGACACGAATGCGCAGCCCATCGACGATGCAAGGGAGTCGAAGGATGCATCGTAAGATTGGCCCGAGGGGCCCACGACACGTCAATCATGAACCCACGATCTCCGTTTGAACTTCGGCTTCTAATGACTAGCACATGTGAGACCCGGTGCCGCGGGCAGATCCCAAGTCCCTTCTAGTGATTACGGATCAACGTGCCCATCTGGGATCTCGAGTTCATATCGGCACACGCGCATATCTCGCATTCGGAAGGCCACCCGCTTCATCCCACCTGCAAAATTCGTCACATGTAGGGGCAGAACCGCGCCAGGGTTTTGGAAATCGGGCCTCACGACAATACGAGAGTGCTGCGAAAGGCTCAATGATGTGATAGCACAGCAACCCTGTTGACGGCAGCGAGACGCCTCAGTGCATGCACTTGCTACAGTATACTCCGAAGCTACTGCTGCAATGAATATTGGGTGTGTTGCATTGCATATCGCCGAAGATTGCGCAGCAGACGACTGCCGTGGGTAAGAGTGTGGGGCACAAGATCACTGTCACGGTCGGTCGGTCCTTTAACAACGTGAAACTTGTCAGCAGATCCACGTTATCAACCTGGCTGTCGGGAGCTGTACCGTCCAAGTCAAGTGTATACGTGGACATCACTCTATCGAAACCTAATCTCCATCAACACCGGGTAAGACGTTTACGTGTGGTGGGCATGTAATACCGGTCGGGCTTATGCAGCCTGGGGATCATAACATGGGTTTTGGTCTGTCTCCCTCACACTACCCCGTGCTGGTAAGCGCAGCGCAATCTCGATCGCTCAATGATATGGGTTTTCTTTCTTTCCAGTCTGCATGCATGCGTAACGGAATGCTCCGCGAGCAAAGCAGCATGTCACTGCCGCACTCTGTAGCCGTTCCAAACTTTGGTACATCGCCGACGACGTCTACCTGCACCCGATGAAAGGGGGTGCGCCTAAGTCTAACCATATTTACCGTACATCGCAATGTCTCTTTAGCTGCTTCCTGGTTCTTGTCCCTGGCTCGATACCCGGAGCCAGTGCGGGATCTGCCTGTCTGCTTGCTTCAAACTTGATATGCCGTGACGGAGGCAAGTATGACGACATTAACGACCCACAACGTCTATCACCAAGGTTCGAGTTCAAGATGCTTCTTCCCACTCGCGGTTCATCACTACATCATGCTTCAGATATAACTTGGTTTCAAAAAAGACGTTGGTACAAGGAACCAGGTCTAGCAATATACCTGTCACTCTCCAGGCCGCACAAACCTTTGCGTCATTCGTGGGAAAACCACATCCCTGGTGGTAACGAACATGCACGCATCACTCTCACTCCCGCACATCCTGCAGCCAGCCATGCCAGCCCCCCAGCTTACCCGAACTCGGAGCCGCCGCAATCCTCCATCCCATCCCATCACGTATCCTCGCTCTATAACAGGGTAATCTTATCATCAGCACATCTATTCCGCCAAAAGGCTTGGGCACGGTTACGCCGAAGCCAGCTAAGCCCATCTTCTTTCTCCCCGTCTCTCCGCATATGCGCCGTTGATCCGGGCTACTGTGATCCATAATACATATGACGTGTGCCATCATGTGCACCTAGCGATGTTAACTTCGATAAAGTCCGTGAAATAGGCCGTTTGTACATTTGCTGTACTTTTTGGACGAATCGCTTAGACGCGCACCAAACTACACGTATGCTTTATGCAAGATGCACGTCGATGCTGCCGCCCTTTCTTTGTCTCATGTCGTCTCGCTTGTTCGCTCCTCTATCGTCGATGCACGCTGTGCATTTTTCCCGCCGCTGCCAATGAGTGCTGGTGCATTTTGAAAAGTTGTCGTAATGTATGCGTGGTCCAGGGTAGGCGAGATGGATTCCCCTCGAACGATGATGCGATGCGTTGTTAGTGCGGATCTATGATCTGAGGTGATTGCATCGGCAAAAGATGGGGCTGGGGCGTGAACGAGACGTAGGTCAGCGACGTAATTATGTTATGGTGTGTTGGCTGTGTGTGTGGCTCGAGTAGAGGGCTGGTGTATGGCAGTGCTAGTACTGGTGACGGCATACCTTTGGGAAACATGTGATGGTTGTAGCGGTGAGTGCGACATGCTATTTGGGCTGGTTCAAGTGACAGGCATCGTCATTCCTTTCTCCTGGCAAACGAAATAATACTTATCATTGTAATGCACTTTGACGTATTAGTGGATGAAGCTGGGTACCTCGCTCGAGCGACTATAGCACATCTCGTCGAAACTTGTTCTGCATGTTTTGCAAAACGAGACATGATTTTTGGAACATTCGACACGAGGCAAGTATGATTTGGTAAGACCGCTAGTATTGCCTACACTGATTGTCGACTACTGTGCATTTTGCGCTCACTATCGTCTTCTCTACTTTTGCCATCCCAGTCTCTATTCACCCACTGCTCCATTTCCATCTGCTTTTCTTTTCTCTAGCCTACAGCTTGACATCGCGCTATCGGTAGTATATTCCATGCTTTGCAACCTACTCACGAAGCTAGGCGTGTCTTGCTCATCATAATGACAGCTAACCTTCATAGCCGAGCTGTTTGCTCGTCGTTTTAGAGATACTCAAGTGGCGATTGGTTCGATGTGATATCACACTACGGTGCTAAGCTTGTCGACAACAACAAGGATTTGTGCGCAAAGCTCCTCAACGATTGCTTTTTTCAACCCCCAGGGCTGAGCCTCAATTAGATCCAATGAGGGCGAGGGATTGTTAGGACGTATTAGCCTTCTGAAAAAAGATAAGTGACTTGCCAGAGGTGGCAGTATTGTAGCAGAATGCCACAAGGTCAAAGTCTTGCATCGAGGGGATATGTGGTATGTGCACATGAACACCAAATATGAGCAATCTTTGCTGTACATGCGAACAACTGAACTTTTCTGCTGGCCATGTGGCTCTGGTTTTGTTGAGTATATTGTTCACTCCTCGACATTAGGTACCCAAGGTGAAAGAAGTTCGTCTTCCAGAAATCTTACCCAACCACACGGTAGTGGAGAGGATCTGTCACATATTGTATTAGTCTGCTTTGGAGAAGAGTGCACCATGTGTATTCATGCTATTGAGTATACTGTAACAATAGCCATTAGTTGAAGCTAGTGTGAAACCCCAATGGCAGCTGATTACAACTCCTCCTCCTCACGTGCCCAGATTTCCATTGACGAAAACTACTCGTAACCAGGTACATAATCTCTTCCGTTGGAAGTGGGCATGGTTAAACGGAAGCCCTCTCCGAACAGCCGCTCACCATCGAATACTTGCGTATAAGACTCGAGCATCCTCAGGTAATCACTTGTATGCGGGTCGGTATAAGGTCTCTCGATGTCCCAATCGTATCTGATGAGATTGACATCGCCGTGAGCTTTCTCAAGGGGGTTCCTGTTCACGAACAGAGCAGCGGGACCTTTGCCGTCTGGTGCTTCGCTTGAGAGATCTGCGACGAGTTGCTTGACTGGAACTGCCGGGTAGCTGGAGAATACAAGCGAAGATTCGTTGATTGCCAGAAACCCTTCAGGATCAGAAACGATCTTAATAGGTACTGGCAGATCCAATAGGGCTCGCCGGTCGAGCTCATCGTAAGCGGGATCTTGGGCAATGATTGTGATGGGTGTGTCAACTGGAGTGCCTTCTGCTTCGTAAATCCGTTCTAGATCTTGAGCGATAGAAGAAGCAACGATATGCTGCATTGTCGGGTTGGCTCTCCTTGGATCTGACATTTGCAGGGTTCCCAGTCCGATGCACACAATGTTCGTAATCCGTGCTGTGTGCTTCAGTCTGTTGAGGCTGTCGAACAAGATATGGCGTGGAGGAGTCCACTGCCAAAGCCTTTCGAAGTTTTGCATGCGAACCTTCTGGAGGACACGGTCGTACAAATTGGTAGTTTCTTTAGCCTTTTTACCAACCCGGACGTAGATTGGGAGCATGTCGTCGAGGCTGAAGTGGTCACCTTGCGGTGCAGACTGTGCAGTGGCAAGAAGGTGAAGTCCGTTGTAACCTAGGGAGAAATCTTGACTGCTTATGTGTTAGTATCAAAACCATGGAATTGAATGTACTTTGAAAACATATATAGTAATCTGCGTTACAGCCCTACTAGAGTACAGTATAAACCTGTAGGGTATGCTTAGACGTTCGTGTAAGTAGAGCACGAATTGGACATACCTGGGCAAGGATAGGTCTCTGGCTGGATAGACTCTTTTCGCACCATAGCAATCCGTTAACGTGATTTTCAGACCATTTCGAGCCCTGCTCAGCTGGTCTGCGGCATGGCGAAGCATGGACCGACTATAGAACGGTCGATCCCCGAGTGACTTCATGAATGCCTTGATATCCACAACTATCTGGGAACCGTTTGAAGACCCAAGACCGACATCGTAGAGCACATCTGCAAGTGGGTCGTCTATTTGGAACGGAAGTGTTTGGTTGGCTAATCCTCGGAATTGTCGTGCGTCAATAGCACATGTATCCGCCCAGATGCTAGCTGCAGGCAAAGTTGAGATATTCATTCCCGAAGATGCTAGCTGCACCCCGTAAGGGTAGGCGCCTGCCATTGTGGTGGATTTTCGTGAAGCGGATGGATATGTTGTCGAAGGAGATGCACGGAGCGATAGAAACACGTAGTCGAAGATTGAGACAGAAAGATGTGCTAACGATGCTAAGCATGCGAGACAATTCTGTGCTAGCAGAACGATGTTGATGATTGGGTAGTGTAGACTGTGAAGTGTGAGATCTGGTCGAAGATAGAAGTAAACACAGTGTGAGCTTGTGAGCAAGTGCTCTCTACTGGCACGTCGCTGCCGCTTGACCCTACGTCTTTAGGTAGCCGGGGCGATACAGCCACAAGAGAAAGGCGCGTTGAGGTAGTTTGAGGAGTGCAACTGCTAGTGACGCGTTTGCAGTAGTACGAGCACGAAAAAGCTCATTCTGATAGGCTGCACTCATTACTTGTAACTGGTCCTAAAGCTGAAGCCGAATGCTATGCGTCGAAACATCGAGAGATGTATCCCGAATTGCACGAATCGTCTCGTTGACAGAAATTGGTGATGTCTTGCTCCACTAGGTCGCTGCGGATGCTACGAGCATGTTGCCTGTCTACCGATATTCAGTGCTCAGATGCAGCAATTGGGTTTTGGATGACTGTCTTCCGTTACTAGTATATAGCGCTCATGATCTTATCAAGACTGTGGGCAATTTGCTACCGCTATTGACAATGAATAAGGGGCACCTAGGTATCGAACATGTTCTGATATGCTGGTAACATCAAGCCTCACGGATACATGCAGGCCGTGTATTTTCATCAAAATAGCATAGACGGTCTCTTGTGTGTAGTCGCTTGACTGCTGCGTGTGGATCTTTTTCCATTTGCGCTCTCTTCGTCGTTGGAGTGTTGGCAATTTACACTCTGTCTTTCGGGCTTTGGAATGTATCTTGAGATGCGCCGTTTGTTAGAGATCGGTCTGGTTTCCCGTAGGGGCGGTGGTTGCTAATCTCGGCTACAGGTACTTGGTTGGTAAGTCTCCAAATCCTTTTGTTGAGAATTCCATACGCTAACATGGCTAGTGTTTGCGTGCCTTGGGCAGTAGCCATATACCGAGACTAGACGAGTACTGCCCGAGGCATATGGAGACGGCATTGCGGTACAGCGAACAGACGCAACAGACGCGCAGGAGTCTGAAGGATGAGACGCGTGCGATACTGGCGTAGAGGTTTCGGACGTCGTATACCTTTTGAGTTTGTCGCATCAGAGTTGCATCGATAGTTTGCTTTGCCATGTTTCAGGATGGACCAATTAGGCATGTGCAGCTGGTAAGCAGAGATACGGTGTAGGCGCAGGATGGTATATCCGGAGAGAACAGCAGCCCTGCAGGGAGCCGATGGGGACTAGGGCGGGCAAAACGAAAAACGTGCAGTCAAGCGGCGCTTTGACCCGTGGGTGAAATAATAATTTAGTCCAGCGCGCGAATATACAAGACGGCCCCTCGACGCTCCCTCCCCTGTGTCCTCGCACCTTTTTTCAGTTTTCTTGTATTGTATAGACTCTCCACTCTTCCGTTGGGGCGTCTCTACATTCACACGTTTGATACCCGGGTTTCTTCACCCTCTCGCGCTGTTGGGCACCACTCACGCTTCAGCCGCCGCGAACAAGGCGATACCTATCGATAAGGAGCCCCTCCAAAAAAGAAATCCCTCGTCGCGGATTTCACAGCCAGCACAGCACCCAGGCACAGCAGGCTTCTCTCGCAGATGCCGCACTCTGAGTCGCCGCCCATGGCTCCTGCTATCGTCGTCGACAAGGCCAGCGCCGCCCCCGCGCCCTCGCAGGAGGATGTCAGCGCCTTTATCAGCAGCATCGTCACGGCCAAGACGTCGCACGCCTCCGTCGACGCCGCCTACGCCCTCACCACCCTCCTCCAGAACTCGGTCGGCTTCCGTGGCCTGACTGGCTATGGCATACTCGAGGAGATCAAGAAGTCAGCCGCCAACAAGAAGGACGCCGTGAGGAGAGAGGGTGCCATGAACGCCCTTGGTGCCTTCTTCGAGCGTCTCCCACGCACACAACGCCTGACCGAGGTTATCTTCCTCGTCCAGGACGCGGCGCTAGTCCCGCTCGCCCTCGACTTGCTGGCAGACAAGACTGCCTCCGTCAAGGAGTCGGCCAAGTACGCCCTTGACTCGCTTTTCGAGAACCTCAGTGCCGAGGCCAAGATCTGGGGTCTCTTGCCTGTGCTGACACAGTACCTGGGCAAGAAGTCCGGAAAGTGGCAAGGTGCTGCTTTCGCCTATGAGCTCATCGGCCGCATGGCCGACAAGGCCAAGATGGGCATGGAGAGCCTCGAGGTGGAGAAGGAGAAGGATGTTCTCCGTGACGCCATGGGCAAGAAGCTCGAGGGTCTCATCCCCATTGTCGAAGCCGGCATGCACGACCTCAAGTCCGAGGTAAGATACCACACGCACTCTTGAAAGGGAAGCTTGCTAACTCTGAACAGGTCGCCAAACAGTCCGTCAAGACGATGAACAGCCTCACCACCCTCATCCAGAACGACGATATCGCGCCCCGGATACCCTTCCTTGTCAAGGCTATCGAGGACCCCTCCACACAGAGTCTGCAGAAGGCTATCCACGCTCTCTCCCAGACTACCTTCGTCGCTATCGTCACATCTCCCGTTCTTGCTATGGTCACACCCCTGCTTGAGCGCTCCCTGAACACCCCCACCACATCTCAGGAGGTCACTCGCCAGACCGTTGTCGTAGTTGAGAACTTGACCAAGCTCGTCCACGACCCCATTGAGGCTCGCGCCTTTTTGCCCAAGCTCCGCCCAGGTGTCAAGGCCGTTAAGGACCGCGCTTCCCTGCCCGAAGTCCGTGAGATCGGTCAGCGCGCGCTGGACGTTATTGAGAAGGCCATGGCCGACCCAGACCACAACATCGACAGCGGCGCCATCGCCAGGGTACAGCCATCAGAAGTCCAAAGCGTCATTGAGAAGCAGCTCAGCGCTACTGCCAAGGTGCTCGACTTCCCTGGAGACGCCGAGGTTTTGGCTGTCACTAAGCGCTACATCTCTGAAATGATTGCGGAAGTTGTCCACCAGCGGGAGCTTCAGCGCATCCCAAAGCTCGTTGGACCCTACTTGGAGCCTCTGGTCAACGCTGGAGACGCCGACAAGGTCGCAGAGGCCGTGCACCAGTTCTACGTGGACGAAGACCACCGCAAGTTTGGCCAGCCCGTCAAGGAGGACGATGGCGAGGTCGAGATTGTCAACGCCGTATTCTCCCTCGGTTACGGTGGTATGTTGCTCCTCTCGCACACCAATCTTCGCCTGCTCAAGGGTCACCGCTATGGTCTCTGTGGCCGTAACGGTGCTGGAAAGTCTACACTCATGCGCAGCATTGCGAGCGGCAAGCTCGAAGGTTTCCCTCCTCAAGACGAAGTCAAGACCTGCTTTGTCGAGCACAACCAAGGAGAGGATGCCGATCTCTCCATTCTCGAGTACATCGTCCGCGACCCGCGCTTCGCGGACGAGAGCAGGGAACGTATCGAAGAAGTTCTCGAGGAGGTCGGTTTCACCGCTGGCCCCGAAGGCAGGCAGTCCCACAAGGTCGGCTCTCTATCTGGTGGATGGAAGATGAAGCTCGCTTTGGCGCGTGCTATGCTTATGCGCGCCGACGTGCTTCTTCTCGACGAACCCACCAACCACTTGGATGTTGCCAACGTTGCCTGGCTCGGAAAGTACCTCAAGTCTCACACCGAGATTACTAGCTTGATCGTCTCTCACGACTCCGGTTTCCTTGACGAGGTCTGCACAGACATCTACCACTACGAGCAAAAGAAGCTGGTTTGCTACAAGGGTAACCTTGCCGATTTCGTTCGACAGAAGCCTGAAGCCAAGAGCTACTACACTCTCTCGGCTACCCAGGTGCAGTTCAAGTTCCCTCCTCCCGGTATTCTTACTGGTGTCAAGTCGAACACTCGCTCTATCCTGCGTATGACCAACTGCTCCTACACGTACCCTGGCGCTTCCAAGCCATCGCTTGTTGATGCTTCTTGCAATTTGTCTCTTTCGTCTCGAGTTGCCATTATTGGCGCCAACGGTGCTGGTAAATCTACTCTCATTAAGATGCTTACTGGCGAGACTATTCCTCAAGAGGGTACCGTCGAGAAGCACCCCAACTTGCGTATCGGTTACATCAAGCAGCACGCTCTCGAGCACGTCGAGATGCACATGGAGAAGACGCCCAACCAATATCTCCAATGGCGATACGCCAACGGTGATGACCGTGAGGTGCTCATGAAGCAGACACGTGTGCTCACTGAGGAAGACAAGAAGCAGATGGAAACTCCCATCGATCTGGGCGACGGCAAGGGCCCCCGCAAGATTGAGGCGCTCATTGGTCGTTCCAAGTACAAGAAGACCTTCCAGTACGAAGTCAAATGGCTGCACATGCTGCCCAAGTTCAACACGCACATCTCGCGTGAGACTCTCATTGAGAAGGGTTTCAGCAAGCTTGTGCAGGAGTTCGACGATCACGAGTCCTCCCGTGAGGGTCTCGGTTACCGTGTCCTCGAGCCCAAGGTCATCTCCAAGCACTTTGAAGATCTCGGCATGGACCCCGAGATTGCGAACCACAACGAGATCTCTGGTCTTTCCGGAGGACAGAAGGTCAAGGTTGTGCTTGCCGGTGCCATGTGGAACAACCCGCATCTCCTCGTTCTCGACGAACCCACCAACTTCTTGGACCGCGACTCGCTCGGTGGTCTCGCTGTTGCCATTCGTGACTACAAGGGTGGTGTCATCATGATTTCGCATAACGAAGAATTCGTTGGTGCTCTCTGCCCCGAGCAGTGGCACGTCGCCGACGGTCGCGTAACTCACAAGGGTCACCTTGCCGTCAACATGGACCGTTTCGAAGACTCGCGCCCTGGATCCAGCAACGTTAGCAGTAACGTCAGCTCCGCTGCGCCGTCAACAACTGGTACCCCAGTCATGAGTGACGCCGAGGGTAACAAAGATGACATGAAGTTCAGGTCAAGGAAGAAGAAGAAGATGACCAAGAAGGAACTCAAGGACAGGGAGGTCAGGCGTAGATTGAGGTACATCGACTGGTTGAACAGTCCCAAGGTATGTTTTCTCTTTTCCATTATTGTCAACATCATGAACGGTTTGCTAACTGTTTGACCAGGGTACACCTCAACCACCCAACACTGATGACGAGGCCGAGTGAGTGTCTTTACGGCTGTTTCGGATTACGATCGCGTTATGATATCTTAGACCATGCAGATTTGCATTGCTCGGCGTTTTATAGAGGCTTGGATGACTGATTGCGTTTGCATCAAGCGATAGATTATGACTTCTTCGCCTAGCTGCATCCTTATGATGAATCAAAAAGCATTTCTTCTTCTTCAAAAAACTACAGTGCTCCTTCCACTCCTGCCTGTAACTCTCTATATATACTTTTGTGTCTGATATGGTGTGCCGCATGAGTGCTCGTGCTACATGATACGTTCCTGGAATGTAGAGGTCCTTGACGCGCTAACCCGGTGTAGCGGATCGTACAAACGTGACTGCATTCCACGAGGAGGACTATTATGCTGAGCTGTACTTCTCCACCTTGTATCTGAGGGTATAGATGCGCACCGCACAGCTGTTTGCACCCTTATCACCATGCTGCCATTCGGCTTGAATTGTTTTCCGATTGTTCGTTGCTTAGTATCTCACTTCATACAGACTGTTAGCCCACGAAATGATCTGGCACCTTCACTGGTTCATCCAGGCGGCGGTCAAAATGCTGGTCGGGAGCACGGATAGTGTGCATGTAACTCCTTCCACCTTCACTACCTCTCTAATTTCAATCTCAATCTCACCGCTCCGCGCCGACCAAACACTCTCTCCACAGCTTGGACCCTGAATTGCCCAGGTGAGTATCGTCCACCAGCTTCTGCCTAGTGGTGTAGCAAACAAACGCTCCCACCTGTGGTAGTTATAAGCCTGCGGTTCTTCGACCTCTCTTCTTCTTCCTCCTCCTCACCTTTCTCCTCTACCCTTCTCGACGATCAACCACTTCAACATTATATCACACACAACGACATCATCGACGACTGAAACACCGCTTCCATGAAGCTCCTCCTCCTTGCCCTCCTCGGCCTGGTGGCGCTTGTCGCTGCCTCGCCAGTCGAGACCACCGCCATTACGGTCCCCAAGTACAAGAACAACGGTATCCACTCGTAAGCTACCTCACTTTCTCTGAATTGCTCATGAAGCAGTCTACTAACCTTCAACAGTTACAAGTGTGATAGCAACACGAACGTCCTCTCTTGTGTTTCTTCTGGCACCTGCTCTTTCGTCGAACACTGCTCGACCAAGTGCTTCGCGGATCACCAAGGCGCTGGCTGCATTGGCTCCTCAACCGTTGCTATCGAGGCATCCGAGAAGCGCGACACCGAGACCGAGGTCAACGCCGAGGCAAAGAAGACATACGAGTGCTCGAATGGTTAGTTTTACCACACGAATGGTATATGAGACATCTACTGACTTCGTATACCCATATTTAGACCACACCGGTGTCTTGGTCTGCCAGTATGGCTTCTGCCAGACCGATCGCTACTGCAAGAAGGGTACCAAGTGCCATGATAAGTGTTCTTGCTGTAGGAACATGGACGTCCTTGAGCGAGACATCGGTGACGTGGACACAACCAAGGTTAGTTTACAGTCTGAGGATATTCTTACTTCACTTCCTTCTATCACTTCTTCCCCCATCGTCCCAGCCACCACGTATGGCTATTGTAAGCAGACTCAAGCGGGAGTTCAATCTTGTCGAGAGAACAACTCCATGATTGTGGTCTGCGACATTGCCGATTACATGTGGAGGTCGGTTGGCAAGTGTCCTGGTGGCGATGGGTGCTGCGAGGCTCGACCAGACAACGCAAATGCCGTTCAGTGCAAATGCTAGACTGACACAAGCTTTCTTGGAGTGCCCTTGTTCTACGTTGTCCCTGAGCTCAACGAGATCTGAAGATAGTCAATATATGACCTGACTACTCGGACTCGCGATGCTCTTGCCTCACTTCTCCTCTCTATTTTCTTGCCTATCTGCACTATCATCCTCAACGGCTGTACACTGCTAACAGGGTTTCGTGGATTGCACAGCCCGAATCCGACGACGACTTCCATGCTCTGCCAGTCACCACGTCCGATACGCTGGTCTCGCGTGGCAACTGTGTACCTGGCACCTATTCCTGCGCGCAGAATAGTCCCTGGATCGTGGTCTGCGATTACAAAGGTACCTACCAGTACTCTTCCGATTGTGGCGAAACAGATTGCATCACGGACAACGTCGTCGCTCATTGCTGGAACCCGGGCGAGGAGTGGAAGACCTATGCCAACTTGGCCTCGCGTGCCGACCACCCACCCCAGAACGGTAAGAGATACCCTTGAACAATCTACATGTGAGACACCTACTGACTTGGTATGCCCCCATTTAGGTCCATGTGTACCTGGCACATACGGCTGCGTGCTGAATCCTTCCACCAATACCCCATGGGTCACCGTCTGCGGCTGGAACCAAAAGTTACAGTACTCGTCTGATTGCGGTGATCAGAACTGTCTCGCGAGGGAGGACGGTGTCGCTCATTGCTGGAACAAAGGAGATCAGTGGAACACAAATTCTGCCTCAGTCTCTCGCCGCGATGAACCAGAACAAGTCTCACCAGACCTGACTCTGTCTGGCAACTGTTCACCTGGATCCTACGCTTGCGGCTGGCGCAACGGCACGCAGACCAGCTGGGTCATCACGTGTGACCAGTCTGGAAACTGGGTGTGGTCATCCGACTGCGGCCGTGGTATGGAATGCGACTACGCCAATGGTGACGCGCACTGTGTTCCCCAGAAGTCCACCATTGGAGCTCGTGAGGAACTGTCCGAAGTTCCAGCAGACTTGGCTCCAACAGCATCTTGCCGTCCTGGTGAATTTGGCTGCGCGTGGAGCAAAGACACGATGACGGATTGGACCATTGTTTGCGATCAGTCCGGAAAACATTGGTTGTGGTCCTCTGACTGTGGTCAAGGCATGAAGTGCGAATGGGGTGGTGGCGTTGCACACTGCGTGCTTAACAAGGTTCTCTTCGTAGCTTGAGAGGCATTTCGGAGCCTTAATCCCTCAGCAAAGGCCTGAGAGGAGCAAAGAACCTGGGGATGAGAGGACGAGAGTGGTTGGTGTCGATTTCAAAAGCATGAAGGGTTTAGATGATGGTTGGCAGTAGAGCTTCACGCCTGCTTAACAACTCCTTCTTGAAGAGTATTCAGTAATGAACAAGATGCTCCTGCTTTGATTATGTTTTCCATCTTATCGCATGGTGAGGTTCGTCGAGCATGTGCGACTGACAATTCCAGCCAACAAAATGGTATTGAACGACCGAAGCCTGTCGAAGCAGTACCCAATGAGCGCGATACGCAGTGGACAGGAGGATTGACGATGATGTCGCGAGGCAGAAGAAGTAAGCGATCGATCGAGTACGATGTTGCTAATAGTTGGTGGCGCTAAGCATCTTATGCCGCGGGATCTGAAGCTTAGCAGAGCTGCACAACATCGACCAGCCTGCGAGCTACAGTAATCGCTACACGTTTTTGAAGTAACGATAAGGAAAAGATGCGCAGACGCATCTATCAACACCAAACATGAATGGGAAATTCTAGAGCAAAGCCGATGGGAGCCATTTCTGACAAGGGGCCCTTGGAAAACAGGTGGGGCGTACCCAGAACCTAGTCTAAGATCGATATCGCGTCCCTGCATACACTCGTCATAGGTCGAAAAACAACCCTTGGATCTTCCCGTACGTGCTTCCAGCTGACCAAGAAGCATGCAAAGTAGCGTCAAACGCCTACCGCTGTTCTGGCTTGCGAAATGCTGAAGATCTAGACTTTCCCCCTCGTCAGCTTCTCCTTCACTCTACACGACCTCTGCGAGCTTTTCTTTTTGCCAATTGAACTTTCGCAGCCTCGTATTCGCCGCCAGGCACCAGTCACGATGTCGTTCATCGTCGAACATGCGAAACAGGCCGTCACCGACAAACAAACAAATGTCGTCATCTTTTCGGCCACGGCTATCGCCCTCTATGGCTACGATCAGGGTATGATGTCCCTCATCAATACGAACAATGACTACCTCGCCACCATGGGTCTCGAGGAAGAGTCACCAGTTGTGGGTGTTATCGTGGCTGTCTATTACCTCGGTTGTGCGGTTGGCGCTGTACTCTTCTCCATGCTCGCTGATAAGCTGGGAAGGAAAAGGAGTATCTTCGCTAGTCTGGCGACGGCGAGTTTAGGTAACTTGATCATGTTCGTGGCTGGAATGGGCATGTTAGGCAAGAGCACGGAGATCGCATTGGGTGTCATGCTAGCCGGACGAGTAGTTATGGGATTGGGTGTTGGAGGTATCGACGCAGTCATTCCAACTTACTCTTCCGAGTTGAGCTCAGACGACTCTCGTGGCAAAGCGCTGGCCCAGGAATTCCAGTCCAACATCTTTGGTCTCGTCATGGCTTTCGGTATCAACTTGCTCGTCACTATTCTTCTCGGCAAGCAGAATCAATGGGCTTGGCGCATTCCCATCATCGTCATGCAGGTCTACCCTGTTCTGCTCATGGCTGTTGTTGAACGCCTTCCAGAATCTCCGCGCTGGTTCATCTTCCATGACCGCCAAGAAGATGCGAAGAACGCGCTAAACGATATCTATGGAGATGAAGGAAAGGAGAAGCTTGATGAGCTGCTCGAACAGCATGAGAAGGAGAAGGATGTGAAGGTTGGATATTTGGATATGCTCACACCCGGGCACGAGCAATTCCATCCTACTATGGTCACAGTCATGTGCCAAGTCAACCAAGCTCTCACAGGATATGGCGCAGTCAGTGTATATGGGCCGCAGATTTTTGAGGTAAGTGAACACGGTTACGAGGGTATCGCGTATTGAAGCAATGCTAACCATTGAGAACAGCTCCTTGGCTTCTCCGTCCGCAACTCCGAGTATCTTACTCTTGGAAACTACACATCCTACTTCTTCCTCATGACGCTCGCTTGGCTTCTAATCGATGCTCTTGGCCGGCGCCAACTTATGATCCAAGGTTCTATCGTCTTATCCTCTTCGTTCGCACTTCTTGCTGTCTTTGGTGGTCTAGCAGCCAAGTCTGACTCCATTGATATTCCCGTTATCATCCCTGGAATCATCGGCACTGTCATCTTATTTGTAGCCACCGGCGCATTCGGAATTGGTTGGCTCTCAACCGTCTGGCTTTTCCCCACAGAAGTTTTCCCGACCACCGCACGTGCTCAAGGTACTGCTATCTCCGTCATCATCTGGGGTCTCGCAAACTTTGCCATCACATTCCTTACGCCCGTCCTGTTCAACAACCTTGACTACTTCATTTTCCTCGTCTTCGCTGCGACCAATGCCTTCGCCGGTCTGTGGACATACTTCTATCTTCCGGAGACTGGTGGAAGGACTTTCGACGAGAACATGGACTTCTTCAAAGAGGCTGGTGAGACCGGAACCTGGAGGGTCGGAAAGGTGCGCAAGGGCGAGTGGAAGAAGATGCTGTACGATGATCCTGAGGGAGAGGGTAATGTAGATGCAGAACGCGTACCGCTGTTGCAGAGGGTGGGGGACCAAGTTCCTAGTGTAGAACAGTCTCGAGAGCCGAGCCGGCAACGAGAGGAGTAAGAAGAGAGAACCGTCCCTTCTATATCGCGGACAAGTCTCGGCTCCGCGGTATTGTAAAAGTAGCGAAAAAGGTAAGCCTCGTCAGTCGATTACTTGCTGAGCCCTGCGCTGACCTCTTCACAAGCAACTATCCTATCCAATTAGCACTAGAATGAATAACAACATCATCACAAAAGAGATTCATGGAACCTTGGTATGTTGAAAACTAGAATATACCCGGTTGACGTTCGACCGTTGCCCCACAAACCAATATACATGATATAGCCATCCTGGTCGCGGAGAATACCCGGCATCTACATGACCCAAGTACCGACCACGAGCCACGACCATTATATTGAAAGCGATCAAGACCCTAGACACCATCGTCATAACTTTGCATGCAATTAGTTTGCCATGAGCTTAACAGATCCCGAGGTCTGCATGCCTTCTGTTCATAAACTAAGTGGCATCCGTAGGGTGTGTGCAACAAACCACGTTTTATGCTAACCTCCATAATGCGTTCATTGAAGCATATTCTTGCGCTGTGCGTCTTTGCAACGCATGCTGCGATCTGTGCGACAGCACAAAGAACAGGCGCACCATCAGACTCCCCCCAAGACTCCGATATCTATCAATCCTCTTACCTCGGCGGTGAACACAACATCGATCCCTCAGACCTCTCACAATTTACACAAATCTGGAATGCATCCTTCAATGCAGACGAAAAGGTAGCTTCGACTGCTTTCTGTGTCTCATTCGTCATCCTCACTAACATACACGGAGCACTGGGCGCGTCCCCTTGTACATACCCTCTCTTCTACGGGTCGTCAAATTGTCTTCACGGCCTCAACCGAAAACCGCATCAGAACCTTCGATGCAGAAACCGGCCAGCTACTGAATGAACGCCAAGTTGCTCCACCATGGCCAATGGATCAAGCCTTCTGTACAACGCACGTTAGCAAGACACTAGGTATAATGGGTACACCAGTAATCTACCGCGAAGATGGCAACGAAATCGCATTCTTCTATGTCAAGAGCTACATTGAAGACTACAGAGAACCAGGTGGGGCGTATCCTCCTTTGAACTCAGTGTATTATCTCTACGGCGTTTATCTCGATACGCTACAGGATTTGTACAAGTACCCTATGATCATCGATGGCCAACCGTCCGACAACGATATGCGCAAGACCTTCTTGGGCGGTTTGGTATTGCAGAGGCCAGCATTGCTATTACTGGGCGATGTATTATACGCGGGATTTGGCGGGCTATGCGACGCGTTCAACTACACCGGGAGCGTTGTCGCTGTTAACTTAGCAACACAGAGTACGTATACATGGACGACGCAAGCCGGAAACACGAGTCTGTATAGCGATGACTGGACGGCGTGGCATGGTGGTGGAGCGGGCGGCATTTGGCAAGCTGGAATGGGTCTTTCGTCGGATGGTAAAGACATCTTCTTCACGATTGATAATGGCGGCGGGTCAACGGCTACGACGCTTGATGTTACTCCTAAGGAGGGTCGTAAGCCTTTGGCTGTTCTTTCGGAAACGGTCGCGAGGATTACGCTCGATGAGGCGAGTGGTGCTGGCATTGAACTCGTTGATTTCTTCCGTCCGTCGGACTGGCAGACCGACTCTGGACAGGACATTGGAAGTGGGGGCCTCGCTATCCTCGATACTAGTATCTTCAAAACAATGGACGGAAAGAGGATTGGTGTTGCAACGTCGACGAATCCGAAAATGTACGTTACGGAAGTTGACAACTTAGGCGGTTATTTACAAGGGAAAGATGGCACGGACGGTATTCTGCAGGCTATCGCTTTGGAAGGCGAGGTCTTCGGTGCGATCGGATCCTACCCTCTCGAAGGCGGATACATTTATGTTAACCCTGGTAACACCGCCTTGTCGGCCTACGCGTTTACTCAGAACGCATCGTCGCTCTTCAGCTTCGCTGGTAAGTCCTCTGAAACAAATGGACACTGGGGCGGCGCAGGCCTTCCGACAATCACCAGCAGTAACGGCCAGTCTGGTACAGGTATCGTATGGGCAACTGATGTGCAGGCCGGGCTGAGGGCGTTCAAAGCGGTACCAGTCAATGGGACACTGGTTGAGTTGCCGTTACCAAAGGTAGAGGGTGCTGTGAAGTTTGGCAGGCCGGTTTTTGGCAATGGCCAGGTGTTTGTTGTTGATGGTCAGGGACGTTTGATCGCGTTGGGGAAGCGTCTGAAGTGACAGAGGCAGATGGAGGGAAAGTGAAAGCAATGGGAGCAGGCTGCATCCAGAGTGGTAGTGAATCCATCATCAACACAAGTAGAGTTCAAAGGTTTGATGTACGCGAATGTCCACTGTCCCTTTCACCTCGACCTTTAAATCGAGTTTAAAGTTGCTGCCTTGGCTTTCTAGGGCTTATTCGCTGATCTCGGACATGTTCACGGGTCTCTCGGCCTTAAGCATTGCGGTTCCGGGCGAAACCATCAAGTCCGCAACTCCTCCCGTATCGTCTTCGTCTTATGGCTCTAGGCAACAACATAACGACCAAAATCGGCCTTTCGCAACAGTTCAAATCGCGACTTTGGTCTCGGACATACATGCGCATCTCTCAGCCACCAGTGATAACCAACGAGAGGTAGCGTGCACAGACCCCCGACCGCTGCATGATGTCGGATCTCGTTCGCTGTCCGCTGAAACTAGTCCAGTTTGAAGATTAGCGCCACCAGTCCATGTGCACAGCATGTGCATGAGGTGTTGGTGTGAGGGGGTGGTTCATGATATAAAGCTCCCCAATCTGTCGCTTTCATCACTTCCATTGTTTCAATCATTTTCGTCCATTAACACGTTGCGACTTCCATACTTTGCCATCCTTGAAGAAGCTCATTTCCTGCGACCACATCTAGACTTTGTTCAACTAAGCAAGATCCTCGGACCAATCACAGCATACGTGTTTGTGAGCAAGTACCAAAAGAGGCGTAACAAGACAAACCGATTATATAAACAAATCTTGCTTGTCCTGCCTCACTTTTGCTATCAACATTTCCGACGCGCAGAGTCTTGGAAGAAGACAAATACTCAGTATCGTCCCATCATCAGAAGATACCCAGCATCAAACCCCAACATGTCGACTACACACCTCACTATCCACGACCTGCTTCGCATAACATATACCTATGAGATGCGCGCTCTCGAAGCACAAGCACGCATGCAGCCAAGGCCGCGCTCAGATTCAGCTTGCTCGGTACGTTTCTCGCAACTTGTAGAGAACGACGAAGAGTAGAGACTAACATCATCGATGTACAGATGCCAGAAACATGTGCACATCTTTCGCCACCCACACCCTCCTCACCAGAACACGCAATCCTCGAGACCGATTTCACTCAAATGTACTGTCGCAAGAGTCGTCGCGCTTGAAGCGCTCTCCTACCCCGTTGATCATCATACGACATGTGATGGCGAGAACGCCACCACGCTATTAGACTGAACCGCGAGAACACTTTCCCGAAAACCTCAACTCCTTGTTGAGCCGAGACAGGACGACAGGCGTACATGGTCTCTGCACCAGGCACAGTTCCCACCTGGATCGTCACCACCTTCCCCACTCATGGCTAATAGCAATGTTTTGGGATGTTTGCGCGTCCGGCGCATGGAGCTTGCATGATGGGTGTATGAATCGGACCGACTGTCGGGGCGATCATTGGCCGAGCAAGGTCGGAGCTGATGTCGCGTGGGGAAGGAGAGCGGAGGATGTATGTTTTTCGCGCATGCGCTGGAAGCGCTGGAGTGGTGCGAAGTCATGAGCTGTGGTTAAGGGCTCGAGCTCGGTTGTTGGTAACACTAAATATTTGATATCGTAATCTTGCTGCGATGCAATATGCGCATTGGTTTCGGTGTAATGGTATGTCTCGGATGTTTGATGCTCGGTAAGTCCGTGGTAAAAGATGTGTGCAACCGCCTATGGTGATATAAAACTACCAAGTCAGTCACTACCCTCTACATCCCATGCAAGGTGATTCGAATCGTCTTCGTCTTAAAGACCAGTTCTCGAAACCTGAATGTTTGCACTTGCTAATGACTAAGTCTTCATCCTGCACATGTGTAGATGCAACATTCTTCGCGCCTCTAACCACAGGTACATTACCTTGCCTCATAACAAGGCCACTTGCCAGGGTGCATCTGATGAAGTCTCGCAGCCGTATCAAATGGCTGTTTTGATATATAGCACTAACACCTATATCAACAGTCGTAAGTACTCTGTCATTTTTCATATCATCTTGTAGAAGCATTGTGATACGCATGATAATCACACTCCAGAGGAGAGCCCCTTCAGCATTTCGTGGATGACACCACAAGTTTTGCTTGTGGTGATCACAATGTGCGATAAAATCTTTACGCGCAGTACATCGCATTTACCTATTCTTTAGTCCTTGCAGCAACGGAGAACCTGTGTAAACTACTGCGAGATAGTGGAAGTAGCAGCCGTGCTACTCAAGATGTGTGCTACTGAGGGCTAAGCTGCATAGCTACCCACAACATCGCAAGCTCTTCTACAAGCGCCTGGCCAGCTTGCTGGGCGTAAGATCGAAGGAGATGCAGAGTCTGGTACCATCTAGAAATTCGAACAGACTGCGGAGTTGTGGTAAGAAGGCGTGGTGGCAGAGCTTGAGAAAAGCAAAAAGGGGACAAACCAACGACAAACATTCGAACGCCAGCTGGGAGCCACACCCCCATGAATCGAACTCGGCTCCCTTGCTGAACCCTCTTTGTCGACTCATATACATCAAAGTAGCAAAAGGAAGAGCAAAAAGGTTCAGGTACCACAGATACTATACTGTGGTACCCTACATCCTCCGGGGCAGACGTAGGCACACCCCTCATTTACCTTGAACCTCTTGTCGAATTCACGTTGTAAAGAAAGACATCACTTACCTGTGAATCCAAGTGGAATCCCACTGGGCCATATTTTGTTGAGCGAGGTGACGCCCGCCGTTGATGGAATAGAGACCAACTTCGGCGTATATATACCGCAAGCTAAGAGGAGGGGTTGGTCCAACCGAATTTCGGAGTCTGAGGGGAGAGGCGGCAGCGTGGGCATTTCGCTAAGGTAGGCGACGACAAGGTTTCAAGGGGTCCAGGCGACGAGGAGCACCGATTTTGCATTGTGGCGCCTGATCCGATGCTCAGCTTCGTTGGGGTGATTGCTCTCGGAACGAGTCCTCCTCCGCGGCCATAAACTCAACCCTGTCCCATCTCCACTGATAGATCACTCTACACCAGTGTTGGGCTGACAAGGTCGTCAATGCCATGAGGAACATGCTCGAAGCACTCTCAACACAGCTTGATATGGTGTTGCATCTCATCTGGCTCGGTGGTGAGCCTTGGCGCAAGTTTGACTCGATATTGCCCCCCCTCGACAGCGACAACACCACTACAACACCAACATTGCGCAGTCGAACAACATACTAATACTCTTGAGAGCTGCAGCATCCAGCTCTCGTAATTAGAAGAGATATCATACGCGTCCAATATGACTCCATTGCGGACCTCCGGAGTGACGACAGCTTCGACGATACCCTGCGGAACACCCAGCAATGTGGCAACTGCCTCGAGCATGTCAACCAACTCCAAGAGAGTAGGGAGGAGGAAGCTACTCGATAGGTTATGCAGTCGAAGTATCGACCATCTAGCCTGCGCCTCTTGTAGACATCCAGCGCAACAGCGGACTTTCCACACCAACTCGTAAGCAACAGCCAGCTAGGAGGCAGGTACCTCTCGCGCAGAACTTTGCTGACTTCGCGAGATTGAGAATCCTCCAGGAAGTCTGTCAAAGCGCCTTGCTTACGGCAAAGCCCATCGAACGAGATCCTCGCGACCGTAAACCTCTGTCGTGGTTTTCAGCGGCCTCCTATGCGCTACATTCAAGCACAGCGATGATGACAAGCCGGCCTCCATCACGAAGGCCGAGAAAGTATCACCAACAACCGCAGCGAGATGGTCATAGTCCTCGGTGTGGGGAGCACTCGACTCAGGGCTGCCTCAAGGCCACACTCGCCACAACAAACTCCGCGGGGATTTCCAAGTCTTCTGAGAGGTAAACAAGAACACCACCATTGCGGCAGTGATTCCAGAATAAGAAGAACTGGGGCTGAACAAGACCAGAGGCATTCACACCCACCTTAGGTAAGACCGGAAAGACTGTTACCTTTCTGTCTTGGAGTGCCTCCCCAATGGCCTGCCCCCAACCAGTGCGACATGGAGCAGACGAATCTGACAGAGATGCAGAACTGTGAATACTGATAGTACTCAGGGGAAGGCATTGAACGTGCACAGCGTGGCCGCTGCCCCTTCCTCGAGGACTCAACGAGAGTCAGGCGCCCCTTCCGCACAATGCGTACTTTAGCTATGCGCCTACACAACACAATCGAGTTGAGAAGCCACGAAGCGACACGATGTCCACGACCCTCGAACTCCATCTCCCCCGGCGTCGACGGCGATACAAAAACTCCTGTTCGAGTCGAAAGATACTAGACTTTCTCGAGGATACAGCAGAGACCGGTAACACCCACGCAAGGCGCGACCAGGAGATAGAAGCCAGCCACCGAAGGTACAGGCTGCTGTTAAGTGCGCATACCATATGGCTGGGGTGATAAGGAAGACGCCGAGAGTGCTCGACACGGAAGATCTGGTATAATATGGATACCTTTGGCCGAGGAAAGAGAGGCGCGAATTCAGCCCTTAGGATACTGACGAAGTGTACGAGGTATCACTGCCTTGTCGCTACCTCCCAAGACCATGGGCAAATGGCGGAACGACTCGCTCAAGTACTGGATGTTTTGACCAGACATAAGATCTCGAGTCGTCTACGGTATCTGATGTTACACCGATTGCTGTAACTGCATCCCAACACACAGAACGCACTCCAAGCCTCGTCTGCTTCGTAGCAGTGTAGCGTTTTTGAAACATAACAGAAGACCAGTAGCGTCAAGGAGGGGTATAAGCCACTGACTATCATCGTCGACACATCTTTTGGAGCCATCTCCGCAACCGGGTGTCTACCAGTGATAACGACAGTGATACGCACCGCGATATATGCTTAGAATAACAAAACGTTACCGTTACTGGCTGGCTCATAGTCACTGGCGCTGCTAAGATGGGATCCCCAATTGGAAGCAATGCGCATACGAGTGCTCTGATTCTTAGTCGTACTCGCTGGCGCATGAGGATACTCAATCGTTAGTCAAGACCAAACCATCACCAGCGACGGCCGGTACAATCAACCAAACCTTAACAAGGTGGAGTAGAACATGTGTCCACCTCTTGTCATTTCAGAGTTGGAATGGTGGTGGCTGTAGTAGTGGCTGTAGTGATGGATGATGTCGCAACGGTGTCCCGGCGTCATTGAATCCTGTAACCATAGAACACAAGACAGTCAGATTGATTCCCATCTCGAACCGGTTTAGCTAATCCGGGACATTGAGCGTGCGAGCCCTGCTTGCTTCGAGCGAAATGCCGAACGTCGGATTGAGTCGCTGAAGTTTGCAAGGACCCTGGAATTGATTCTTCAGTCAATAGTGATCCAACGACGACAGCGAGACAGCGAGTGATATCAACCGCGGGTTTGATATTTCCATCGAAAGATAAGCCAAACACCATGTAGAAGACATCGACGCAGATAAGTTGTCGTTGCTTCCCATGCAATAGCATCAACCGTGGTATCGTCACTGTCGCATTGTCCCCTAAGAGGAGACAAGAGCTAAGTGGTGACACCTCTTTTCCGATACTTGCACCAAGGCGAAGCTGTAAGACTTCTACATGCCCACGTTGTGCCGAGCGACCGGAGTGCTTGTCGCTGTCGAAATGCAGAAAGGACTCAACCATAGCGCTGAGACACGTCCTCCAGCGGTCCACCTCCTAGAATGGCAATCTTGCGAGCATGCTGCAAGCAAGAAGCGGCATGCGTGATGCACTGTTCAACGTTTGCATCCGCTGTCAACGTCGATTGCATATAGTATGTGCGTCGCTGATGATACTTCGCTTAAGCATGATATCATCGTCGAGTCATATCGCAGAGATACCCAGACTCCTGATAGTCACTGTCGTCAACGTGGATGCCAAGGTCGTAGGCATTATAACAACCTACGCTGCGGCAACGGCTGGTCAAGAATCCGTGTCCAAGAGGGCGCATTTCAATCCTCGCGGGCTCCCAAGGCTGGATGTGACTCATTCCTTGTGACTTTCCCTCATGCACCAGCCTTGCGCTTGCTGCATAGTGCAGAGTTATCAGTCGCTAGCCTGCTTCTTCTCCTACGCGAACGCCAGTAAAGCGGATGCTGAAGCTATCCTCCGTCCTCGTTCGCCTTGTATGACATGGTGCTTAGGCATCGTGATGCAGTAGGATCGAAGGGATTGGTTGGGATTCTGGCAAATAGTGGAACGTCGACATTGTCTTGTGAGATCGAAAGGTGCTCGCAAGCGTCAGTTTGAACAAAGCTTTTGCTATCCGTGCGAAGACCGAAGTAGGAGAGGGGCTTTCAGCGCCGCCTCTCAGTAGCAATGTTGCTGGCAAGTGCCCTGTCGGCGGTCACGATGCGGTGTCTTATCTCCTGAACTTACTGGAGATTCTATGCGCGTTGTCCGATGTGCCTTTGCGAAATCTATTGTCTTCGTGGCTTCCCAAGCGCCTGCACGGGCGCGCAAGCTCTGTCCTTGTCAAAACCAGCTGTATGGCTGCCGCGTAGATCTGCAGCGATCTTCGGTCAGGAGCGTGCATCGGTGTGAGGGCCAAAGAAGTATGGGAATGCACAGCTGTACCAATCTAAGGCTGCTGTCGACCATTGCGGACCTCCGCCTAAGCTATCGGTGCTGAAGCTACGAACACTATGGAGAGTGCTGCAGACGCCTGAACACATCAGCATAACAGATGCGGTCACCAATCCTGTCGCTTTTGTGCTTATGACGCCCTTCGTCCAGGGTAAAATCTCTTATGCACAGGAGGCGCGCCTGTGTGCCTTCGGGAAGCTTCACGAAGCGCTACAATGGTGGGAGCCGTATATGCTACATCGCGCACGATCGAGCAGTGCCTGTCGGATGAGGAAGCTCTATTGAGGGGCTCTGTGGGAGGGGCTTTGTGGGTATCAGGGTCGTTGTACTTTCGTGAAGGGAGGGCGGTGGCGTTAATGTGGGGATGGATTTGTGCGGTCTCCCGCGACTAAACCTCCCACCTCAGAGCCATCAAAGAGGCTGCAGATGGTGCTGTGACACTGGAGGTCATCGTCTCTTTCGAAAACGACCATGGTGTAAGAGTGAAGATAAAGTTATGATGGCCATCGACGCCTGTCAGCCGATTGAGCATCGTCGGCTTGCGGAGCGGTCATGACAGCACGACACAAGCTGAGAGGTCGAGATGAGCATACACCTATCGAGATGCTCGCACTGCAGACAGCAGCATAAAGCAGGGGATTTGGGGTGTCTTTCGGGTGTGGTAGCAGAGGGGTCGGTCGGGAGGCGAGCAGCGTTGCGACGAAGGGGGGCAGGTAGCGTCGGCGAGCCTTCCCGCCTCCAACACCGAAAAGCTTCCAACGACGGCTCAGGAAGGAAGCTACGAACGAATACAAACCAACAACATACGCAGCATCACGCAACCCATTGCCCCGCAGTAGATGCGATACATGTTATTCTCTTCGATGGATACGCATCCAAAAATACCATGTGCACTAAGTCGAGAGAACAAGCAGGATGGGTATGAAGTATTGGGCTCGTTATTCATTTCCATGTTCTTCATGTTGCCCAGGGTCCAGCAAAGGGAGCCCCCAGAAGCTCCGTCCTGCCAATGTGGGATATATAGTGGCCAAGCTCTCCAAATCGTCCATCCAACGCCAGGCTTGCAAGACAATCAATGGCCAGTACTGTACAAAAAGAATGGGCAACATCAGAAGGGCCAGTCCATCACCAACAGAAATGAGACCAGATCGAGCACTGGTCGCTAGAAAACAGCCACAGCAGATTTGTTTCTCTGGTATCTCAAACTTCCTTCTTTCGAAGAGAGTACGACGGTTCTGCTTCTGCTAGCCGCATAATGTCTCCTCTACAAGCGATCTCGTTGATCTCGACGCTCATGGCTTCGCATACTGCTGTGTCCACTCCTGAGCTGTCTGAATAGCTTGTGCCTGGTTCTCCTTCCATGCCTGCGCAACGTCGTTCGCGAGGGGGTCGTCCGGGTTGGGCGCGCCCAAGAGAGCCTGGATAGACAGTAGGATGGTACGGATCTGGAGCGCGGGCGACCAGTTGCCTAAACTAATCAGCTGGGTCGCTAAAGTGCAAGATAAGGGTGGACATACTCTTCAAGACGTCCAGGCAGATGCGCCCCAGACGGTCGATGTTTGGGTGGTAGATCTTGGTGAGAAAGCGGACCTTGGGTGGGGTCATGGGGTAGTCGTCTGGGAGGAAGAGTTCAAGCTTGAAAACGCCGCCTATCAGGCTTGTCAGCAAAGGTCTGAGGACTTCCATGTGTGAGAACATGCCTTCATAAGGAGACTGGCTGGGGCCGTCGATGGTGACATCGAAGTACCGGAGGTTGTCATCGTGGGGTGTCGCGCTGATGCCTTGCACACTGTACCGCCGTCTGGATTAGCAACGCCACACACGTTCGTCTAGAAGACATGCTCACGGCTCGTTGACCAGGCGCTCGGTCTCCTTGATGATTCGCTTGGGCAGCGCCATAACTGAAGGTGGGGCAGGACTCGTCGATGGTAGCAAAGGGGTGGTTACGGAGGATGCTGTCCACGTGTGGAAATCTGCGATCGTCGTCGGGGCTGGGCTGGAAGATGCGGTGTTCTTTCTCTGGGTAGGAAGGTGCGAGGCTCTATCTTCTCATGACGAGGTTTGATCTTGCGTAATCGGTCGGGCATCCTACCGACGTTGCCAAACGGGGCTTAGTCTGGTAAGTGGCATGTCCCTCGGCGGGAAGGCGCGCCAAGGGGCCAGGCCTATCACCACCATCAACACTCTCACCACCATCTCTCTCACCCAACTCGGCCGCGTTTGCCAAAGCCAAGATGGCGGCCACAGTGGGTGGGCCATCGTCGGCATTTAAGTCGCCAACGTTTGATGATAATGTTGAGATCAAGGTTGACGACGATATTGGCGCCGCAAGCATAAGCCCAGCAGGTCGCGACGTGGTGCTCGCCAGCAAAAGTGGCCTCCGCATCATCGATCTGGACAACATCTGGTCTCTGCCCCTGTTTATCCCGAACCAGTCTTCATGGGACGTCGCAGATGTACAATGGTCCCCTTTTGCAGCACGCGCCGAGTGGATCGCGTCGACGCGAAATCAGCTTGCGCTTGTATACAATCTCTCCATGCCTTACAACAACAACAAAGCACCCATCGAATACACCTTACGCGCACATGATAGGGCTATAACAGATATCAACTTCTCCGCACACCATCCTGACCTCCTGGCAACGTGTGGCGTAGACAGCTTCGTCTTCGTACATGATCTTCGCAGCAGGCAAGCGCCATTGAAGCTTGCCGACTACACAGCAGGAGCTACCCAAGTCAAATGGAACCGCCAGAACGACAAGATCATTGCAAGTGCTCACGACAAATACCTTCATATCTGGGATACTCGTCACGGAGCGAACCCTCTTTCTACCATCACCGCTCACACCACGAAGATCTACGGCATCGACTGGAATCGCAATGACGCAAATAAAATTATGACCTGTTCCCTCGACGCAACTATCAAGTTTTGGAACAATGTAGGCTTAAAAGACAACATCACTGTCCCTCGCCGCGTCATCCGCACTCATTACCCTGTATGGCGAGCGCGACACACGCCGTTTCCGCACGGTATCCTCGCCATGCCCCAACGCGGCAATTCCTGTCTCTGGTTATACAAGCACATTAATGATAGCGACCCCTCGACTTTCACCAACAGTCACGCAAATGTCTTCCAGCAGCACGAACCTGATGCCCAAGTTCGCGAATTCCTCTGGCGTACACGTGGCTCCACCGATGACGGATTCGATAACCGCGATTTTCAGCTAGTTTCTTGGGGTACTGACAGACGTCTCGTACTTCACAAGCTACCTTCTGAGGATCTAGAGAAGTGGGTCGGCCACCGCAAAGGTGATCCACTCGTGGACAAGCCCAGTACGACACGGAAAGGTGCTACGTACGTTTCCTATCGGGATGGGCCTATACCTACCACTACTGCGACCACTCAGGATGAATTTGGCCCCCCTCGTGCTCAGCGCAAAGGCAACCTGTCAACTCTTTTACAGAACTACTCGCTCAACGAAGAGACTTACACCCCGCGCTTCCATGGCCAAACGCTTCCTCAGATACATCCTGAGACAGTTCCCCGAGAAACCATGACTGCTCGGCCGATTCGGCGCAATGATCCGCGCGTCGTTAACCACATGAAATGGATCAACGGCGTCAAATTTGGAGGTGATCGCCACAACAATGTCGACGATCAAGCTCGGCCCAATCATTATGATCGCACTGAGAAGCAGCCATTCCAAGAGCAGAACGACCTTGGTGCCGAGATTTCTTATGTAGGCAACAAATACAAGAAGCTTGCTTTTGAAGAAATCGATGTTCCGGGACGCCGCATCAAAGTTTCTTTCAACGGACCCTGGGGTGATTGGGATACCGCCACAAATGAGCCTAAGCTTGTATTCCTTCGGTTCACCATCAAATTCCCGGTCTCATACCCCAAGGCCATCGAAAAGCAACAATCAGGTACCATTGTTGGTAGGGCACCAACCCCACTGGACATCGAATCCGAGAGAACGACAGCGGCGATCAGCAAGGACAACCAAGAGGAACTGATCAACAACATGCATCGCATTGCTGAAACCTGCGCAGATCAACAGCGAGAGGCGCTTGAGGCAGTACTCTCGTATGCGTTGGGTGAACGAGCACTAGACGATAGCCTGGACCTGGCCGAAGATGATGACCCATTGGGAGACCTTGGACCACTACCCGGAGAGAGCTCCAGCGAGGATGAGGATCACGAGGGCGAGTTCACTGATGATGTGATGCAATCATCTCATACTAATGCTAATATCCCTCTGCCAATACAGTGTACGGCGCGATTCTCGGTAGATGGATCCCTTGTAGTCGCAAAGATACCGACCACAAAGTCAATGCCTGGCTCAGAAACATTCAGGTTCCAAATCACCAGGAGTCTTCGACAAGGTGTACTGAAGAATGACATCTTTGACTCGTTCGGCCGTTTCACTTCTCGACGTCCCGAGGCTTCCGACGGCGGATCATCGCCATCCTCATCGGTCGGGTCGTGGGAAACATCTTCCACCCCGTCATCGTCATCCGGTACCGATCATGCAGGGAATGCGCACATAGGAAATTTTCAACCGCCACTGGCTTGGCAGAAGTCTGCATCCCGATTTCAGTCGCGGAACTCGTTACCATCTTCGACCGGCGTAGGAAAGCAGGCAGTCAAGGCTAGATCCACAGTGTCCATACTCTTTTCGGCTACAGAGGATCTAGTTCCCAGTAAGCGTGAGTTGGCAGAGGAATACCGAATATTTGGACCTGGACCACTCATATGCGAGCACAACTCTGAGGTCGCTCGAAAGTACGGTTACGATGACTTAGCTGATATTTGGATCCTTTGCAAACTGATTTTGAGTAACGAAGTGCCATTGGAGATCTTACCTCAGAAGTACCGGAGAGATCAAGTCCTTGTGCTTGCCCGGAGAGCTCTTGTGAGGATCAAACGCAAGGACAGTGGACTAGATCTTCAGTTCGACGAGGCAGACACAGTGAAAAACCCTAGGCTTAGGGCACGTGTTAAATGGGGCCACCACATTGTTGTTACATGGCTGATACCTTCGCTCTTTGACCATTTCGAACGTCTAGCAGATACACAGATGCTTGCTATGCTGTCATGTATCTTCGCGGAACCTGCTGCTCGTGAAGGTGTGACCTCAGCAATGGCTAAATTGCGGCAGTCTCAGCTTCCTATGTCCATGGAGGCACCGGCCTTCTCCCTAGACTATTTCTCCTCTGTGGACGCTGCGTGGAGTTTGTTCAAGCCTACGATTTCTGTGCCGTCTACACCGTCACATTCACGCTTTGCGACACCAGCCAACGAGTTTGCATGGCAAAGATTGGCAAAGAATCTCGACACATATGGAAGTCATGGAAGTTCCAATGGTCCATGGGGCAGCGATCATGTCAACTCTGATCCCGTCACACCATACTCTACCGGTAACACACCACCTGTCTTGTCCAGGGCGTCCACGACGAGAACTGCGCACACGACTAATCACACACCATACGGAACGTCGCCCGAGCAGAGCCATACAGCCCACAAGAAAAGTTCAACAGCAAATTTCGCAAGTGCCGTTGCTGCATTGTCGCGTCCCTTTGCAAACGCAATCTCCTCTTCACCGCCAGTGAGATCACGAATGGATGATCTTTCCACGTCAGCACCCACCAGTGCTGTCACCTGGGGAACAACCACGTTCTATGGTAGTGACTCCCACGACCAGAGCAACATGTCAAGCTCACGTTCAAAACACGGCAAGCGAGCCAGTTTCGGACAATCTGAACAAGTCAACGTCAACTACATCGACGATTCCGACTCTGAATATGAGAGAGTCGATGACGATGGGGCTTACATCACAACGGGTACACGAGAGAATACCGTGCCTGGCCCGCCTCGAGACGGCACAAGTACCAAAGGATCTATCAAAGTCACGCTCAAGAATCAAGACCAGTTCGACGATGAAGCATGCTTCAGTCGTCCGCTATTAGACACAAGCAAAGACTGGCTGCATCGGGCATGGCGCGAACAGTATGCTGAGATGCTCAGCCGTTGGGGCCTGGTCAGTGTACGCGCCGAAGTATTGAAATTCAACGGCCTCGTATCGTACTTCCCAACTGAAACTCCTCGTGCCGTCCAAAAACATGGCTCGGTGTCTCTCGCCCTCAAGCAGTCCGCAGATGAAGACGGTGACGAGAAAGCGATGAAGCACTTGTCGCAAGCCTCATCTACGCTGGTGCCTCCAACTCCCACCACGACGCAAATGAAGCGCTCACCTGGTCCATCACCACGCCACTTCTCTTTCAACCCAGAAGCAATGGAATTTCAACCTGGAACATTTGCCAACGGCCTACCGGAAGAGTTTGTACCGAATCCTGATGCATTTATTCCTGCCGAGCAATATCTTCGTCTTTCGATACCTGTTCCAACTTCGACAAGGGAGTTAGATGAGAGTGTTGCCGGTCTTGGCACATCACCTGGTCAAAGTAGATTGCAGCCACCTTCCAGTCGAGCGAGCAGGCCGAGCCTATCGCGAGGCACATCAAACGTCTCCGCCGGTTCATCATGGCGGGATGGCCGTGATGGCCGCTCGCGCACGAACCTCACCACTGCATCTGCAAAATATACTAAATCAGAACCTGTGTACAGCTGCAGCATCTGCTGGATCCGAGTTTCAGGTCTCTTCCACCTCTGCCCTTCATGTGGACACGTCGCGCATATGGACTGCATGGACGATGAGATCGGTATGGACGACGGCGAATGCGTAGTTGGTTGCGGGTGCGGTTGTGGCCTTGAGGATGACGATGAGCGCAGCAGAATGGAGGCTTACATTGAAGGAGTGCGCGCCGCGAATGCTGCAGGTATCGCATGGGAAGAGGGCAGTGAATGGTTGCCTAGTGGAACCACGACTCCTGCCCTGTATGCTGAGAGTGCATATGGAGACTTCATGACGGGCGGTGTCAGCAAAATGGCAGGCACCGGCGAAGAGAAAAGGAAGGAGAGGTTAGGTGGACGCAGTAACGTCGTCAGCCCTACGCCCACGAAGACAAAAAAGAAGGGGAAAAAGAAGGTTAGGGCTTCGGGGTTGAGCTACTACTGAAGCCGTGTACTTGTACACTGGGAGATACCCTATTCTTTCCTTGGTTGTTTCTTTTTTACGATACCTAATGTTTTCAATTCTCTCATCGTTCCAGCGCTTGTATGATATCTGGCATTTGTTTGACACCTGGAACAGCCTTTGGTAATGTAATCCTGTCTTTCTTCTACAAGCTGTAGTTAACAGAAGAATCCATGCACATTGATACAGCTTGCATATTGTTGCGCTGTCTCATCCAATCGCGTAAATGTATGCAAGCGCTGTCCCGATCCCAGCGCTTCCCTCCACTTTCACCTTCACTTTCCCCCGCGTTACAAAGGAGATTTCTATGTCTTTCGAGTTTCGGAGTCTGTGCTGCTTCTGTTAGAACCCTGATGCTCATAACAAACAACTCGCTTCACACACTCGTTTTGCAGCTGCTCGAACATTGTCTTTGCATTCTTGTCACTTACTACACGGATACTCTCCAAGTGTGAATCGAACAGTCGATCATGTCTTTCTTCCACAACGCTTGGAAGGCTCTGGACGGCTTTGGACAAGAGGCCGGCAAACGCGTCGGCGGCGCCGCACACGAGACATTCAAACATCTCGACGCTTTCGGACAAGACGCGGGTAGAAAGATTGGACCTGCTATTGGAGAAGCTTGGAAGCACATGGATGCGTTCGGTCAAGAGGCTGGAAAGCAGGTCGGCGGCGCCGCACACCAGACGTTTAAGCATCTCGATGCCTTCGGTCAAGACGCAGGTAAAAAGATCGGTCCTGCTCTGGAGGAGTCATGGAAGCATATGGATGCGTTTGGTCAAGAGGCTGGGAAACATACCAGCCTCGTGGCAGCAAGGACTAAGCAATGGGTCGAAAAGCATCCAGGAGAGACTGCTGGCATCGTCGCGTGTGTTGTGGCCGCTCCCATCGGTATCGGAGCCGCGTACGCTGTTTTGAATATGGTGGGCTTCACAGCTACGGGAGTTGCAGCTGGATCAGCCGCTGCAGCAGCGCAATCGGGGATTGGTAGTGTCGCAGCTGGAAGCACTTTTGCGGTTCTGCAAAGTGCGGCAGCAGGAGGTGCTGGTGCTACACTCGTCAGTGGCGTCGCTGGAGGCACGGCCACCGGCATTGCTGTTGCTGCCACGACTCCTGGATTGATCAAAGCTATACAGGACGGCAAGAAGGAGGTCACGATCGATGATGTCACGTACAAGATCGAAGGCAAAGAGGAGGCGGAACCGTCACCACCAGCTCAGTAGAGTCTGACAGTGTGGTCGAGTAGACTGAGGAGGGTGTGAAGGCATTGGGGCACTACATATCGCGTCAGAGTAACACGGCATGCTTACGACTGGCGAGGCATAGGGCAGAGATACGGAGAAAGTTTACTAGTGTAGTGTCTTGCATCTTCAGTACCTAGCACAAGCTAAAGGGATCAGCTTCGGGCAGACTCAATCCAGTATTAGAAACGTGAACTTGTATGCGAGCCGCGACGAGCGCATTCCTGACATCGTGCTCCGCGGGATCTTCGACGGCTTCGCGTCGCTCCCGAGACAAGGCTGAGCCGTTGGTGGAGCGGTTCACCGCCGGGTGACAGGCGTAGCTGCACGGGTTCCGAACACAGGATGGCGCCGATGACGCCTGCATCACAACCCGGTGAACCCAAAGCAACGACTAATTCCAGAAGTCTGCCGTCGCACAGGTTCCTGGACTCGAGTAACTACCGCTGCACACTACCGGTCACAAGGGTTCTTGTGGAGGATTACCCGACTGCGCAGGATGAAGGATGATGCTGCGGCCGTACCCCACGCGTGCCCAGGTGATTCGCGAACCCGATAAGTACGGCGCTAGCGAGTAGCCGCGCATCTCCCCAGCTTCTTCTCCACTTTAGATAGTGTCTCTCTCTTGCTTATCTGCAAAACCCCCGATGATTCTACTCGTTTTTGCTTAGCAGGCCACCTTCTTCTTGCATATGAGATCACCAGTTGCCAGCGAGCTCGCCCAGGGAACCAACGCTCGCACCAGTCGCGGCAGATGGCTGAGGCTATCGCTGTTCCGTCACCCTCGTTCGTGCTAAATCCCCCGGAATCCGCTCCGATCGACATTAAACCCACTAGAAAGACGGCGTCTGCTTCGTGTCCAGCACCCAAGAAGGCTTCCGATACTGCTGGCGTTACTAAGAGGAAGCAGTCCAAGAGCCGTAATGGTATGCTCGCGCTCTGTCGACTCTTGCCGTCTACACGATACCCATGACTTGAGGCACTTCCGCTAAGCATTGTACTAACGTGTCTGTACAGGATGCGTTACTTGCAAAGCAAAGCGCCTGAAGTGTGACGAGAAGAAACCAACATGCGAGCAGTGTGCCAGGCGCGCAGTGACCTGCGGTGGCTACAAGAAAGACTTCAAATGGAGACCGTTTGAGGAGCCAAGCAGCTCAAACAAAGCACCTCTCAAGTCGCGCCAAGGTCAGTTCGTCGGCCACGATTTGAAAACACATCTGACAAGTCCAGGCTCAGGTCCCCAAGTACCGACGACGTCTATGCCCTCGCAATTTCAAGGCCACTCCAACTTCCAAGACCATCAATATGCCTTCACTGGCACACCGCACAACGCGTACTATCCGCCACGTCAACATCCGTACCCCTTCATGCATGGCCCACCTATACAGACATCCTTCTCACAGCCCTCATTTGTACCCACTGAGAACCACTTCGCCGTCTCAGCAGCCTCACCCTTTATCGTCCCTCCTATGTCCATATCGCCTGCAGGTTCATATGCGCCGGGATCATTCGGGTCACAAAGCGTCTTGGGGGCCGAGAGCACGACCACTGTGCAAACAAAGGCCAACACCGAGTCAAGTGCATCTCCTGGCCAATCACCTGGACTTCTAGACCTTCTCGAACCAGGAACTGATCTTAACGAACCACCAGAGGAGTATTCCTCTTTCGTGTCTCAACATGAGGCCTTTTACCAGCCCACAGGCCTAACACCCCCAGCTTCAATGGAGGAAGACGGGATTGAAGAACTAGTGCGCGACAGTAACGGATACCTTGCAAATTTTGTCACACGATTACCATCTCCCTCACCATCGAGCTCTTCAGGATCTTCTTCGAATTCTCCCGATTTCAAGATACCTGCCCAGGCACAATTATCTCTCACATCAGCGGAATCAATTACACGACGTTACGACAGAGATACTTGTGGTGTACTCTCAGTGAAAGATGGACCCACGGAAAACCCATGGCGAACTCTTATCTGGCCTCTCACACGAGACTGCCCAGCACTCTACCATGCGATCGCATCCATGACCTCCTTTCACCAGTCGAAAGATATGCCCACCTTGCGTATTCAAGGCATCGATCATATGCGAAATGCTGTACATGCACTAGCTGCTGGCCTCCAAAATATGCGTGTTGATGCAGCTATCTCTACCACACTAGTACTGGCTTTTGCCGAATCATGGGATCAACATATCAGCACAGGCATAAACCACATCAAGGGGGCCAAGATTTTGATCAACCAAGCCCTCGTGCAACATCGCCACAAGCCAAAACATGGCGAGGAATGGACGCGGTTGAAGTTCCTGTGCAACACCTGGATTTACATGGACGTCCTTGCCCGCTTAACGTCCGCTGATGACGACGATGCATACGATGTAGACACTATACAGGAAAGTATATATGCTACTGGCGAGACAGAAACTACGCTTGACCCTTTGATGGGCTGTGCGCATACACTTTTCCCGATTATTGGCCGGGTAGCAAACCTGGTCAGAAAAGTACGGAAGTCTGACAGCAATGGGCCTACTATTATATCACAAGCAGTACAGTTGAAATCTCAGCTCGAAGAATGGACTCCCCCTTCTTTCATCGAAGATCCCGAAGACGAGACGACAAGCCCACATGACACGATCAAAACTGCACTAGCTTACCGAAATGCCACACTACTTTACCTCCATCAAGCTGTACCGGAAATTCCATCGGAGTCGCCTAGTGTGCTCGCAAAGAGAGTGCTTTGCGATCTGGCCACCGTGCACCCGCGCTCCCGTTCAATCATCGTTCATATCTACCCACTGATGTCCGCTGGCTGCGAGGCAGTTGAGCCGGACGAGCGCGAATGGGTCACAGAGCGTTGGCGCCTGATGTCCTCAAGAATGAAACTTGGAATTATAGAACGATGCTTGGAAGTCACAAAAGAGGTCTGGAGCCGACGAGACGCCCGCGCATCAGAGCGTGTGTTACACCTAAATGATATGCGCAGCCATAGTTTCTCGCCGGACGTTGCTTTGGAACACGAGGACGGTGTCTTTTCTAGTGACTTCGACGGGAACGGCGACTTCTGTTGCCAAGAGACATCGGACTGGAAATCGGCGTTGCCTAATGATACGGAGAACCTAGACGGTATTGTTACGGTCAAGGATCGCCTTCATTGGCTGAGTGTCATGAAAGAATGGCAGTGGGAGATCCTGCTCGGATGAACATCAGCCAGGCTCGTGCTTACTCACTGCCACGTCCACTGTCTCTTCACGCAGTATCACAAGGAGCGACCTTTCTTTCGGGTCAACGAGTCAGTAATTTTTGGTACGACTGTATCATGATTCACGCCCGTGTTTCACAGCGTTTCACAACTGCTGGCTTGAGCACACGTGTCCGCATCTTGGAGTTGCATTCATTTCGCTTTGCCCCTTGGGGAGTTTGCATCACGATACAAGGAAGTTTCGTTCAGCATTTTCCAAGGCTAGGAGGAGCTTATTGAAAAATCGCCCAAGAAAGCGCGGTTCAGGGTATTCTGCCTTGAGGCCGATTGTAGTGTTGGAGCTTACCGGCTCGTCTCAGCATATTGCTGCAACCATATCGACCTTATTTTAATCGGTCCCCGTTCGCACGAATACTATGCCATCCAATTTGATTGGCCACAATGAAAACTTTTGTCCATCCCGAAAACTCAAGGACCGCTCTTCATTTCAGAATTTCCTTAATCGGCTGACCGGTATGACGCGATCATTCAAGTACACATGTGCCACATGGGCCCCAGTGTTAACGTGCCGGCGCGATATACACTACATTCCCATCTCGAGATGGGTTACGTCTTTGTAGACAATCCGGAATGAATACACGCTCTTGTATACTACAGTGGCGGCGCCAGACAGGCGCAGGCTGTCAGAACGCAGCCACTGACTGCAGTACTCGCTGTCAAGAACAGCCAACCGTGACACGGCGTCACAGCGCTACGGAACGCATGATCCGTGCTCCAAGGGTCGATCATAGAGTGTGGAGACATATCATAGGCAGCCAGATTCGACCTATCACATTCATCATAAAATGCCTGTCAAGCGTTGCACACCACGTAGTCGTCATTCAGGTCGGCCTCTTACCCAACATAGGCTAGCAAGCTGCAGATATCCGACGTGCAACATGAATCTGCATGAGCAACAGAGCTGTTATGCCCCCGGGATCATATTGAACGTACATACGCAGCAAGGGCCGAGTCCTGTGGCATATTACAGTAGTAGCAATGCATACTAGGGACGCCTCGCACAATCGGACGTTTGACAAGTCCCGGTATTCTCGCTTAGATGCCCCGAGCACCAAGCGCCAGGCTGCAGGTGCGACAGAAGGCCGGACGGCAGATACCGCATCGCGTTATCGTAAAAAGAAACAGTCTTGGAAGCGCCAGATCATTCAGCCACGATCGTGTATGAACATAAACAACTGTACGCTAAATGTGGTTCTGGGCATTCCAAACGAGCCAAACTAAATCCCTCAGTCACACTGTCAAGTCAGGCTTACGCGTCATTCCTCAACTTTTCGTGACGACTCAAGAAGACAAACCTCCAGCAGGTACCCGCCTTCTGTTCTAACTCTTCCTTTGCGCAGGACACCCTGCAGAGCTCAAAGAACTCGTACACCATCTCAGTAACGATTCGACTTAGTACGTAATTCACGGGAATCTGCATAATTGAATTTATCAGATATGCAGGTACATTCTTTCCTAGATTTTCTCAGGCCAGACATGGACTATGATACATCAAAGACAGGCGCCTGACAGCCCACTGTATGTACCACGGAACACCAGTACTCAACAAGCATCAACCACGTTCACCACGCTACTGTCATCGTCGAAAGACTCAACGGATGCACAGACGTGTTTGATCCAGGGGCACTATCGGTGGCGTATTGCGCCGGAGAAAGAAAATCTCAACCACGATACACGCCTTCTCACCTGATGTGATCGACACATTGGTGGCGTCTTCGCCTCACGTTTCACCTTGAATACTGATCTCATGGAGCTTGCATTGCGAACTGTACCAGACTATTGTCGAGGGTGTGACTGTGAGTGTACTACAGATATTGCAGCCTGGAAAAGTGGAATAGAACTGAAGTTGGACGAGCACTTATAATGGTCTTATTATCTGAAGAAGGCAGATAAATAAATCTTCTGAGATATATCATAGTGATTGCTAGGATGTAATCTAATGTGCGATTGTTTTCTCCTACTACGCCGTCATCTTGCGTTGTCTGTCTCTAATGCTCAGTAATAACTTGAGGCTTTGTCTCAATCGCCTTGACCTTGGAATTAGCAAGCGTGATCGTCTGCACCCAGTTTCGACCCAATTCATCCCCAGCGGCCAACCGCTCCTTGAGTCTAGCGATGCGTTTGTCAGACTTGGACTGACGGCAGCGCAAGAACTCGATTGTTTTATCCTTTGCGTGAAGCTTAGTCCAGTGTATGAGAACAAAATCGTTGGGTCCTTGCTGGCCCTGTTGCTGCTCGTCCTCAACCATCGTGGGATATTCCTTCTGCTGATTCTTCAACTTTGTCCACGTGGCTTTACGTTTAGCAGCCGCTTCATGTGCTTCTTCAAGTTGCTTCGACAGATCCTCAAGCTGAAGCTCCAGAGTCTGGATTCTTTCATTGCTAGCTTCGTCGTTGCGGCGAATACACTCCTTGAGCTCCTTCTGAATCCCCTTTAGATCAGTGATCTCGCTATCCCTATCAATGAGTGCTTCCTCCAAGTCGGTGATCTCGCTTTCCTTGGCTACGAGCGTTTCGGAGGTATGCTGAAAGAGGTTCTGGTTGAGCTCAGACTGTTGAGTCAGCTCTCCATTACGCCTTTGTAGATGAGCATTGTCCTGACCTAGTTGATCGTTCTCCTGTGAGAGAGACGCGAATGAGGGAGTGATAGAAGAGGTGGTCGATGCCGATGACAAAGCCACTGCGGAGTCGTTGCGACGAAGCATCTTGTCGAAGAAACTCAGCTGCTGAGGCTTTGGGGTGAATTCAGTAGACATGCTGCTAGGTTTTATGGTAATTGCGGTACGCGACGTTGGGCTACTGATCGTCAAGCACCGGCATATGAGGTAATTTGAAGAATACAGTAAACTCTGAATCAAGCGCCTAATTCTAGCTTTATGGGACGTATATGTCGCTCAATAGGATAAGTTTTATAAGTATCATGCCTAAGATGTGTGTAGTAACAATGTGGAGCATTGTCCGTCCACCAGCTCAGTAACATAAGACATTGTCATGCACTAGAACCAAGAAGATGTTCAAGTGCGGCAGAGAACATGATGTGATTCTAGGCCCAAAGGCCGTTGCCGAAGAGGAAAGTCTATCAACGGACCAAAGACAGACAAGAAAGAGGAAAGAGGGCAGCAGAAGACAACTACACGACACGACCCAAAACCTCTTCAAGCCTCCTTGAAGATTCCACTCCACTTCTCCTCCCCAACGCGAAGAACCACAACCTTGTCTGGCACGATATGCGTCTGAACGAAGACGCACTCCGCCCTATCCTGAAGGACCGCCAGCTGCGTCTCCACATCCCCCTCCAACGCGCAGACTTCCGTCTCCAGGCGCTCGATCTTGGCGGCCGCAGCCTCTCCCTCTTCCACCAGGGCGGCGTTGCGCTCCTCCAGGACCCTGACGCAGTCCTGGTACTGCTTCTCGATGCGCGCGAGCACATCTGCTGCTGGGCCAGACGAGACAGCGGGGTGCTATACAAGATAGTATGTCAGTGCTGATCCGGAAACGACAGAGGTGCTTGGAGGTACTTACGTGGGTATGAACGAGGATGTCCAGGAGCGCGGCATCGACATCGTAGTCGGGGTTTGGCTGGAATGGGGCTGAGTAAGACATTGTTAGATGTGTAGTCTTTAGAGTTGTTATTTGTGCACGTTTGAGGCAGAGGTTCAGCTGTCGTAGAAGGTATATGAGGTATTGCGAGAACGGAGAAACAGCAATAGAACAGGAGGTTGAGACGCTTATATGATAGGTATGAAGATGGGACGAGATCGGTGAATGGTGAAATGTCACTTCAGGTGAAAGGGGATATCTTCGAGGATGTTCAGTTTGGGCTATACCGAAGCTACTGTGCTACGCTCTCTCGAGCTGGATGTATGCCCTTGCTTCTTCACCTGCGGCTCTTGTCTTGTTCACTTATTCTCTTTCTGCTTATATACTCATGCGCCCTTTTGTACAAGGTCCGCGACTTGTTGTTCGATGCTCTTGTCGTCCAGACCCTTTAGCGACAGCTTCCTCTCCTTTCCAAAGTCTGTTCCAGATTATTAGCATTATTTCCCCTGTATCTTTCCTTGGGTGTGACGCACCGAATCGCGCATATACGGTGGGCTGGGTGCCGCTGGCTTCGCGGATCATGATGGGAACGGAGGGGTTGGCCTTCTTCATGGCGGGGTAGCTTCGTGTAAGGAAGTTCCTGTATGTTCCATCAGCCCAGCTCGTTCGGTCCTCCTTGTTCTGCTCTTCTGCGTTGCTCTGCGCATCGTGTTGCGCTCCTCACTTGGGTGTCGCATACCTTGTGGCGGCGCTGTGCTCGCTAGTCTGGCAGAACAAGAACCTCAGCTCCTTGAGGCCATTTCCAAATGCTTTTGACGCCATTGTAAGGACCGTTAATGTGGTGTGGGGGTATCAATCGGTGTCTGTCGTCACCCGCGCTGCAGCAACATTCAATGTTCGTCGGAAGCTGCCAGGAGCACGCCTTACCCCTTTGGGCCTGGCCAACCGGAGCAACCCCATCGTAGTTCCGGATTTATCATTCACCAAGGCTTGAGCCCGACATCGCGACCGCACGCACACGACCATCGTCCCGGACTCAGCTGCACTCCGGACGCCTCAATTCCTCTTCTGCTCGGATCGCCAACTTGGAGAGTAAAGGACAAAGACCGCGATCATGTCGTTCCGCCCGGGCTCCCGCATCTTCAGCTCTTTCCGACCCTTCTTTCAACGCGCAAATGCCCGCCGACATGCCGGCACAGCTGCAGGCGCTGAGCCCGCTGGCTTCCAAAAGTTCTGGAACAGCCCTATCGGACCCAAGACTGTCCACTTCTGGTACGCTTCCTCGACATGACCTCTGTCTTCCTATGCGATGCGCTGCAGCTCCCCGCTTTATCCGGAGCGCATCCGCAGCAGCAAACACACAAGTCCAAAACGGCCACTCTTGAGCTATGAAGTTGCTAACACTATCACAGGGCCCCAGTAATGAAATGGGGCATGGTCCTCGCCGGTGCCTCCGACTTCTCCCGCCCCGCTGAATCTCTCTCCTTCACCCAGAACTTCGCTCTCATGTGCACAGGCGCCATCTGGACACGATGGTGCTTCGTTATCCGCCCCAAGAACGTTGCCTTGGCTGCTGTCAACTTCCTCGTCTTCTGCGTCGGTGCTACACAGGTCGGCCGTATCTACGCCTACAACAAGTCTATCGAGGGCACTGAAGGTCAAGCCAAGGGCGAGATGAAGGATCTCAAGCACACTGCTGAGAAGGCTGAACAGAAGGCCGAGAAGGCTCTGAAGTAAATTTGGGACAAGGAAAGATAACGAGGTGGAGGTGAAAGGTGGGCTTGCAGCCGGAACGCTGATTGTTGAGCGTGGGCTGATTCGAGTACGGCAAGAGCTGGATGTACATCTATCATGGAATTGTGTCAAAGCATATATACCGGCGCGATATAGTGAATGGTACTTCTTCGCTTCAATCAGTAAAGAAGTTGAGCAATCAAGTTCTTTAGACCTCACAGACTTTGTGTACACGATTTCCTACCTGACTTCATGTGCTGTCCCACATCCTCGCCACAAGTACCGACCTAACGACACAGAAACCTGGTACACGCAGCGTAGATTATGATGTATTCTAGTCATCAAGGTTCTTGGAGACATCATGAAGAGATATATTACGCTTTCATCATTGATTATGCAGGGAGGATCATATCTGCACTGTGCTACCAGACGAAGCAGTTCCTCGGACACTAGGCTTTCAAAGGATTAATGCCCATCTTCACCCATGAATTGGTTTGCATTTCCTACATCGATCTGCCTTCCAATTCCATACGCACGGATGCATATGCGCGCCTATCCTAAGCCAATACCTCATACTTCCATCTTCTCTGCCTCCTCGATAATATCCGAAGCCCTCTGCACTACAGAAAACAAAAGATTTGGGACCAAAAGGATGACCGCCTACTGGATGCAGACCCCTCCTCGTCACTACCGTTAACTTCGAGCGATTCGAGTCGTGCAAGAGCATCGTCGAGGTCAGCGGCGTGTTGCTGGAGAATTTCATCAGGCTCTCGGGATTCTAGCACGGAAGACGCCGTGACAGGGTCTGTAACAACTCCTCGTCCATGAATAGATCTAGCGAGAACAAGGGTATTGAGGAGCTCTGCAGCGCGAGGTTGGGGCACAACCTCTGGAATGCTGATGAGGTCTTCCAGAGACGGGCTCGGCTCCATAGGCTCGCGTCGTTTGCGTCTGAATCGTTGTCTAAATCTACATGTCTTCTTCTTCGGTATCAGACGTAGAGGCGATGGGCGTGGAGATGATGAACTTGGAGATGACGCGCGAGGAGATGTGGGACTTGGGGATGTTATACGAGGAGGAGATATGGGACGTGGAGATGTCGGATGTGGAGCGTCGGCGATCGGCTCGGGTACAGCAGTTGCTGGGAGCAGAGCAACTGTGTCATTCTCGTTGGTTGTGTCCGAAGCATTCATTGTCAATTGCTCGTCTTTCGGTAGACTCGATATGGTCATTCGAGCTGGTACCGTGTCGTCCTTTGTATCTGGTCCTGCGCTCTCGTATACGGTGACCGCATCACCGTCACTATCGTCGTTGATGGAAGAGCCCATATCTTGGGATGTCACCGTGATCCACGAGCGCAGTGAATCGTTGTCCGGGGTGCATAGATCGTCGTCTATGGGACAGCTCCACGAACTCCGCCTGGAATGGCCCTCTCCAGATTCATTGCATTCTTCTACCGTGCTCATAGCCGGTGAACCACGACCGCAGAACTTCAAAGTTGGCCGACCTCGGACCCTTGACAACTGGACCTTTTTTGCAGCATCCCATACAAGAGCCTTACGACAGCGAAAGCAATGTTCGACTTTACCTTGAAAGTTCCATTTGGTCACTTCGTCTCCGCAGAGGGGACAGATTCTGCGATCTATCCTTGTGTAGCAACAGTATATACGTTTATATTTCATTCGTCGTGATACTCTAGGCATGATGGGCGGGCGGATGGACGTATGGTTTATGGAACAGTGTATCTCTTCGTGAATGGGTAGGTGCGCCTCCGACTGCGGTGGCTACAAAGCGAACGTCGCGAGCGAATGCTTAGCAGTAACAGTGGTCGTTCCTGAACGCTAAGGCCGACTTTGAAGTGTAATGAATGCGCTGCGTCTTGTTAGCAAAGCCCTAGATCGCTGCCATGGTCTAATACCTCTGATAGTTGTAGAGATGAAAGTTGATACTGGCAGATGGTAGCGATGGTGCTGCAGTAATAGTGATATGGTGGAAGTCGAGTGGAACGTCGTTGTGTGAAATTTAACAGACAGACAAGAATCGGGGCCATCGGCATGGCAGCATGCACGTGCTATACGTTCTTGGGAGTCGTGTTGGCAAGTGCTCCATGTCGTTTTGCCATATGCTCAAGGCAATCGCATCCGCTCTATCGTGTATCGTCATGGCACCGTCCGACTATTATTCCAACTCCACTTCTCTTTCTCGTGTGCGCAACGCCGAACTTCGGTTGCCGTCCTCTGGTTCTACGATGACCCAAAGACAAGTGGCGAGCCACTCATGGCCACCGTAATCCAGAGAATATCTCAACAGGGTCATACTCGTCTAATGAGAGACATCGCGAACCCATGAAGACCCCTCCCCACTCTTCCCCCTCCTTTTTGACAACTCTCATGGGGTACAAACCTTGATACATTCGGTACAGCAATCTCCACAACAGTCCCCACAACTACTACAACAATCGCCCAAGCAATCTCCCATACTGGCAAAACAAGCAATGATGGCTTCGATGCACCAAGGTCCTGCTAATGTGCAGTCGAGCCGCTGAATACATCGTGTACAGCAGTCTTTTGGTTCATTATGCTCAGTTGTGAACTCTTCCGTATTGGCTTCGACTGGGGCGTAATTCATCTTGGATGGGATTGGTGAGATTGGCTCAGGGTTTGGGTGAATTTGGTAGTCGGTGGTAGGTGCTAAACGAGACCCCCTGTAGGATGGATGATGTATGAACAGATGAGCTTGTAAGGGAGAAACAATGATGTATGCTGATAAGCAACGGAATCGCGACCGATCTAGATGAATTTGACACGTCGTAGAGTCTTTGTTCACCGCGATACGAGTGGGATGTACGACATTTAATTTTCGACTCACGAAGTTCAAACGCGCTTCGCGTGAGGCCACCCACGGACACACAGCCACCACATCGGCTAGTGGCACGTGGCTGCGCGCGCCGATCGAATGAACAGCCTGAAAACCCACACAGCCTCTGCGCGCGATGATTGCATCAAAACTCGGGGTTTGCGCTTTGATCGTCATGGCTCCTCGTGATAGGCCTTAAGTGTGGGCATATGCTATTCCTGTCTCGCGCGATCCTCAAACAGGTGTGGGATTGGTAACGGAGAATGCTCGATGTAAATTAACAGTAGTATTCATTCACGATTTGGGTATCTTGTATATGCGCCCGCAGTACTCGCCAGTAGCAAAGCTAAACCACATCTCCCCACGCGGGAGGAAACGTAACAATTTGTAAAAGGTGACAAAATTTTTCAGCTTTGGCAGATCCGAGCATACCATCGTGCTTCTCTATACCCGGATTACGATGTTGATACCCAAGCCTCTAGCTTCTCGAATGGAGCAACCCAAACAAGTGCGTCCTACATTGCTCACAATCGCGTGCAGGCCCTTCTCCGCGCACCAGGCTCGTGCGAGCAACTGAAGATCTGATGAAGTCCGAGCATCGAGTACGAGCACGGATTTCTTACTATTCTTAATCATCTCTTCTGTTTCGCTGTCGTTGCTTCGTGAAAGATCGAGCAAACGCTCCGTAGACTTGGACGTGTGAAGCTCGAATGGCAGCAGGAAGTCAGGGTCCAGGATATCAGTGACTGGCACCATCTTGTAGGTATATGACTTATGCAGAGGATGCGCATTCATGGGCTTGCTACTTGTTGCGAGCGTTTCGGCTTCTGGTCCAGTAGGTGGCTCGTACATGCGCTTCGGTGTAATATCTGCAGCGTCTGGGGGATGTGATAAGAGTGGCTCGAAGCCATGGCTGTTGCGGCGTGATAATGTCACGCTGTGTTTTGAAGAAGATCGTGAAATATTTCCGGTAACCGAACGTCTCATGACCTTGGGGCGATGAGTCAACGACGGAGGTGCGGATGCTGCAGTGGTACATGGGAAAGAAGTGATAAATTGGACATCGTATGCCAGAGTGAGAGTGTGGCTCACTACGCCGGACACAAAAGTCATCGACGGAGCATGGATATCGCTGTCAGTTGGTGGCCCTGTCAAGCTGTCACCATCGATGAGGTCCGTATTGATTGGAACCAGTTCCCACTGCAAGAAGGCGATGGAAGAAGTCGGAGACGAGTCAAGATCTTGAGGGAGCACAAAGTCCTCTGATTTTGTTGAAGTCAGAGCATCAACAGGCACAGTAGCTGACTCTTGAGCCACTACGTCCAAGCCATCTCTTACTCGCAAGCGGTTTTCGTGCGGAAGGACTTCGCTGTGAATCGAGTACCAACGCTCGCTGGGGCTGTCGGGTACCTTTGGGCATGAGATCCAGCCCATGCACTCCGTGGAGCCTTTGACACAGGCTAGGATACGCCCCACGACAGAAGTTTTGCTCCAGAATGTTCTCTCACCAAAGGTAAACCCACCGTACAGATTTGCCGATTCTCCCAGGTTGGCAATAGCAGTGCTGTCATTCTCAAGCAGTGTCGATACGAGGAAGTGTGAGATCGCTTCTCCGGGAAGGATAAGACCAGTTAGATATGACCGACTGAGCCATCCTCCAATGTTAAAGTTGGAATTGGCATAGTTCTCGGGGACTGTAGAGATGGGGGACAGCGGCATGCGCAATGCGCGAGAGTTGTTGCGGTTCAGGGCAGGCTTCCCAACATGGCCAAAGTAACTGTCTAGCTGATGACCAGAGGCGAGTGGTGTTTGCAACGGCGTGCCATACACGCTGATACCAGACGGAGTGGACAAGTCGGGCAATCTTCCACTGGGTGATGATGGTGTGGCGTCTTCCGCCTTCTCTTGCTCACCAAGCTTCCGGGCCAGATCTGTCGAGACTGCGTCAATGTTGGGCCACTGAAGTGTCTTTGCGAAGTGAAGCAGCCCGGAAAGTTGCTGGGATTGATGTTGTGGAAGTACGACAAGGTCTGACTGCGGTATCTCTGCGTGGGCACCTTGACCTAGCAGCGACAGCAGTCCGCGCAATTTGGGTTTCGGTGAAACTGGTGCATCACTGCCCCTCATGATGACAATGTTGTCGAGAAACCTCCGCGCTAGAACCAAATCCCAATCAACTTTTTTCGTCTTGATTTTGAGAAATCCTTCAATGTCCTTTGCGTCAATCTGAAGCCGGACCTGGGCGTCGGCCGCATCGGCATTGGTGAAGGCATCTAGTCGGAGCAAGAGCTCACATGCCAAGGTGATTTGCAGCAACAGAATCTCCCGCTCCGTCCACATTGGCTGAGTTTCGTGTTCGGATGTTGGCTCAGGCTCACTCCACAATAATTGTCCAAGTCTTATCCTCCACTCGACAAGGCTGAAGTCATACCAGACACCCCTCAGCCCCAAGACCCTGAGCAGGGCAACGATTTGCGTCTGCAACCCAGTGGGGTCATCTGTAGAGTCATCATAACCCGGCGGCGTAAGAAACTTGGTGAAAAGATTCGCGTAGAGGTCTCCAGCGCTCTGGTTGTTCAGGATGGTCATAGGCTCGGGACTATCTTGGAAGGCTTCGTACATGTCCTGGAACTCTATCAAGCGGTCGTATATCAAGCTCAGTTCGACTGGACGAATACCCAGACGCTCAGGAGATGTTTGCAGTGCCTCCTTGTTCTTGACTGACTCGAAGGAGTCCTTGCTTGACTGGGATTGTTCCATTTCATTGGCGAGAGTGTCAGACTTGGGCAACTCGAGGAAATGTGAGAAGCCAATAGTGCCCGGTTCGACACCCTGAGCACTAAGCATGCTTGGTATTTCCACCACATCTACCCGATATCCGTTGTACTGTTTCGAAGTGTCTGGTAGCGGCCGGGTCTTGGACGGATGCTCGTGTAGGGTCGCAGCTGAAAAGGCAGGCTCGACTAGAGGCACTGTGTCGGTGACTTCTTTTGGAGCAGTGTCAATGTTCCAAGGGTAGGAGACTGTTGGTATGTAGCGGCTGTCTGTCTTTGTGACGCCAAACTGAGGGGCTCCGGCGAAGAGGGTACGGAGCTGGCCCTCAGTGAGGGGCTCGACCTTGTCTTCCATGGTTTCTTGCGGCGGTGTTGGAACGCGATCCTGCTCCGCCTCTTGGACAGGAGACATGGTGCTGATATGGTCGACTGGGCTGCTCGATTGCTCTTGAGTTTCTACATGATGTGTTTGCTCGGGCGGGGACTGTGGGGTCGGCTTGTCTTGCTTGGGCGATATCTGTGATAACAAGTTTGCGATTAGCTTCCTCATGATCAGGCTGGAATGGCAAGGACGGCAGTAGAGGGAAAGAGCGATGGACGTACGGGTGCAGCTACTTGGTCGTGTCGCTGTGATTGCTTTTGCTTCCAGGACCTGAAGAACTTCAAGACCCTCTGTCTCTTGCTGCCCTTCCTCAGCAGCGTTCCCGCATTCTCGTCAACCATGTCGTGGTGCAGTCTTCGCAGCATCCTGGCGGCCTGCAGCAAGGCAGGGTAGGCGAGGCATGCCGACGGACATTATAAGGGGATAAGGGGACATCAACAAAGCTCAGCAGGCTGGGCGCGACACACGGCTGCACACATGCACACAAGCACGTCAAACATGGCAGATATCCCTGCATGACAGGCGCGCGAGTCTCGATGGTTGGTACGAGGTTGCAGCTGGTCCCTGTCCCGCATCAGTCAGGGCGATCAGCTGGAATGACGTCCAGCGTATCGCGCCGACCTGCATGGGGCCAGCCCACCTGCACCACTCCTAGCTGCAGCCGCAAGCTCGTCAGGCCAAACCTTTCTTCTCCCAATCACGCCACACAGTCTACACGACAACCAAGGCAGCGTCCAAAAGTCAAAACAACGCGTTTGCACTATATCACCAACGCCCTCTAGAGGCCGTTGCCTATGACGCTATACCGGTCCGCTCGCCTCCAGGTTCCAAGTCTATGAACTGGCCCGTGCCAAGCTTCTAGAACGTGGAACCGGGTCGCTCATTTCCGCACGCCTAATCTTATCGCCTATCCAAGCAACAACACCGCGTACTGTCCACGTCGGCACCTCGACTCTTCTATGCGACTTGAGAGTTGTGGAAATGTACCTCTACTGTCCAATCATTATTTCGTGCAAAAATGTCTCCACATGCCTCTATCTGATTGCTCAGACAATACCAGTCCTTGAGACTATCGTCTTGCCAATCATGGCATCTATGCCTTGACCCCGCATGTTGCAGTGGTTACACAACACCACCCTTCACCAGTCCCGCACTAGTGCAAACAATGGATTGTTGTCACTTAATATCACTTTCCATGATACCACAAATGCAAGACCCCGTTTGAGCAGCACCCTCAACTTCAAGATGGGTTTCCTCGATGACGCGCGAAGTGTGGCCGAGAAGTTTGGGCGAGAAGCGACACAACATGTTGGGTTCGCTGCGGGCGAGACATGGAAGTACGGTAGTTTTCTAGGTCAAGAGGTAGCAGAGCGAGCGGCTCCAGTCGCCGCAGACGCCAGGAAGACTTTGGAAACTCTCAGCAAAGAAGTGAGCAGGCGCGCTGCTCCCGTTGCCAACAGTGCCTCGAAGCAAGCGACTTCATTCGTCCAATCCACCTTCAACAACGCCAATCAACGTCTGTCTCAACTCATTGATGAGAAGCCGCACGAAGACTTCGACTGGAAGTTCATCGAGGATTTTGGGGAAGACATGGCGAAGCGATTAGGCAGCACAGCAGACGATTTCTGGCAGAAAATGACCAGTGGTGATCTTCTCAAAGATATTGGCCAGATCACTTTACCCGAGATTGAGTTCACCCGGGAAGACCTCTCAGGGTTCAGTGAGAGGCTCAAGGAATGGATACTCTCAAACCCTAAGCAGTTCACCACCTTGGTGGCTTGTATCGCTTCAGGCCCGACCATCGCCGTCGTCACGCCTGCAATGCTCGGGCTTGTGGGCTTTACACCTCTTGGTATTGCTGGTGGTATGTATCAGTTACCTACACTTATCTCCCGACGAATTCCTGATGTTTGATCTAGGCTCTCTGGCCGCTGGGTTCCAGGCTGCCGTTGGATCCATCGCTGCAGGTAGCGCTTTCGCTATCCTTACTAGTGCCGGAATGGGTGGATATGGGCTTGGGGTTGTCCAAGCAATCTCCATAAGCTCAATCCTGACTGGAACGTGCGGTACTGCAGCCGTAGCATTCTTGAAGGCGATAAAGGAAGACGAGCAGTGTAAGAAAGAGAAGACGGAGTAAGTGGCGGTGTCAAAAACATCTAACAAGATCAAGAATGAAGACCTGTTCAGCATGCAGCTCTGGAATTCGTCTCAGGACGATGGAAGTAATGGTCCTCAACCGGCAAAACAATCATTATACATCCCTAACTAAGCGTATCTAGTCCCAACTACTTTGTTTGTGCCATCCAATTCTACATCAGCTCTGCTTCCATCGTGAAGCTCGTACACCTAAATCAAAGTCAGTTTCGGGTTCCATATCGAAATCCCACATTGACATCTCCACTTACCGGTTCCTGATGCTGCATCTCAGCTACTGCATATACATTCCCATTGTCCTTCTTATCGTCCTGCTTCTCAACGCTTTCCGGCCGCTTATCTTCAAGGTCAATCTTGTTTCGATTCCGCCTCCTTCGGATCAACATAGCCGCGATCAGACCCAAGAAAACCGCTGCGCCAACGCCAACACCCACTCCAACGCCGACATTGCGTCCTGTGTGCGACGTCTCCTTCTTGCTTGTTTCATCTCCTTCGGTTTGCCCAGACTGGTCTGTCGCCGCAGACGTCGATGCAGATGGCGATGCAGACGTCGGCGTTGATTCCGCACCCGTAGAAGCAACCGTAATAGCACCCGTGTAACTCGGCCCTATTGATCCACCTGAAGAAGCCGGTGCCGATGCCGCACCGGAAGAGCTCGCCTCTGTATCCTCCCCAAGTCGCTTTGGGATCCTGATTTTCTTCGTCTTCGACGAGCCAGTAGTAGATATAGTCGAAGAACTACAACACTCGTTGCTATCTCCACAACACCAAAATTCCGATGTAGGCGTCCCGTCACAAGGCGTCATCTGCGCACTGTCATTCGCAAGATCGCCATCTTTGCAAACATTTATGCATCCTTCCCAGTTCTCGTTCGCACAATTCACCCTGTAGAAATGTGTCCATTCCGGCACTTCTTGTCCTTGTACACTGCTAAAGCCTCTGTTTTGACAAAGCCCGTTCGGCAGGCACTCATCCGCCGTGGGGCCATTTTTAACGTCGCCTCCTGGTGGATTGACCCATCCAGACTGGCAGCATGTATAGTAGAGCGGGTCGTCAATCGATGAGGCACAGCGCGATGTTCCAGAGTCGAGGTGCTCGGTACCGTTTGGGAGGTAGCAGGTTGCTAAGCTGGACGGGAGCGAGCTTAGGAGGAGAAAAAATGGTAAAGATATAGATGGTTGCGAAAGCATCGTGGGTATCGTGATAGGCGTTATAGTGGTTACGTTTTGTGTTTTCACGACGGACGGAAGCAAGATGGGAGGGACGCGACAAAGACGAGCGACTTCGACGGTTGAAAAACGCCTAAGATCCTACCTACATGTAATCGTGTTTGAGACGACTTAACCTTGCACGTGTGGATAATCCCTTCATTAGCGTTGGGGACAGTGGGCTGTGTTCTCCATTTTACAATTGGCTATACGATTCAGGAGTGGCTGAACATCGTGGTTTAGGCATCCCGCAATATCCGCACGTCCCCTTGAGGTAATTTACAGCCGATCCTACGGCTCCAACCGTTTTTTCCGGTGGATGACCAGGCACCCAGGTTAACAATTGCATGTAGTTCGGAAAGTGTATGCGAAAGAAGATACATAGATAGACTATAAACTACATGTCATAGGAAAATTGAACGAAAGGATGGGTATCTCGCGCTAAGGTAATGAAGGACCGAAAACATGCTACGTCGCCTACGAAAGGAAAGTGCCAGTTTTTGGCAAAGGATTTGCGATCTCTAAACACATGCCAAGCTCAGGCCTGCCGACTGAGCAAGAACTCGACCGCCCGATCGACTCTCAATCCGTCGCCAAGATCTGTTAATCTTAGCGCTTCTCTCGCCTGGTCGGCTGTGAACCCCATTTCCACGATGCGATATATCGCTTTGTCGGCCGTATTCTCATGACTTCGAGATCCAAAGATGTGGTGCTGCTGTTCGTGTTGTTGGAGGGCTTCGCTTCTGGAGCTGAAGCTTCCAGAGGACTGACTGCCTTGACGCATGTGGCGCTCGCTGTAAGGCAATGACCTGGGATGAGGTCGGAACGCGGGGTGAGGCGGGCCGGGCGGTTCTGAAAGAGGATGGTGGAGTGGGTCTTCAAGAATAGAAGGCATTGAGGTGCCCGTGCTGTAGCGATACCAGTCACGGTTACTTGGCACCGTTGTGGGTGACGGTGTTGGTAGAAGCGGTTGAGCAAACATACGACGGGGTGGAGAGCCCACGCTTGATACACTGCCCATGGTGTACAAATCACGGTTACTCTGTACCGTTGATGCTGAAGGGGATGGGAGAAGAGGCTGGGCTACCGTCCGGCGTGGCGGCAACGGTGGTTGCTCTTCAATGGATGGTAGATCTGAAGTTACACTACGTCGATCATGGTTACTAGGTACTGTTGAGGGTGGAGGTGTTGGAAGCAGCGGCAGAGCAATAGTTCGACGAGGCGGTGAGGACGTTCTGCTGGACGTTGACCTGGAAGCGGGAAGAGGTACAGACGTTGCCACTTCCTCTGCAGAAGCTGATCTCAGGGCTGGAACATGCGTGATGATCTCATTCCCTGGGCCTTGGGGTGGAGGCGGCGGTCGTGTCAAATTTCGAATGACAGTATCCCACTCTGACATGGGCCTTTCCTGAGACATACGAATCATTGGCCGAGGCTCACCACTCTTCTTACGATGCTGCAGATCGTGTATGTGTTTCTGAATACGAATCTTGGACTGCTGACGCTGTACATCGCGGATAGATATTTTGGCGTACTTGTGCGCGATCTTGTCTTCGTACACGCGTCGGGCTGCTTCTTTGAGGAAGTGTTGTCGGGTACCATCAAGCACAGGGGGCTTCCAGTTCACCCATCCTTTCTCAGCTGCAATAGTGAAGGCTCTTGGATCCGAGGGGTGATATGGACCAGTGAGCCTAACGACAGTGTCGAGGCCGAAGGTAAGAAGATAGTAGATCCACTCGTCTGGGTTTGGTTAGCAAGTTCCGTGGTACGTTGGAGGGATAGACGAACTAAGCATCATCTCTTCGCCATCAATATCGCCACCTCGAATATCAGTGTTGTCGTAGATGCCAGCTTGTCGAGCCTGAACAGTGCGCCCCTCGAAATTCTGAAGCAGAACCGAGAAGCAGGTCCATAATTCCATCATGTCAAAAAGTTGTTCGGCGGCCAAACCACCTACATTCCCTTGCCCAAAGCACTCCGGTGCGCCGATCAATGTGTCGCTCATGAAATCTGTGCTCATGATGCTGAAGGTGCAGGTGGCCTGGTGCACTAGCATACCGCCATTGAGCCAGTCCATCTGGGCAACGATATCCTCCTCACGTCCTTTTCCTGAGCCGAATATCTTGCAGAACGTCCAGATACGCCACAAAGCGTCATCGACCCTGGCCGACTCGGCTGGACATGCACTCACGAGCGCAGCCGATATTTCCGGTCGAACGAAGGACTGACACTTCTCCAAGATCTCTGACTTGATGGCACGTATGACTTGAATGTCTCGCTTCTGAAGCTTGAGATATGACGCGGGGTTGTATTCCTCTTCAGGTCGTGTCGTCTCTAGGTCTTCTGCATGTAGATGGTCGTGTCGGGGAAAGGCAATCTCCCTGAACTCCCAGGCTGGCGGCGACATCTTCCGCAGGGTAGATTTGATGAGGTCGAGTTCATGGCGTTTGAACACACGATAGAAGCCTTGATTAACAAGAGCCGCGGCAAAAAGATCGTTGAAGTGGTCCAGGTGTTGAAAAATACTGAGTATAACCTTCTCAGCTCCAGCAGGCGTAATAGTCGGCTGGGCGTCGTGCGTTGCAACAGGAGGCGAGGAGAATACTAGATCCACACTTGATCTTTTAAACTGCGGAATCATAAGGGTCAATGCTGTGCTCGATCGGGAGCACTGTTGCATCATCTGCGAAGCGATGTGGTTATGTGGCAGGCAGTCAACTCCGATTGTCTTCTTGGCAGCCGATTGTCGCCTGCTGGATTTGCGAGGGACGACTGGAGGTGGAGTGTCAGGTAGTACGACATCGACCGGATCTATCCGGGGCTGGCTCTCAGTATCAATCAATTTCCCGCCCTCAGCTGGAAGTTCATGTACGCCCTCCCGGAAAGGGTTGCCTTCTGCAAGGGGCATCCGATCTTGGAGACATGTCCGAGGATCGCTATTACTACCAAACGAAGAAGCCAATTGAGCGCGCAGGTCACACTCAGCCTCACTGAGCGTAGGGCTAGATGCACGTGGAGGTATTGGAAATGCTCCAGATGCGAAGGAGATCGCTTCGTTGACCATGGTCATGCCCGCGTCCGCGGCAGAATTCTCCCACAGACCGCTCCGTTTGGAGGACTTTCGGCTCAACCTTGGCTTGCGCTGTGTAACATGTAGGGCACAAGTCGGTTGAAAGAGGAGGTCCTCCTCGCTGGAACATCGGTGGATGTATGCTCGAGGTGGCACCGTCGGTGGAGCATGACAATTGTCCCCTGCTGAATTCGTTGTGATCCTAGAGGAAGAATACAACGATCCTCCAGGCACTATAGTCTGGCCACTTGGAAGATACACTGAATGTTGTAATGACTTTTCTTGCTTGGGAGAGATATCGTTCTCTATGCTGGTCTCTGAAGAGTGATTGCTATGCAGCGATGAGGCATCGCTCTCTTGTGATTCATTATTCGAACTACTCGATTCGAAGCTGCTCTTGGGATGCTCTGGAATGTGGCGCTCTGATCTTGGTATGCACTGCGTTTGCGACTGCGCAAGTGGAGATACGATAGAATCCCGCATACGATTGTGGCTTGCTGATGGTGGCGATACTTCGTGGTTCCCTTCAAGCTCGATGGGGGATGAGTCGAAAAATGGAAGAGCGGGAAGTGGTTTTCCACAAGGGATTACTACTTGTATCTTAGGCTTTGGGCTCGGCTGCTTCTCCCTGCTTGGGTTGTTTCTCTTGTGGCTGACGGGGGAGCTGCGATCCCTTCTTCGCCATTGGATCTTCCCGTGTTTGTAAGTTCCAATCGCACCTGTAAGCGATGCGTGGCTCGATGTCGACGTTTTCTCTGCCGTAGGACTGGCTCCCGTCCCTGCATCTAGCGAAGGATTGCGCTTCCTCTTTCTGCACGGCTTACGCCAGATAGATGCTGATCTTGAAGGGGTTGGTACAGTAGAGCCGGCTGATAATGGTGAGTTGCTATCATCTGCAGACAACGGAACTTGCATTGCTGTGTCTTGCTGACGAATGTGGAGACCCGCTTCATATTCCGTGCTTGCTGGAACTGCCCGCAAAATGGTGGCTGACTTCTTCGTGTTTCTCTTTAGTAAACCCGACATTCTTTTCCGTTCAGCAGACGAGGTGCTTCAATCAAAGAAGGATAGGAGCATGTAAGCTGTCGCGCTTCAGCTATTCGATTAATGACGTAGCAGGCTGCAGTAATTAGTTATGAGGATGCGTTTGAGCTCGCTGGGGATGAGTAGTTTTGTAAGGGATCCCCCATCGGAGCCGCGACTGCATAGACAAGTCGGTCACGATTGCAGGGCATGGACAGTATATCGTCCGAGGCCAAGATAGCCATGGCCTAAGGTGCTACTTGACGCCAGAGAGCCCCATGAATAGCCCGGCCGTGGCGTTCCGGACAGAGGATGCATGCAGTGCCCTGCGAAAGCTGAGCTGAGTGAGATGGAGGCCGACTCCGTATGGGCAGCCATGGAAGCATGGGTCAACGCTCGGAGTGTCCAATGACGCACGATCGCTAAACATGCCTGCCTGACAGTTGCGAGACGTACGTTATCACAAGGATTCATTGTTGTGAGGCATAGTTAGTTTCGGGGTGCAATCAGAGACATCCAAGGTTGTTGTGGTTGTCGGACCCCGCTGGGTGCGAGGACCGACTGAGTCGGATTGACGCTGGGGGCCGTGCTATTTGCGGCACGACCTGCTTGCTCAGCCATCTGCCGCGCTATTTCGGGGGCCATCGCGTCGGGATTCACGATGTCCGCCTGAGACTACTCTGTACGCACTGCGCCTTACTGAGGCATACCTATATGAAGAATATCCAAACCCCACGGCGCAGTGCATCTTTCCCGGACTCGTTTCAAGTTCCCAATCCTGATGCCCCTGATCCCAGCACTGATGGCGCTCCAAGGCTGTCTAGTCCCAACCATGACGTCGCTGAGTTCCACTTCATACAACTGTGTTGGTCTTACTAGGGTAACTGTTGTTGGCTACACGACATTCACACGGCCAAAGAGAAATAATCAGGCGTGTCTGGGGACACCCGGCCCCATCATGTACGGCACGTTCATACGGACGTGAGCAAGCGCATGGCGCGGAGATATACTCTCCGACTCAGACGGACTTCGCAACTTTCTTTCAAGTATCCCGATTGATCGTCGTTCGGCACATACAGTATCTGAGGGGCATATATGTGTGATTACGTTGCCTAGCCTTGGTCGCGGTAACAGCCGTGGACGACGGTTTCGGCCCGCATGATCAGTTTCCTCGACTCTCCTAACACAGTCATCATTTTCGTCCGGGGACTTGAGGATACCACATTCAGAGATTTGCATGCAATACGACGCTCTGCATTGGTAATTTGCTCCTTGGCTACAAAACAGTGAGCGATTGTCAGAAGCCTTTTGCCGCCAACAATAAAGACTGCGGAAGAACACTCTTGCTAATCAGTGAAGGAATCTCGCGTTAACTAAAGATATCTGTAATCGGACATAAGACAAACTCAGCACTCTATGCATTAGCAGCACTGAAAGAAACCCTCTGTACCCAGCGCTAGTAACAAGCAGCCGACACGACCTGCTAACTATTGATCTCTTTGCGATGTAAGGTTGTTTTATTGCTTCTTGCGCGCCTTAGCGATACCGTTACTGTGAAGCATTGCGAGTCCACCAAAACAGCATCCTCGCACGGCAAGCTGGTGATGCCAAACTTTGCACCAAGCAATGGCGATCGACAATCCTGAAGTATACCGATAGTTCTACATCCTCCAAGATTTTCACTAATCAGAGACATTCACAGTGGATCACTCAAGCAGGTAAAAAAACAGCTAATACACGTAGCCCTCCGGAGCGGTATCTCACTGACCTACCAGAATTGCGGGCGAAACCAAAGTCATCAATCGGACTGGGCGAAGCCAACTACACCATGAGCAACAGAAGCATATAGGTAACACTGTCAATGTTGCTTTCTCTTTGACCCACACACTGATATCAGCTGGCCGAACGGTCTAAACGCGCGCCTGAGAGCCCTCCATCATCATCATCATCAGCCTCCCTAGCTTGCAACCTGTTCGACGCACCGATCCCGATCCCCAGTTCAAAACTAGGCTGCAAACCCGGACTCTTCGATACTGAATAATATCTCCAGTCACACTGTGCATCGTGTCAAAAGTTTTCAAGAGCTGTCCGCCCGAGCTGCAGAACCGCGCACGGAGTTCCTTTGAGCTTACCTTGCTGGCAATAAAGGTATCCATCCTGTGTATCCAGACATGCGAGCGTAAAGAGTCAGACAAATACAGGGAAATCAGCAGTGTGCAGACTAGCATCGAACAAGCAAGGTGATTGTGATGCGGAAGCTGTACTCTGAATCTCGGTTATTCCAATGGAGTATGGGTTATATGCTGTTATTCAAAGTCAAAATGTTTCTTCCACATCGGAAATCCAGTGTCCAACCATTTAGTCAGGAATGCGTCGCTTGCGAGTCAATTTAGACGCATCGCTCACCAATACACATGGTGGCTGTTGTGGTGGTAGGTGCTAAGCAGTCTAGAACTCACGCTAGGTACGATGGCGCCATGGTGACTAGCTTTTCAAGGCTGATCAACAGCCACATCACCCCTTAATGTCTCGTTCTTGTGCTCACAAAGCTCGTATAGGTACTGCAAGAGGGACATTTCCAACGTTCTTATCCTTCGTGGTTCTCCTGGCCGAGGCTATCTACGTAGGTACTTACGAAAAAGACGTGGCGCAACCATCAGCAATCCTTGCAGTATATCTTCCGAACAACAGGTCTACGGGTCGATCCCCTGATGTATACTGTGTCAGTAGTTTCGGTTCAGCCGATGCTTCTTACTAGATCCAGACCCCTGGAGAGACCTTACCTGACCGTTATGGGACAAGCAGGCCCAAATAGTACAAAAAGCATTTCATACAGCCGTCAATTTCCTTAGCTTCTCGTCTACCCCAGTATTTGCACAACCCATGCAACAGCCTCATGATGGATATAAGGAAGGGCTATCACCAGCTTCGGTGCCGTGAGCTTGGTCAGACTTCATACATTTGCTTGGTCCTTCCTTTAGAAGTCTGTCGTTTCAGTTGCAGTCATGTTGTCCCTTCCGGTGCTCATCGTAACATCTCTACTTGCCAGCATCGTAGATGCTCAACGTGTATCGACGAACGGCCGTTGCGGCGCAAGCTTTGGCCTCACCTGTGCTGGGTCAAGTTTTGGGTCCTGTTGCTCATCGCAGTCGTGGTGGTAAGTTCGCTGCTGTATACCGTATGTATTCCTCCCCCGCGCTAACAAGCATAAGCGGCACGACAGTAGATCATTGTAATACTGGATGTCAAGCAGGTTACGGACAGTGTAAGACGCCGACGACTGCTCCTGCAACAAAGGTTTCACAGGATGGGCGCTGTGGTCCACAACATGGAGGTCAAACCTGCGCGGGTTCGCGCTTCGGTGATTGCTGCTCGCAGTATAGGTAAGAGTGGCTGTGCCGAACCAACGAAATCAATCTAATGGGCTGCAATAGCTACTGTGGAAGTACAAACGCATACTGCGCTGCCACTATTTGCCAGAAAGGTTTTGGCTCATGTAACGGTGCCTCGTCCTCCTCTGCCACTGGGTCAACCTTGACCTCCGTCGTCGTACCTCCGCGATCATCTTCCGCCGTAGTTGGTACTTCTTCTTGCTCTGCGGTTACTGTGACTGCATCTCAGTCTGCTATCACGGTTTCTGGTGGTATCACTACAGTTACGCTGCCTGGTGACAAGGTTACCACAACGATCACGATCCCAGGAGAGGGAGAAGTCACCACGGTCACGGTCCCCGGAGAAAAGACAACGGTGACCCTTCCTCCGTCAACCTCAACGCTCACAGTTCCTGGTGCTGGGGAAGTCACCACTGTCACTGTACCTGGGGATGAAAAGACGTCTACACTGACCGTTCCCGGAGAAGGAGAAGTCATCACCGTTACGATGCCTGGAGCACCATCAACTGCAACAGTATCTGTGACAATTGCGGGCGAAGACAAAACTTCAACTCTCACGATCCCAGGTGCTGGAGAAATCACAACCGTCACAATTCCTGGAGATGCCGCGACTGTCACACTTCCTGCCGCGACTGTAACAGTACCAACCACGCTCCCTGGCGAAGAGACAACATCCACCCTCACAATTCCTGGTCCGGGAGAAACCACTACTGTCACAGTACCCGGCGAAGCCTCGACCGTCACAGTTCCAACGACGGTAACCCTACCTGGAGAGGATTCTACTGTCACGCTTCCCGTCACTCTCTCAGCTGAGACCGTCACCCTCTCTGGCGATCTAGCAACGACTACTGAAACGGCTCCCGCTTCGACAGTCACCGTCACAGCAACTGCTACGCCCACTGCTGGTGCTGGTTCATGTTCTCCAAGTGCCAATGCCGTTGTCAACGGCGATTTTGAGACTTCTCTGCCCGGTAAATGGAGTGTCCTCACTGCTGGGGATGCAACCTTGGACCGGGTTACCGGTTCAGGAAGCTCAACCACTTTCCGATCGAGGATCGCCTCCACCAACAGCAACTTGCCGCAACGCCTCATCCAGGCCATCACTGTGTGCCCTGGAACTCTTTATAAAGTAAGTTTCCAGGCTCGCCGCTCAACAACTGCTGGCATGGTGTCTGCGGTGGCATATATCAATGATGTTGCTCAGGCTGGTGGTGCGATCACAACCAGCTCTTTCACGTCTGTTGCAGCTGTCGGTAGTGGAATTTTCAGTACCACTGCCAGTAGCGTTATCCTGAGGGTCGAGTTTACCTATTCAGGTGGAACTGGGTCAGCGAAGGAGATCCAGGTTGACAATGTCGCGATTACTCCGGTTTCGTAGGGTGACGGCGAGAACTAGGAAGGTCGACTAGTTCTTAATACACATATTCCTCTTACTGATGAGCTTTTTCGCCTTCCACTTATCTCTCGTGAAGCATACTTACATAACAGCAATTGTCTTTTCACCCTCCACTCTTCTGTCCACACTCTCCTTCATCCTATCTTCTATCAGACCGCAGACTACATCACGTTAGCAGTCTACCCACCGCTGCATCTTGGTTGCATTAAAGAAGCAAGGTTCAAATGCCGTTGTTCAAATCACATCAGTAAGTCCAGCCAAATATGACCTCGATAAGCAACGCCGTTCTAGCGCCTTGATAAAAGAATGAAAAGAATGGGTCTAGTACTCCAGGCTCTCAAATTGGTACTGGTCTCTTCGTCGTTATCGTAGTGACCACAGTTAGTTTGTGATTGTAACGCTTCGTCTCTTTAGCGACAACGGCTCAGAAAGGTTAGACTCAGGCAAGCCATGGGGCTGGCTATACTCCAATTGAGCCACACATCCGATCAATACCCACAATGTCTTCGTTTGCGAAATAGTGGCGTATGTCAGCCAATACAAGCAGTGGTTAGGCATGCTGTCACTCCTCAGCCCCGTGAGTGATTTCACCTCCTGTCACAACGTCACAGCTCCCTTCGAACACCTTCTCACAGCATGTCAGCTGTTCCTTGGAAGCAGGAGATCAACTTCGGGAGTGCACTGCTGCTGCATTCTTGTATCACTGTCTTTCTCAAGGAGATCAGCAATGGCTTCGCAGTACTCTACCATCTCTCGATCCGTCATAGGGACAAGGCTGGAATCAAGACATCTATCGTGCTTGATGGCTACACTTCCGTCTTTTCGAAAGATCACGATGGTGAGCTTGCAGAGCTGTACTTTACCAACACTGGGTTCATTCTCTTGATCATCTCCCTCGCCTGTGCTATTGCGATGAACCTACTTCTACCAGCCACTGTACTCAACACTCTTATCGCAGCGACATTCGGCTTGACATTCTTCGCATCAGCATTGGTGGCTTGCCGAGAGAGAAGCCTAGTGATGCCGATCATGGCACTGAGAAGGGCTGGTCGTTTCATCTGGTCCGATACTCCGTTCGTGAACTTCTTCACGTTGATCTATGTCGCAGTAGTCTTGAAGGGTTCATCTGATAAGATAGTACTCAGAGACTACGTGGTGTTTCGGTCTATTGCCATCCTTGAGTTGGTGTTCATGAAGGCAAGAATCGCAGCGGCTTCTGTAGATATACAGCAAACGATGTTGGAACGACTTCTTGACAGCGAGTATGTCATGGTCAGAGGTGTAAGTTACCAGAATTGAATCCACTTTCAGAATGCAAGAACATCTCTCATTCCGACAGAAAGCCTTTCCAAATCCACGAACTGCACCGCCGTTGCTCGAGCGTGACCGCATCGTCTCCTTCTCCAGCTCACAGCGCCTCTCCGTTATGCTCTACAAAACGACTATCGGTTATGCCGATGGTTCACTCTGTGGCGCTTCCGGCCCTGTCGTCATCACAGTCCCGAAGAATTCTGGATTCTTTATCGACGAGGCTGAGGAGCGTGGCTGGCGCATCTACCGCGTCTCGCCTACACTCATCGTCATTGAGGATTGTGTTCAAGTGATGATCACAAAGTTGCGCGAGAGAGCGCCAACGAAAGAAAGACGAGGCTTGGTGTTGCTCTTCACTCGGTTCATAGCATGGACTCATGGGGTACTGCTGCGGCGGTTAGGTAGGCGAAGAGTAGTCTGGTTATCGAGAACGAACGGACATGGGTCGAAAGAGGATTACTGGAGAGGAAATGCTAATCTTGTGACGGGCTTGAAGGAAAGCTGGTTGCACAGCCGACAAAAGTTCAAGTGCTTAGACCCTGTAGAAAACGATTCGCTAATAAGCTACGAGATCGTACGTTGATAAGTAGAGCATCGAATAGAAAGAAAAGGATTAGTTTGGGCACGATGAAAGAACGTGAACCACGGGTGTCACTTTCACGAAACCAGAGTTGAAACTAAGCAAACACTGTAAACGCATGTTATCTCCGTACACTGTGCTATTGCCTTTTGAAAGCTCACACCAGGCCTGAAAAAGCTTCTCGGTTTTTTTGCTCTTTCTCTCTTCTTCGTAGAGCACTCCAGCTGAGTAGGAACCAGAGCAAAGACAACACCAAGATGCCATCTAACAATACCGCTGCCACTACCACCCCACTCCACACTCCTCCGTCCTCACCTAAGCTCGCGCCCCCATCCCAATCGCATATTCATTTCGGCGCCACTCCTCACCGTAGTCCTGTCCCGCGCTTTCCTTCCTCCTACTCCCACTCGAGTGAATCCTATTCCCCCAAGCAGCCTCAAGCACTGGGCACCCAAGTCACTCGACAGAACTCACCTTCGTCTTCAAGAAAACCAGCTCAGAACTTTGTGGACATGCTGACACAAGATCAATTGAAATCCATGTCTGATCTGGACAAAGAAGAGGAAGCGAAGCTAGCAAAGACACATTGTGAGAGATTGAGGAAAATGGGTTTGGGAATATCTAGATTCGTTGGTCGACTGAAGAGTGGTACTAGTGTTGAGAAGGGCGGGAAATCGAAGTAGGGGACTAGGGAGCGCATTGGGCAGGGCTAAGTGGGTTGAGATCACAACTTTGTTAGTGCGTTGATTGCGTTGACATGCGTAGGCGTACCATCCTGGAAATTGAGCGTTCCATGTAAGGAAAAGCAGCATGTTGAAGAATGGCTACCAGTTTCGTGTTTGATCATTTATTTGCTGAAATTGCAGTGCGGACGCAACGAAGAAAACGAACTTATCAACTAATATGACAAACAAACATGATAATATTGTACAGCGACCGTCATTTCCGACAGGATAATCAAGATAGGAAAGTAAAGCAACGCAAGACAGGGTATGTGACAAAGACCAGTGTGGATGAAAAAGGACACGCCGTTCTACTAAGCAAAGGTACCGAAAGCAGTAAGGAGACAGCTGCAGCGACAGGAAACTTGGGGTATATGTCGTAAAGTCATAAATTTGGTGGGCGATTGAGGCCCGTCATATAGTGACATGACTGACTAGTAGCGACGGTAGTCGAAACCTCTGGTCCATTTTTCATTTTTTTTATTTCCACCTTGATCTCAGATAATCATCATCGTCGTATGCTGATCGGGTTTGGGAGTCGAAAGATCCGTTCATACCACCAGTACCACTCCGCTGGCGAGTGTGCCTCTTGGTGTCAGAGTCTCTGCCATAACGATGAGAGTCATCCGCGACGTTGTGCATGTTAGAAGCGTAGTAGTTATTGGGGATGTCTCGCACCGTCGGATCGGACTGGGTACCGTAACTGGAAAAGCTCGGACTTCGGGGTCGAGCATTCGAGCCGTGACGAGGCTGCTGGTGGTAGTGAGCATCAGGAGGGGGCGGTGCAAATGGTCCTTGGCCGGCGCTTGATTGTGCACGTCGACGCCTCTCATTCGCAGCACCATCAGAGTAGGTACTAGAGCTCATGTCGTCGGTGTACGATTTTCCGCCGCCTGGAGCCGCTGAATATGGCTTGCGCTCTCGTTCGATGGGTACTGATGTAGACATGGGCTCGTCTTCGAAGTCAAATGGCCTCACTTCAGGCTTTCCGGAGTATGGGCTGCGTTCGCGCTCAAGTTTAGGCCCTGATGGAGGAGCCGTCTTAGGCGGTGGCGGCGGGAAGGTGGGCGCCCTACGTAGCGGACCAACTCCTTCAGAGGACAAGGCTGCGGCACACCTTTGCTGCGCATGTAGGTTCTCGACGGTTGGAAACATCCTGCGGGGAAGTTCTTTCGGGAAGCGTTCCTTCCGGTCGTCTGCGTTGCTGATGGGCATGTCCAAGATTGCTTTCACCAGTCGGTCGTATTCGGTATCGGGATAGGCCTGAATCATTGTAGTCATCCACTCCTGAAAGCCGGCAGGAGTAAGTGCAGGGATGTAAGGTGCCTCGGCGGGATGCTCCTGAATGAGATGGTGCTGGCATCGCATGTCGCGGTATATCTTTGACAGTGCTGAATAAGAGACTTCTCCGAAAATTGCTACATATGTTAGCATAAGAGCGGGACTATAGACGCTAGCCTGTCTTACTTGACCATGGATAAATCTCATCCTTGAGCTTGACTTCTTCATAAAACTTGAGCATCTTGGCAGGAGAGATGACCAAACTGTGCTTTGGTTCGTAGTCTTCAATCTATGCCATCGTTAGCACGTTGTTACTGTTTGAACTTGAGTACGCACCAGATGCAGAGCCAAACCTCGCAAGAGCTGGCCGAGACGAGGTAGAGGCTGACCGTCTGCCTCGAACAGTCGCTGCCACATCTTCTCAATCGGAGTATAATCTTCGGTCATCATTCTGGGTGCAAGGCCTGGTCGCACAGACGGTCGCTCCCGCTCTACTGGTGCGCTTCTCTCAGGACGTGGGGTAGGAATATCACTGTTGTTCCCATCCAGCAGCGGGTCGCGATATAAGGGGTCGCGCTCCGGAGATGGTTGGCCTGGAAAGTCGGTGCGCTTCGGGGAAGGCGGGGTATACACGTCGCGGGGTGGAATCGAGTTTGATGTTGACATTGGCGAGGGCGGACTCCATTGTTGCGGGGAGACGGGTACGGCTTGAGCGTGTGTCGTACCAGCCATGCCGCTTGATTTGATCTCATCCAAGACCGACTTCTTTACTTGCTCCGTGATTTGAGCAATGAGATCCGGGTCGACGACTCTGGCGGCATCAGATTTTTCAAAGGCATGTCCGATAGCACTCTTCAAGGGCTGCTGCATTGGTTGCGAGCCACTGTCGACACTATGGCGGTCCCAGGCCGGACTGGTGTCACGAGGCTGATAGTCAGACCCATCGGTGCCAGTGCGAGACTTGGGTCTTGTGCCATAGTCGGGGCTTCTGCCACGGTCGTAGTATTGTTTGTCGAAAGGCGAGACGTAGGAGCCGTTGTGGTGGTCGGGCTGGTCACGGTAGGCCATGCTGGAGCCCAATGGCAGGCGCTCGGGAGCACCTGCAGTATGACGTTGCTAGGTGGGAGTTGTCGAGTAGGCGAGCGTTTGTGGAGCGCAGCGAATAAGTGCTGCTGCTATTGCAGAATTCTCATGCAGGCGCGATAGTGACAGGTTGCTGGAGAGGACAGGGAAACGGAGATGTGGGCACGGAAGGAAGAAGATGTTGGAAGAAAGGCTGTGGTCGCAAACACGGCTCAGCCCGGTGGATTGCCGGCTTTTCGTTTTCTAAGGCAGCGATACCCTGGACAGAGGAGGAAGGAGGAGAGTTCACAAGCAGCAGGTAGGACAACGTTATCTTCAGCGAAGTTTGACTGGTTGTGCTGAGCCATCTTCTTCGTGCGGCGCCATGGGCGTGCCGCAGGCTGGGGTGTAGGCGACCTGCTGTCTGCGTCATACGCAGGCCTGGGAATGGAAGAACGTCATCACGTCTATTAACAGTCAACTCCAACCGAGTGGCAGGATGGACAGGATCATCAGGAGCAGCAGACCTGGGGACACGAGATTCGCGGAACGAGGGTGATTATGTTTGTTTGGTTCAGTAGTCTACGCAGTCGTCATGCCTAGCGCATGTCAGGACGGTGGTAGCGACGGCTGTCAGTGACGCGGCGTGGTTCCGCCGTTTGCATGTCTTTTGTTTCAACCACACGGCACCACCAGCTGCTGGCCACTGCGCGCCCGGGTTACAGCATGACAGTCAACCCATTCATCCCCGTTCAACTTATGAGAAACACGGGCAAAAGGGGTGCGGGTGGCATGGGGACGCTCTATCAGTCAGGGCCGGCTTATGCGCATCGGGGCGGTTACCGGAATGCGAGCAGATGTGCAGAGCGGCGGCGAGGCGGGCGAGGTGAGACACACAGCATCTCGGTAGGCGCCAGACTGGCTGTTGTCCCGTACGTGTACGCGTGCTCCGGCTCAGCACGCTGTAACGCGCCAGGCAGACTCAGCAAACAGAAACGCGATCACATCGCGAATCCCCCAGATAGATAGGCGGCGACAGGCACTGGGGTGAGTAAAGGGCCGTGTAGCTATTTCAAGCCGACGAGGCTGTCCCTGAGCGGCCAAGATTATATTAAACCGCGAGGCAGCTATGGGCTAGTCGCCAAAACGGTGCTGGCCCTGAATAGCGCCCGCAGAGCTTCACGACTCCACCGCGCATCAACAACGACGCGTTTGCATGATGCTCAATAGACGTCTTTGATGAGGTCGCGAAAAGCTACCTGGGCGCTCGCGACATGTATGTGCTGTCTGCGGGCGCTGACAAAGACAAAGCCGTGTCCGTGACGCAGTCATTGGGCGGAGGGCCGCAGTCGGTCGGCCTGGTTGGGTTTAGCTGGCACAGGTCCCAGACTCTAGTCGTTTCAGATCTCACGGCGGCCGCGAGCCATGGCAAAAGGTATCTCTGCGCTCGCGCTCGCTCCAGCAAAGACGACGGGATTATCCTCTGTTTCGAGACCGTGTCTTGTTTCCCTATCTAATCGACGTGTTCCGTGCCCATCTTCCCGGGGGGCAACGCGAACGCCGTAATAAAGAAGGCCGAAACCCCCATTCCACAAAGACAAGGCCGTCCGCCTGCAACCCACCTCACCCCATCCCACGACGCCTTGCACCCGCATTCAGCATTCCTCAGACGCCGCCCTTCTGAGTGACCCCACCGAGCTCCTCCACCACGCTTTCAGTCACTCGTAGTGTCTTATATCGTTGTTGCGACCCCCGGCCTAATACGCTCTTGGTATCACCATCCAAGCTGCTCCCGTACCACGTCCACAACCACATCCATACCCACCTTCACCGCGCCCACTATCTTATCACGCGTAGCATTCTCATGATGCATATATGAGATAGAAGAGTAGACAGACCGACACGACCGCCCGACCGCTCCGCCTGCTCAGCTCACCGCCCACAACCTCTCTCCAACACACTTAGGACAAGACATGGCCATGCTTGCCGCAAAGTCTCCGTATCCCGCACCCTCCATGAGTGGCAGCGCTGCACAATCTTCGGCCCAGTACAATGCCGGCCTCTCCAGCTACCGCAACCACGCATCAAACACCCGAGCCGAGCAGTCAATGTTTGCTTCTCCCACCGAGTCAGAGTTCTCCGAAATATATGATGCCCCCGACGCCATTAGGTGAGCTCTACCTGCCGATTGACATTCACCTACACCGCTAACATGTGCAGACATTGGGACGAGGACAAAGTTGGCGACTGGCTGAAGCGTATCAACTGCGCCCAGTATGTCGATCTGTTCAAGCACAACCACATCAACGGCGAGAACTTGATGGAGATGGACCAGACCCATCTGAAAGACATGGGCATCAAGAAAGTCGGCGACCGCGTCCGCATCGGCTCACAGGCAAAGCAATTGCGCAACAAGGAGTACAAGAAGGCCTCAAGAAGGACATCAAACAGGCAATCGCTTGCTACCCTTGACAACGCAGCATATACTCCACCGTCCTCCGGCTCTCCTCGACCCCTTCACTCTGCACGATCAAATCCTCCTCCGACCGCCTCCAACCCCGTAAGCTCGCGATCCGAGAAGCGCATGTCCAGGCAAATCATGAACTCCGACCTCAGCAGCTACGCATACGGTGCCAAACCTCCCTCGCGTCCTGGCTCTCCTCTTGTTGACCAAGAGACCCGGAGCCTTCGCTCGCAACGTCAAGGTGGAATGAACAGCCCCAAGGAGCTTGGTA